CGACCCTCTGAGAAAATCCTGCGAGAAACGCAGTGGGCTCCTAATGCGACTTGATATGGCAATGTTGCACGCTATAGTTGCAATAATGAGAATAAAATTCATTACCCACCTGATCTTGCATGATTACTGGAGCTCCTGGACAATAGGTTTTCTTGAATATTTTAAACTAAAATAAAGCAACGTTAGAGATTTTGAGATCACGCATTTTTTTTTATATATTTTTTAATTTCTTAGGTGGCTGGACGATCTCACATCACACCTGATGTTAAGTGGTTACTGAAGTCCATAGACATCTACCAGGACATTTGCCAGGAATTATTAAAAGGTCCAAAAAATAATAAAAATTCAAGACAATCTTTATCGTTTATTGAGAACATTGTAGAACGCAATTCATCTACATATCGATAAAACTCTTTTACATTGAATACGAAAAACAAAATAGTGCTCGGCAACAATTAAATAAAAAATTATATAACATTTCACACATCCATAGTTTGTTTTTAGAATTTACCGCTTTTTCTTTAGAATTAACCATATTTGTTTAAACGCATTTAATCAACTAAATATACAATCAAACCTTTTTTTGTGTTAATCAAGTTCAAAATAATATTAAAAACATTATGACATACTCAGTAAAATGATGTAGTCTGATCAATCTAGCGAATAAAGTGACTATGCTATTTATAGTAGTCAAAGCATCAAGTATCACTTTCTCCTCTGTTTGTCAAGTGTTTTTTGTACCTATCTATTGGCGATCTTTTCGTGTAACCGATAACAACATTTTGGAAACTTTTTTTTTTATTTTTACAAATGACAATTAGCAAACAAAAATAATAATGTATTGCATAAACATAATCTAAATCTTAAGATATCTGTGATTATAGTCGAATTTCAATCACTGGGCGAACAATCGTTATTTTTAACGTACTGTAAAATAAAATTCTTATATAGTTAATTTACAAAAAAAAATTGTAAGAGTACTTTTAATTGTGTCACGACAGGTGAAAAGTGAAAAATAAATTAAATTTAAAATATTTACATCATTTCATTTAAGTACCAGAGAGAGAAAAAAAAAACATGTACTGCCGATAATTTCATATATATGCATTTAATTATATATAAAATTTTTATTTTATTTAATAGAGCTGCAAATTCAGACGACATTAAGTCAATTTCATTATACACATTGTATGTATTATAGCCCCTGAACGGTAACCAATATTTCGTACGGAATTTCTGAAAACTAACTTCTAATAATGTTTTCATGGAATGACCATAAATTCTTACTAAGCTTTTTCGATATTATCACTTTTATATCACGTAAATTGTAAATTTTAGTGCATAATAATCGATGGTTTTTAAAGTTTTATTATTATTGCATTGTTTCAGTATTCTTTGAAAGTCACATTAAATTTATATTCGTATTAATACATTAGATATATAATATATATATATATAGCGAAGAAATGGTATATGATAGAAGAGTATGGAAGGAGAAAACATGTTGCGCCGACCCCAGGTGACTGGGAGAAGGACAGGATAATGATGATGATGATGAATGATATATTATTATGCTTATTTATAATCTCGATTAACACAAAAATTAAATTCCTTTCAAGAAATTAATATATTTTATTAATGCGTGTCCGAACTTTGGTTAAAATTCAATATTACATTACAATTATAATATTCAACACAAATATATATATTTATTGCTTCCGTTCCAAAAGCGTTATTATCCTTCCGTGAAACCTTATCGTATTGAAAAACACAGTAATATGAAAGGAAGCAAGGTTATTTGTAACGCAATAAAACAAAACTAAATAACTCTCATCTTCTTATGAAAGCTAAACAAAAAGGTACAGTCGTGAAACCTTGTTTATATAAAAAAAAATGCTTCATTGAAAAAAATTGTGAATTCCATTCTATTTTATCTACGAAATGCGCTTTTCAAATTATTCTGAAATCAAATTGGATCACGGTTTTAAGCGTGACGTTTTAGATATTTTAACTTCAAACAAATAAGTTGCATAACAGTTAGTTACCTTCATCGCCAAATTGAAAAAAAAAAATCAACGAATACACTTTAATATTACAATTCTTATAGAAATGGACGTAGCAACGTTAAATACCTTCACGACGAACACGAAATCCTCATTCCCCTAAGACTCATAAAACTGATACAAACATTCACTTTTGTAGGAATTTTTTTTTATGGTCAACATTGTTATCTATAAAAAAAAACAGATTTTGTAGAAAATTTGAAATATTGTATTTTCTTTTCGCAGAAAAACCTTAGTGATGTTTCATAAACTCAACCTGGCAACCCTGGTGTTCGCGACCTCTCGCTACAATCAGAAATTAAATGTGGAATTCAAAACAATAGAAACGATATTTCGTGAGGCTATTTACCAATATACAGGATTCAGATAGATTTTTACAATAGTTTTTCTTTTCGATTTGAATAAGGTTGATTTTGAATAGCACGAAAATAACCTTCTCATTTTAGAAAAAAAAAATCTATTTCGACGCTTGAAAGGCAAACGTGACTAAGCGACAATGCGTGAACTTTACAGTAGACTAATTTAACGTTGAAACAGCTGAAAAAAAAATTATTTTAACGAATCTTAATCGTAGCTGTAGTAGAATCTAGCTAGTAGTTGTAGGATTGAAATGATTTTTATAGACCTAGAAATATATATTTTTTGCGCATCGAATATGGTTATGCCTATCATTTATGTACAAAACAGTTATTCTCGCTTAGTCATGTTTGCCTTTCAAGCGTCGATATGTACTACAAGAAATAAAATCTCCTACAAAAGTCCGATCTTAACACTGATATTAATTCGATATGAATCAAATATTTATCGAATAAATCAACGGTACGTTCGAGTTATAATATTTAAACGTGCGCCTTAATTTCTGGTGAATAAGTGAATTACGATTCCCGAGCCGTTATCGAATTACGACCCTTACGATTTTCGTGCAAATTCAAATTTAAAGGACCGTTTAAAATATTTATAAATTTGTCTCAGTGATTCACTCATAGCAGTGGTAAAACAAAGCATTAGAATTAGCATTTTCAGAACTATTACTAATAAATACAATATTTGAATACATTCCAGAATGTGTTCATTGAAATTACAATATTTATAAAAGAAAAAAATGTATATATAAATAAAATATAGATAGGAACTTTTCAGTTAGAATTTCAGTATTAATTTTAATTAAAACAGTTTAGAATTTAAGGTGAAGTGATGTATTAAAAAATTCATTTGGTTACATTAATTCTAGAATATATTATAATAACAAGATTGGTCTCGACAACTTTTATTATATTCCCAATCATAGTCAGTTCACAGTACACCAACAGGCTTCCTTACTTTATGTCTTTTCATATGAAAAAGGGTCACATGTCAACAGAATTGTTGAATAATATGAGCAGGTATATGAGTTATCATAATTTTAATTAAATTTCATATTCTACAACTGTTTTAAACCGACGTGGCTAGGAAAAATATATTTTTTTGTACACCGACAACACTTCGTTTATAATATTAATGTTTTCTGTAATGAATTTAGGGTAAACCATACAATTATTGACAAACCGCAGCGATAGGAAAACTAATTTAATAATCGATTTATGTTGTAGGTTCTTTTTGTATTAATCTTATGTCATTTAATGGCAACACCGAGTTATGTTTTATTCTGTAGGAAATGTCAACATTAGATTTATAAAATACGTAAAGAAAAGTACAATATAACCGACAAGTGGAGTATCAATGATTCTACGGTTTACCCTAAGGCACGATTTATAAAAATACATCGGAACCTAATATTGCACTTTAATTAATATTACCATATTATTATTTATACAATTGTAACAAGTTCGGTTTTGAATGTCCCAATAAAATACATACTCAAACCTTACATAATACATTTTTTTAAACAACCATTCACATTCCGACTTTCGTGCATCGCAGATTTTTTAAAGTTCATCGTTAATGACTTTGACTTTGACGGTATTGACTTCTGACTTTTTGGCGAGAACGCGAGGAGTGAAGTCGTGTGGTTTGTTTTATTTTGTCTATTTAGTGTTCCTTCAGGTTTAAATGTATAATAACGGTGGTTTATTAACTGTTTAGTATCTGTGAAAGTGCACAAATGTGGGAAAATAAAACAAAGCCGCTGAGCATAACTTCTCGGGATCCTCCAAAAAGTCCACTGAAAAAGTCTCAGTAAATGACCACCATTTTACTGAGATCATATTTCTTATTCATTGAATACTGTAAGCCTCGAGGGTATATTGTTAGCCCGTGCCTGTATTAAGCTGAAATGTGACTAAACTTTTTTACTGTATTATGTTGGTTGATCGTTTATTTTGGCCTCAAATGACTTACAACTGACAACTTAGTGCTCTGCAGTTTACGGAACAATTTCGATGATAAAAGTAAATGGTCCCCTATTGCATTCTACTATTTAACAAAAAAAAACGTAGGCTCGCGCCTTATTGATGCAAAATTTTAAGAAAATAGTAAACCCAACTTAACAATGTATAATGAGAATGCATAATTAATGCATTATTAAGAATAACTCAAAAACTACTCTCTAGATCTTGATAATATTGAAATAAGACCTGTGTGCTTAGTGCGAGTTTTTTAACGTTCTCGATAGCGTAAGATTTAACTCATATTTGAATGCGATCGTTTGCGTACGTTTGCCGCTAGGGACGCTGTTCCAACTGCATACAAAGTTGGATTAACTTTTACGCTATCGAGACCGTTAAAAAACTCGCACTAAGCACACTGGTCCAATTTAAATTTTCTGCACCAACTTTCAAATAGAAAAAACGAAATCTGTTCAAAATCCAAAAAACTTCGACTCGAATTGAGAACCTCCTAGTTTTGCGAAGTCGATTTTGATTATTTTTATAGCAAAACAAAAACATAAACAAAAGCAGTATATGTTCCGAAGCTCACAAGAAGCTTCTAGTATTCGTGAGTGACGTGATAAGAGTTTGAGCTTTTAAAAAAAAAATCTGCGAAATACGAAACCGTACACTTAACTAATATTACACAGTACAAAAAACTTGCAGTTTTACCACTGATATGAGATTATTTGCGCCGCGCGCTCGTGTGGGGGCGCTGGTGTCGCCGGACCGTGTCACTCCAGTTTACCGACCTTTTTTCCCTTCACGACTGTAGGTTTGTTCTTCAATGCGCCTTTTCTTCTTCTTGAAGTCTGTTAATGTAATTCAAAAGTTAATATTTTCATGTAACAAAAAAAAAGGTTTGTATCTGAGTAGGTATATGAGAATGAAGCTTTACTTCTTTACAGAGACAGCGATGAAACTTTTTTTACTTCTTGTAATCATCTTAAATTGTACTTTGTAATCATTATAAATTGCTCATTTAATTATAATAAATTGTACATTTTAAATTGCTCACAAAAATAATGTAATTTTATATAGACAGTTTATTTAAATTAATTATAAAACAAATTAATCCAATAACTAAAGTTTCAACAACTAAATAACAACTGTATCTGTAACTATCCACAGTAAAACTAATTGACATTTAAGATTCGATAATAGGGAGAACGAAACCAAATATGTATGAAGATTAAATTATAATATGCAAAAGGGAACCAAATCCGTTTTAAGATGACTGACTACCCTTTGAATTATGTGTCACAATACACAAACAAACAAGACATAACAGTAATGAATCACAACACTAAACACTATTTGAAGCATTACAAATACGGCGCTATTGATGACAGTAACTTTTATTATATAATAACTAACTGTGTTTCTCGACTATTCTTTACTGTACTGTGTCTTTATGTACTGGTATCATAAAAAGTTTCAAAATCCATTTTTTTGCAACCAATCGCACATCTTCCATAATCTTAAAGCCACCATGTGAGAAACAATTGCTAATGTTGTAACTACATTACAAAGTTTCGACTGAATCAGATAAACACAGTACAAATGCATAGAACACAATCAAAAACCTTTTTTTTTTAATTGCCATATACAAAACATCGAAACCATAGACTAGAGGTGTGCTGTGATAAAATGGTGGTATTGATTTCTAACAGCATGCAAACAATTACAGAAGCCACAATCACAACATATATTTGTAAATAGTGATTAAAAAACCGCAATTAACCGAATAGTTACTGTACCGTTGAGGCCGCCCCTAACGAGAGCTGTAAAAAAATAGGCATCGATTGATTGTGACGTGTTAGTTAAGTAAATATTAACCTAATCTTAATGTGGTAGAGATTATATTTAGCATGCATTTTTTGTGGCATCTATTCAAGCAGGTTTTTGGGAAAAGGATCTGTTCGTATTTAGATAATTTCGAACGTAATAAAATCTTGTTAATTCTTGGATTGAATAATCATTTAAATCGATTGATTAGTGAAAAATCATCTCTTTACGTTTCTAAGATTTCCAGAAAGGTTAACAACTGTTAAATGTTCTTATGAGTTCTAAAGAAAACAAATTAGTGAGTTAGTGCGTTGAATGCAACTTAAGTCTGCTCACCTTCTTAGAAATGGTATTGCTTGTTGAAATTTTCCTTTTTGCTAGTGACAAACGCGGACGATTGAACTCAGATGGTTTTTTCACCCTGTTGGAAAAATATTAAATGTTAATAAAAATCAGTTGTCCCGATCTTCCTGGGTCCGAAGTCCCAGGCAGTCGTAGAAACCGTAAACAATGCTCGTTTTGTATGATATAATCAACTTTAAGGTTCGACTGATGCAGCCCTCAGACACAGCGCACTGAGTATCTCGCCGGATCTTCTCAGTGGGTCGCGTTTCCGATCTGGTAGTAGATTCTGCGAAGCACGGCACTTGCTAAAATTCGTGTTAGCAACGTCGTCAGGTTTGAGCCCCTTGAGCTCACCTACTAGTTAAGGTTACGCTGAAATAGCCTCTCAAGGCTCTCAGCTAGGTAGGAAAAAAGAAAAGACTGAGGTGTCGCCGTCCATAAAATGGACTTATGAAGATCGGGATAGAGAAATAAGGGCAAGGTAATGCCGCTAACTTTGTCCGTGTGTTGTGCGTTTGACTGTGTGCTGTCGGCTTAAAATAGCATCAATTTTGTTTCTTCCCCTGAATTATGTACAAGACGACGAAAAAATCATTGGAAATTCAGCAGTGGCGTTCTCAAGAGCATTATACCGGGATAATACGAATCAGCATTCACTGGTGCTATAGCGTAAACTAAGCCGGTAAGCTTTCTACCTTCTTTTTTTTAAACCTAATCTGATGGCCTTGAGAGGCCATTTCAGCATAACCCTACCAAGAGCAGTGCTTCGCAGAATCTACCACCGGATCAGAAACGCGACCCACTGAGAAGATCCGGCGAGAAACTCAGTGAAACTGTGGGTTAATTTACTCGCCGAGCCCTTCGTCGCAAGCTACGGGTTCGACGAGGACGATAACCGGCGCTTGGGGTAGCTAAAAGCACCCTTAGTGGATCAGGATGATCCCAAGCTTTCTACCGAAAAGCAGTATATCTCAGAGACTTTGACCTCAGTCTCAAGGTCTTTGGCGGCATTCACGTCGAGATATCTATGGACCACAGTACCTATTTCACATCAAGTGTGCTATGAGGTCGTTTACTCTTTTAAACAGCAAAAAGCGTCATTATAAGGCTCTCCATTATCGAAAGCAGATTAGGTTATGTTCGAAACCAATCCGTGGGTATTTGAATTTTTACCACCGCAACACGGGTCGCGATTTGACGGTGCCTTCGCGACTTGACCTCTGTCACTTTGTCTTGCATTATCACTAATCCTTACACATTCCTGCCCTAAACCCTTCTCCCTAAGTGATACGGCGTAAGACGACGAGGACATCGGTTCCGGTGAGTGATTAGACGATATTTTGTTAAAATAGTACATACGGCGCCGCGGATCGCGGCACATGTTCGACGGGCACCTCGTGCTGGTTTCCGGAGCCCTAGGCTGCCACGAGGACGCTGGGTTCGGATCGAACAGGTTGAACGACTAATGAATATATACATACCTGTATATCCTGACGAGCCAGTGCTCGGTGGTGTAGGCTTCCTCGAGGTAGGTAAGTTTGAACCCTCTGTTCCCGGGCAGCGCACTGCGCGTACGGTCATACCCGGGAGGGCTTCCCCCACTGTCGTACCTGCACAATATTGTTACGCCAGTTAGAGCAACGCCATATATCGTCGAATAGCAGAAATGAATATCAAAAGAACCCGTGAAACCTAGAACGCTCGAAAAGTACAACGCCATCTACTGTCAAATGGCGGAAACGCATATCGAAAATACTCGACTTGTGAGGAATATGCTCAATAATTCTAGAGATGTCATATCGACTATAAAAGCGTTGCAGGGATGTCACGAAGGCAGTTAGTAATCGGAACTATTCGAAGCGAAACAGCGAACGGATCACCTGAAGCGCAGCGAAAAAAATCAATTAAGAATTTTAAAGTGTTCTAAGTGTTAATACAGTGTTAATATGTACTTCGGTAGAATTTTTATTTATCCCGAACCCTAGCGCGTGACAAAATTAACATTCGTTTAATGAAAATTGATTTCTAAACGACTACCTAAATCCGCGAAGGTAAACTCGCAAGTCCGGAAAACTTCAAGAAAAAACTCACCTATAATACGAGAGTTTATACATCAAACAGTTCAACATAGTTTTTGATCCTTCAGAATCGATCCTGTATTCTCCTCTTTCAGTGAAATAGTCAACTTCCTGAAATCAAAATATATAAATAATTTCTAACACTAACATTATGTACTTTATATAATTTTTCATATATTTGTACTTTTAAAGTGCTACATATATTTTTAGTGCTATGTACGTTTAGAACAGCTCTATCGAGGCAGCAGAAATGAGCAGGCTGGTTGTGCCTACCCAGGTTCACAAGAATTGCTAACACTAACCCTAGCAAGAGCAGCGCTCTGCTGAATCTACTGCGGGATCCATGATCCGAATGAGAATGAGAATCCGATATTAGTTATTGCACGCGAAGCACTTGGCCGCAGGACTCAAACTTACTGGAACGCATCATCCAGCACTCCACCGGATCGTTTTACTTATTTAAACACAGACGCTCAATTTGAAGAATAATTTATTTAAACTCTTACGTGTATGTCCTTAGGATGTTCCCCCTCAGCGATCCTGACCATCCATATGAACTTGTTGATGTCGTCTCCGGAGTACCCGATCGCGCCCCCGAATATAACGAGCACGTAATCAACGTCCAGCATCGTCATGATGCTGTAGGCGGCGGACTCGTTGCTCGCCATCGCCTTCCCGACCAGTGCTATGTGAGAGTTGTTCCAGGTGTTATTGTCGACCAGGGTTGTTCTGTTACCCATTCCCGCTATCTGAAAATCATACATTTTCTATTAATTCCCAATGTTTAAATATGTTAATACTGGACTTAATTTAAATCGTTCAGGGACATTTTCAAGTTTTTTTTTAATTGACTATAAAGGAATTTTCTTAAATCTCGTTTGAAGAGAGAGTTCATAGCGCTCAAAAAACACGTAGGGTTTCATCCCAGAGTTTAATGGAAAAAGGTACAAATGATCTCTGAAAACGAATAGTACTAGTAGAAAACCAGATAGTATTGATGAATTCTATTCCAGAGATTGGTATAAAAAGGAGATGACGGCATCTTCATAAATAATCCTCGTATATTTTAATAAAAGTGGTATATCACGATTGAGTTAATAATATATCTAAAATACACATAAAAAAATATTTTAAAAACACCATTCATTTAGCATAAATTAGCATAAATAAAATATCATAAATATCGATAAAATAACACTTTTTTTCTTGAGTGAAATTTGTTGATTGCTAGGGTTTTTTTCTTTACAACACACTAGAATATGACTGATGGTGAATGGTGAATGTTCACAGACGTCACCAATACTATGAGTAGACCCAAGTTACCTATTACTGAATAAACCAACCGAGTACTATATTAGCATAGGTAATAATGAACTAACCTGATACCCGTAGTCCCACCAAGACATAATCCTTGCGTCTTCTGCTGTATTCTGCGATAACCAACCGTAAGCTTCTCGGAAGTCATCTAAGATTTTACGTGACCTTAAGAAACATATTTTTTTTTATTAATACGAAGCATATTTTTTTATATTAATATGATAACTTCCTGAAATTTATATTAGATTTCTCATATTACAGAACAATTAATTATATTAAATGCGAATACTATACTATACTTTATAGTTTGGACATAGCATTGCTGGTGTTAACTGGGTATTGAGTCGCATTTTTAATAAGCTTACACAGGCGAACGAGTTCACGGCCCACTTGGTGTTAAGTAGTTACAAAGAACCCTTAGACATGAGTTGTCTCAGTTCTATAATAGAATGGCTGCCCCACCCTTCAAACCGAAGCGTATTAAGTCTTCAGGGCAGAAATGGGTGGAATCATGATACCCACCCGTGCGGGATCAAAATACCACCAAGCTTAGGCACGTGGTTGAAGCCTTATTTTGTTTATTTTTATGGCCTTTGTAGGCAGACTACCATGCGGCTCATATGATGGTAAGTATTAATCGTCGTTCATAGGCGTCAACAATGCCACAGCAAGTCGTTGTCGGCTGCTTTTTGTGTTATAAAATGGTGGACGTTACCAGCAAAAACGTATTACACATTACCATAAACGTCTACATGAATATAAATTTTATTATATAAGGCCGAAGTCTCATGATTTTTTTGACTAATTGTTATGAGTGACCTTAGAATTGCTTCGACATCTGTCCGTGCGAATCCCACCACCAGTAAAGTGTAAGTGAGAGTTACTACTGACCCGTCATTGCCGTAGCTGGCCAGAACGATGCTAGGGCTGGAGTAAGCGTTAGACGTCGCCCAGGTGCAGTGCACAGAGAACAACATCAGCAGGATCATGAAGGCTATGAGCGTTCCTGAGCGCACGTTCATGCCCAAGCCGGTGTCCGCATTGGGCGCGGCCTCAAGTGTACGCTTCTTTACCTTACCGGCCTGTTGTAAAAAAAAAACATAATCACTGCCACCTCAAGATTTATATGTTACAAAAGTTCTACTAAGTCCCAAATGTACAGCGCAACAGCCAGGGCGGCGAGGGTCGCCCGGCAGCGCCTGTGTGCGAAACCCAAGAAGCGCCTCCTATTTTTACGAATCTTCATTTATCAATGTATTTTTTTAATTATTTCTTAATTTTGACTTATTGTTTTGATGTAAATCTTGGGATGCTTTTACTATAAAAGCATTATATGTTTTGTTATTTACAAGTTATACGTTGTGCCTATTGTACCTACTTACTAATCGATACTCCATTACAAAGAATTTGTTGCTGTGTAAGTGTGACGTAAATAATTTCGATAGCGGCGCCCTTATTGCCTTGGCGGCTGTGTGCACCGCACACTTCGCACATAGGGGCGGCGCAGCCCTGGCGACAGCAGCGCCACTCTTCAAATCGAAACGCATTACTGCTTCACGACAGGAATAGGCGGGATGGCGAGCTCACAAAGCGTCCTATCATCAATAGCAAATTATATTACATTTTTAAGTTACTTTAAGAAGTAACTTTGATAGCTACTAAACAAAAGAAAGTCGACTGACAAACAGAAGAGATTCTCTTTTTGTACTGAATTGTTTTGTCTGTGTATCTATATATTAATACGTGAAGCAAAAACTTTGTGCCCCTTTTCACGAAAATTGCGCGGACGGAGGAGTATGAAATTTCCTACACTTATAGAGCATATAGCGGAGTGCAGATTGCTAATGTTTTTTAAAAATTATGCATTAATAATACATTAAATCGAAAAAAAACATTACACACACTACCCTGTGATACATACACAGATACATTGATACACACATATATAGGTATATAAACTCTTTGTTTAATCTCAAACTTTTGCTATTGCCTGTGGTCAAATTGAGAATAGGTTAATATTGTTTATCTTTATTATTATTTGTCCAAAGTGTAGTCTTGGCGAAATCTGTAATTATAGAAGTATAATAGTATTTGACAATAGAACCATAACAATGTTCAAACTTATAATTTCGAATTCCGAAGTCGAATTTAGACTACTGCGGGATCGCTAGTATTCATAAATAGATGATATACATAGCGATACTGGAAATTTGATTAATAATTACATAACTATTCTAAGCCGAATTAATGTCGTACCTACAAATTATGAAAGCTACATGATTGTATCTGAGAAAAATATGCAAGTAATTAGACCTAACAGAAAACAAGGCTTATTTTAAAACTTACTTTATCATAGAGACTCTTAGACTCTTCACTGTCCGGGGATTGTTCAGGCACTTCGTCCTCTCTTAAGGCCAAGTCTAGGAGAATGGAAAAGGCGATGCCGGCCAGCACGCACACTACGGGCGTCAGGGTCAACATCAAACGAACCATCACACCGGCGAAATACACCGCACTCAGGGCATACAGAGCAACTGAAATAATACAAATGTTCGACACATAAGAATGAAAATTAACATTAACAAAATAAAACTCAGTATATATAATTAAAACTATATCTTATTTAATATCATCAGATTACTTGAGGTGGTCAATATTGTAAGTCAGGACAGGTAGATAGGTACCAGAGCGCATGAAAGAACAATGTGATTTCCATCACCCTTGCTATATCCAATCCGTATTATACCATATTTATATCCATATACTTCGATCAAAAATAGTAACTAGATAAAGGGATACGTACAAAATTAAAGCAAAAACTGTCCGCGTGAATATATACTAATATAGCTACATTCGTTTACTAACAAACGGAGAAAAAAGTTTTGAAACACTTTTACTTTCAAACTAATAACAACTATGGCACCTAGTAATAAAGTCACAAATCTCCAAAATATTATCTAATACTTACGATCATTCGTCACATAAAACGAGCAAAGCAATAAATTACTCCTGTCACTTACCAATAAAAAGACATATTTTAAACAACTTTTAATGTTAAATCAATCTTAAGGTGCAACAAATAAAGCAACTTTTCCCTTAATTGCTCTGAGAACTAACATCGTTTTGCTTAATTTATTTTTGCTTCTTGAAATGCCGATTTCTATTTACTACAGGAGGTAAGGGAGTCGCGCTTAAATTAATAACTAAAATAATTTATTAATGAATTAAAGTAAAAGTTTAGTTGTTTACTTTTTATGTTTTGGAAATGTATGTTTGTTAGTATCTATACATTACTTATTATTTTATTAGCGTTACGTTTTTGTGTAATATATATTTTTAAGTTTTCGCGACCAGTGCACATAATAAAACAACGTTTAAACGGTTTCAAGCGTGGTATTTTTATTACAATGTTTCGGCCACATTTCAGTAGCCGTGAGCACGGAAGGCAAAGATGTCCAGTGTCAATAAGCGGAGTTCTTAGCTGGCTTATAAAAGTCATCTCTTGTTTCTCTGGCGACAATCGAGATCCATTCTGCACACGTGATTGCTAGGAAAGCTAAAATAAAAATGGAAAGCTAAGTATCTAATGAGAGTCCAACAAACAGACACAAAAGCAGCATTAACCAATTTTAACCAACTAATTTTGAAGTGCTGCTAACAAATTTTAAAAAATTATTACAACACAAATCTACTCCATGCATTTACTGTTCTGTTAAGCAAAAGTTTGTCCATGTGTTGGCCGAGCCTTGGCCAACATTTGTAGCGGTGGTTAAAAATCGGTAATTTTGTTCAAAATTTAATATTATTTATAAGTTTAAAGCTTACAATATAGTTTATACTTCATGTACTTACCGAAAGTAAGATACTCCGGCCGTTAAATTGCTTTTTCGGGCCTTATTTTTGCAACTTTTGAATACACACTGCGGTATTGTGAGACGGGTTGACATTGGCTGTGTTTGAAGTGAACTAAACAAAATAAGAGCTCACATTTCAAGTGCGCTGTTATTTGACGAGACGGATTTTATGCACCGACCCGAAATCTAGTTACTATTGTTGATCGAAGTCCATATACAACATTATGGTATTCTAATCACTGCTCAAACAGGTTACTGCTTCAGAATTAGGCAAAGCATTTGTGCTTATACATATGTACCCTCAAAACATCTCAGCCCCAGAAACTACGCAAATTTAAAGGAATTTACGAGCCCAAAACGGAAGCAGATGGGACGTGAATTCGTCTATAAATCTACAACAATAGAACTGAACAACAACTTACCGAAAACTCTCTCATCATTCACATTCTTGATGCAGTACCACAGACCGACCGGGAACGTGCACACGAGCACGTGCAGATCGAAGAAAAATGAAGACCACGTCGTCGGCTGGTGCTCGGATACGGACGCTATGATCGGAATGTGAATCTTTGCGTATGCCGTGTCCCAGAGTGAATAAAACCTGTAAAATCAGACAATCTTTATTACAAAAACACTTCGGTACCTCCAAATTCAATTATCACGAAAGCTGCCACGAAAATTGCAGTTTATTCAATTATTTTAAATCATATTTACCAAATACACCAACTCAATATATATATAAACAACTAAGTTAAATTATACAAAGAGATTCAGATATCAAAATTTTGTTTTGTTGTTAAGTTTTATCAAAAGAGAATTATTAATGAAGATTTATAGTCTTAGCTTCGTGCGGAATTTATTTACAAAGCCGCGTGTTACTATCTCCCTTACGTAAAACTAACATACTTAATTTGAAATAGAAGAACAGCAAATTCTTGCTTACCTTCCACTCCAAGGTGCAATGACTCCCATGTATGTGAGGAGCACCACAGCCAGGAACACGAGTCCCGCGGCCAGCATACCGCCCAAGATGAGCAGTTGTTTCCATTGTCCTTTAGGGTTCAGACTGTGCAGGTACTTTAGGGCTCCGATGGCCATCAACAATGCAAACACACCTACGCCCATGCAATCATAACACAATAGGATTAGTTTATTGATTATTTTCCATTGCTTATTGGCAAGTTTTCAGAGGATGTGATGATATGTTTTGGATTAGTGCTTTAAAGTATATTTTACTTTTACAGTATGATCTGTGTGTCTTAAAACTGTCTCAGGACCCTGAGAACATGAAATGAATCATGGTGCTTCTGGTGTTAAAGACGAGCTTAAAATTTTTAGTCTACTCTTCACACATTACGTTGTGACATAAATATAATGGATTTTTTTTTTGTTAAGACAAAATTCAATCTATCAAATGTAATTGTGTGTGATCACCAACAAGGATGTCAGCAATGCCGGTGCCAGCTACTATCATATAAGTTTGTAAAAAAATCACAATAGACATTAATTTGGTTTTGTGGGGTAGAATAGCATGACACTTCCTGTGGGTGTCGTAAAACTCAACTAACGGATTCTTCGAAGGACGGTTGACAGCGTCCTCAAAGTATAATAGCAGTCAATTGCAATTGTCGATCGGTATTTACTGGTAGGGCAAATCGTAAACCTGCATGGCTAGTCCATTTCTACCATAAAGCAGGCATACATTCTGATTTAAAAGACTTTCGCTCATGTATCCAGGTGGGTAGTGATGATGTATTTCTATGGGTCACAAATACACCACTTGGGTGCCGTGCCTCAATACCTCAGTTATAATGTTTATAAAAAAGTAATTAAAATTTAACTGAGAGCTGTAATTATAGGTCCTGGTGTTTAATTAACTATTCGGTAAATTTTATCTGTAATTACAAAGATTATTTACTCGTAAAAATTATTTTATAACCAATGTACAGAAAGATATACTATACTGAGACCTTAGAACTTATATCTCAAGGTGGGTGGCGCATTTACGTTGTAGATTTCTATGGGCTCCAGTAACCACTTAACACCAGGTGGGCTGTGAGCTCGTCCACCCATCTAAGCAACTAAAAAAAAAGATTTTTCTTCAAATTCAATATTTATGAGCTTGCTGAGTAAAATATTATATTAAATTATTCATTGTAATTTAAAAATAGAAAGGGATGGAGTAGTTGTCAACTGAATATAAAGGCAATTAAGGCTTTCTATCTCGTGCTCAAAAGGCAATCAAGTAGAAAATTAAAATACATACCATGTTATTTACTTTTCTGATACACTTGTATCAATAATTTTTTCCATAAAGTTGTACAATTCTTTTGGTTTTTTTTGACTAATGTAAGAATAAGGCATGGCATGATTTACGAAAATGAAGTGTGTCACATATCCACACTGGTTTTCACTGATTTCACTAATATCATCGCTATTAATTTGTTTTCAGATTAGATTGATAGTTTAAGAATTAGACTAGTAGCTAGTATTGCAGACAGAATAGTCATTTCAATACATAACTGATTATCATTGATTAGCTTTATAATTAACATAATTTTACCTGACGCTGCCATATGTTCACTGGTACGTATTGGTTGAAACCCAACAAAGGGAATCTGCATGGACAGCAATAAGCCAATAATGTAGAAAACTGAGTAGCTGACGAAAAGACGCTGCGAGAAACGTCCCATTATTAGAAGAACAAAGACGTGAAGAGGTATCAAATTGATAATGAATACGTATCCGCCCCATGCTGAAACCTAGAAAATAAAATTGTAAAGGCCATAAAGTAAATATAGACTATCGTAAAATTGATGTTCAAGAAAGTAAATTTTTTATACAAGTTATTAGTTACTTTTTGTTACTTAGTTACTTTGAAAAAACACTTATAATCTAAATCTTAAATCAGGATTTCAATGTTTGTTCTACACACCAAACATTGAAATCTTGGTCTGGTATTCACATTGTGGTGGTAACTGGTTTTGATAAGAATTTAACATCATGACAGCAGCAAGCCAGCCCATTAATTTAGTAATCGATTTATTTTAAAATAGTATAAACCATACTTTCAGTACTAAAAAAATTGTTTGAAATCCAAGTAAACAGTGACATTGCAAGTCATAAATTTACATTAAAAAGAACCTGAGTTTTCTATGACACAGATACAAATAAATTTTTGTTTAATACTCACCATGTAAAAATATGACAATGCAGTGCAAATAGACCAGAATACGGACCCACTTTTAACACTTTTCAGCCACAAGTAATATGTGAATTGCAATGCAAATATAGCAATTCCTTCATTATCGTAGCTCCCAGCAACGGATCTACTGCTGTAACCTGGCACTATAGCTATGAAACAGGCAGCAAATAGCCCAGCTCCACGCGACCATAGTTCAGAAGTCAATAAGTACGTTGCAATTGCTGTGAGCCCACTAAAACACAAGATTATGGACATTTATTCATATTTGATTACATTTTTTTGTATCCTGGTAGATAAGACTACTTATATATAAGATTACTATACATAATTTTACTGTAGGAAGCTGTCCAAGCACAACACAATATTCATTCGAAGCTATTGTTCTAATAAACAATAACAGATTCTCTTTCTACATTCAAGTTTTTGTAACCTTAGGGGCTGTATATATCCAACACTGGACATCTCTAAGTTGATAATGATAAACATGTAATACACGGAAAGTTTTACAGAAATACTATTTTTGACCTTCTTCAAAAAAGCTGGAGGTTCTCAATTCCAATGTACTTTTTTATGTGTGTCAGCTCAGCGTTTTTTCTAGGTGAACAGAATGATCATTTAAATTTGAAAGAGAGCTCTTTTCATGTGGTCCCATTTAAGATTTATCAAGATCTGTCCACAATTTTTTTTTTTAATCCTTAATGTATTTTTAATTGACTTTGAGAACATTGATAATATTATCATTTTATTTTGTTGAAGTTTACAAGCAGTATCAGTATAGCATGATATGGTAGGGTGAAAACAGTACAGAAAATTTAATGAAATTCTCATAAATACCTGAATACTGGGGCAAGGAATACACATATGTCTCGGATATGAATGGGTATGTTGAGAGCATGCAGTATCCAATGTATAGTGCCTGAAGTGATCATTAGACCAGGATACACCGTACCCCCCACGATACGTCCCAGTGGGTACCAAGCACGCTCATCGAACCAGTTCAAAAAATTATAGAAACCGTGCTGAACCATATACGCTGTAGACCGGTAGTTGAACCTACAACAGGGTGAATAATGTAGGCAGTCAAATTCTACCAAAATATGTTTTGGGGTTCCAATTAATGTAAATAATATGACTTACCAAGGATCGAATTCATGAATTATACTTTCAAAACGTATCACAGCGAAAAGCCGGGATGCGAAACCGGCCAACCAAGCCAGTGTCAGGACAGTTACAGTGATGAGCGTACTCAAACCCGCCGTATTTTGAAATAGCCCCTTGCTGCGCCCATTACTGGGAAGGGTCTCAGTAGTGGACGGCATCCTACTCCCCAGAAGTATTAATAAATTTTCTAAATATTCACTAAACTAGTATTTTCATACATCAGTCCCAACAATTCAATTCCGAAGTGGATTGACTTTTTGGCTAACTGACGGGACGGACACGTCTCTCACAAAATAGTTGCTATTACAAAAATGAAGGTGTGTATGCATTACCTATTGCTCAAATAAAATCGATTTAAAACGATTTTTAGAGTCATTTTATTTCATTTTCAATACTGTTAACACCAACATAAGTTGACATATGAAATTTTGTTGACATGTGACGTAAGGACTTGAATTTTGACCACTGAAGTAGGAAACCTATGACAGACTTATGTTTGTTGACGTTGATCTCGTCGTGTTTTGGAAGTAAATAAATCTACAGTTTATTCTTTAAACATTAATATAAATAAAAACTCTGAAAGAGAATTCAGAGGAGTGTAATTAAATGTCAAATTACCAGGAAATAGTCAATTTAAACATCGGAGGCACGAGGTAAGTTAATTTTTTCCAGCGAAACTGCGTGGGACTGCAAATATTAAAAATAAATAAATCTACCCCCTCAATATTCGCATCATTAATACATGATTATATGAAATTATTACAGTTGGAAGATAAATTCCAAATAATTCACAATACGAAATCAAACTAAAACACACAATAGTAATAAAATTGTGAAAGGTGAAAGTGCAAACCGTATAATCTAATTGGTCACGACGTTGTAAATCTGTGAAACTCGGAATGCGAACTACATTAAATGCTGCATTAAAGTGCAAACCTAAACATTAATTGTATCTTATATGGCTGAAAGTATATATAATTTATTTCACATAACAAAAAAAATAAAATTCATTAACCTTATATCATATATAAATTAAAATGGGAGATAAACTTTCCTTTATCGACCTGTCGATTTGGATGTTAATTTTTTTTTTTTGTAGATAGTACTCATTAATTGAAAGCTTTTTGCAAAATTCCAAATTGCAGAAAATCATGGCTTATGAAGTGAAGTCATTGTGGCCTATAGGATAAGATGTCTGCTGCATTTTTATCTAGCGATGCGCAGGTGGGCGAATCCCACTGGCAAGTACCAATTTTTCTAATGAAATACGTACTTAACAAATGTTCACGATTGACTTCCACAGTGAAGGAATAACATTGTGTATTAAAATTAAATTACTTGTGAGTCCGCGCGGGTAGATACCACCGCACTGCCTATTTCTGCGGTCCTCGTCCGCTGTGACGAAGCACGAGACCTTTGCGAGCTGAAGAGGCTGACGCTAGATGCCGAAGACGAAAATCAAGCAGAGGCTGTGGAGCGGAGCATGAGTGATCGTACTTCGGCAAACAAGGGCTGTTCTTCCCGCAGCGCCAGAGATAAGGCGGACTTAAACTGAGGAAGGAGAGGGAAGCTTCCTCCAAATTTGACTAATTAGTGCTATTCTAACCTGAAACATTAACCATAGATATGTCCGTAATCACGTGATTCTGTAGGTTGGGTATGGTACACCGGTCCCGCCCTATAAAACGATGACCCATAAACGAAAGTTTAACCAAAATGGGTAATTTTTTTTAGATTTTCGACATCATGGCACACTCTTACTTGGGTACCAGACACATTCTTCACAGCGCTTCTGAGCGGACGCATTCCTACTGTCAGAGATGAAACAGGAGCCATATTCATTGACAGAGATCCAAATCTATTTGGACTCATTCTGAACTATCTTAGAACTAGAGATATAGACCTTAACAATGTAAACGTAAGGACATTAAAGCATGAATGTGATTACTTTGGCATCACACCATTAAGCAGAAGGTTAGCGCTATGTGACGAGATGACCCATTCTTCCTGTGGAGATGTACTATTTTATGGATATTTGCCACCGCCATGTAAGTACTTATAGAGTTTAAATAAGCTTTATGAAATGCTATAAAAATAAGTGCAGATATAATTAATACGAGAAAGATAATAGATAACATCTAGGAATCTATTTCGATTGAAATGTGCATTTGTGTACAACCTATAAAATTCATTAGGTGCTGATTGAACGATGTTATCAACTGCTCTCCTTATTATAGTACATGTACGAGTATTTGACATGCTATTTAGAGTGCTTTCTTTCTGGTCGTTCCCTCAATGCTGAGGATCGTGACTGTATGTCAATCTTCTCCACTCGGTCCGGTTCTGCGCCATATGTACCGCTCCCCATATCTGGCCTCCAGTCACCTCCTTGAGTTGGTCAACCCATCTAGCTGGCGCTCTTCCTCTAGCGCGCTTCCCCTCCATCTGTCCGAGAATTGTGAGTTTCCCCAGGCTGTGCAATGAGGATCGCATTATGTGTGCCCAAAGAAACTCCGGATCCTTTCCTGGCACATAGTCAGCAGGCGCTTGGTGACCTTCAGCTCTTCGAGGATGGAGGCATTGGTTCTCATAGCTGTCCAAGAAATGCGTAGCAGCTTTCTCCAGCAATACATTTCAAACGCCTCAATCTTTTTGCGTTCCTTTTTCCTGAGACACCAAGTCTCCACCCCGTACAGGAAGATAGAGAAGACCATCGTACGAACCAGACGCATCTTAGTTACTCGGCGAATATTACGGTCTTTCCAGATTTTATCGAGGCTAGTCATGGCACTTTTAGCCATCCCGATACGGCGTCCGATTTCTTTCTCGCAGTTACCACTGTTAGAGATCAGCGAACCCAAGTATATAAATTCCTCCACTTTCTCATAATCCTTGAGTGCATTTGATGGACTTAAAACTTGAGCTCTGTCCACCGTCATCACTTTGGTCTTAGAGCGGTTTATGTGCAGGCCAAATTCAAAACTCACTCTCTCTATTCGCTCCAAGATCACAGTCATCTCGGACTCGCTGGCTGCAAGGATTGTTGTATCATCGGCATATCTTAGGTTCGTGATCTTCGTACCGCCCACCATAACGCTTAGTATGTCATTAAAATAAAATTAAGTCAGAATCCCTATATATGGACACATTAATGAAATAAACACAAATACTAAGAATTAGTCCACAGGTTAAACTAGTTCAATTTGTACTGAAAACTGGATCCATGCCTAAAAAACTTTGGTCAAATGAAAAATTACAGGAAAACGTTGGTATTATTATGAGACATCTATTATCAAACAAAGCTAACCAAAATTTTAAAATTGCAATGTGTGTAGGTTAGACACTTGGTGCAATAACTGAAGAAATTTTGATTTTGAATGCGTTTAGAAACTTCTTACTTTCATTTCAGTAAGCACAGCACTACCAAATACCAGCACTGTCAGAAACGGAAATGGCTGTTCTCGTAAAAACTCAACAGCATCAAATACAGAAATTACTGTAAACAGAACACATTCTAGAAACTCCTCCCTCGATCTACGTACTGTTGGAAGAATACCCTCACAAGATCAGCTAAGGTAAATAACAAATTTTATACAAGTGTAATAAAAATATTTGATCAGAATAACAAATAAATTACTAGATCTTTCATTTATATATGAATAAAACAGTTGTTAACTATCTGATGTAACTGAATTTTGACAGCCGTTGTGGTAGAGGACATTCAAGAGCAGCTTCCCTGGGAAATGCAGACTGTCACAAAGGCCAAAGACCACCCGAACGTAAGTCTAAATTAAATATAAAAACCTGTTCATTAATTCTAAGAAAAATTCTAATTAAAATGACAGATATAAGTAACCATCCAAACTCGATGGCTGACTGACCGCAATAACCTTGCCACCTAACTAGGTCTACAGACAGCAAGCTAGTAAATAGTAACTGCTATTTGATTAATTATGAGGTCTTGTTGCTGGCCATACTAGTTCAACAAGTGCCGTTTGCATTCACAGGTCTACTACCGAGTTCAAAATTGTAGCTTAATAAGTTAAACATTTATTTCACACTTAATTTTTTTTTTAAATCTAACGAAGTACTACTTATTGAATTGTTTATTTGATTATTCAAAGGTCGTGAAAGATTGATTTGGCACAGAAAATTTAAATTATTTTCCACATTAATAAGTTTTTTTTTCACAGTGAATACATGGCCAGACAACAGCAAAGTACACATTATAAAAGCACATCACAACTGGGTCGTGGTTGCCTATGCACATTTTGTAACTGGTTACAGGTAATTAACTATATACAGGATGTATTGTTTTGTTTAATGATTTTTTTTTCTAAGTTATATACTCATGTCAAAATTAGCTTAATTGAAATTACTGAAGCCTATGAAAATAATATTTTAAACCAAAAAATAATTTCCTGTTTGATACAGATTGACAGACTCATGCGGATGGTATGTAGTATTCCAATCACCGGTACAGGATTCAGTAATAGAAAGGATAGCATTAAATGCGAAGACCGGCGGTGGCGGGACTTCTGGCAGTAATAACTCCACCGGCACTGATGTTATGCTTGGCATTGCTAGTGGGCCACTAGTAAAACTGTGGGCATTCTCGACGCATAGCGAACCTGTTAGGAGAACTCTGATTGGTAAGGTTATGAAACTTTTAACTAATTAATCTTAAATATTAAGTTATTATAATTAAGAATATAATAAAAGCTCTAATATTTTAAACTGTCTTAACCATTCGAAAATTCAAATACTTTTGACGGGTTGGAATAGAACCTCATTTTCAACATAGTTTTAAATTAATTTAGAGTTTATTTGCCTAAGACGCTATATGGACAATGAATCCGCCTTGAAGGCGTAAGAATTTCAAAAACGTATTACTAAAGAACGTCGTTTTAAATTTGGAACTCCTACACGGTCTATTCGCATTCCCGCTTCTTTACGCGTAACAAGTAACATTTATTAAAAATATTGAAATCTAAATTAAAATCCGCTTATGTCCATCGCTATCTCATCATACCTAAACGTCTAATTAATACAAAATAACATCATATAAGTCCACTTTGTGAAATCCGTGGCCTTGCAAGAATTCAGAATCGCGTAATCGCTACTTCAAGAGCAAATCTGAATTTCTAAGGGTAATTTCTGCCGTGAAGTAGTCATGCAGCCGGTTTGAAGGGTTGTTTCAGCTGTGAGACAATACAATTGCAATCACCACATCATGTCTCAAGGTGGGTGGTGGAATTCACGTTGAAATGTAAAAGGGTCCTGGGTACCACATAACCCAGCTCAGATAGAGTACTAGAGTCAGTCGACTGTGACTACAAAAGCTGTGTAGTATTCATAACTTAAGAAAGTAATATAATGACAATTAAAAAAAAACGCGAAATTAAACCGTAAAAGTATTTTTAATTTTGCTACCTTAAAATTAACGAGAAAACCAATAACGAAACCTTTTCCAGGCTCATTTAATTTAGGGGTTCGGATAGAGCATCTATTGTTCGTTGGACCACAACTAGTCGCTTTAAGTGGGGCCGGGAGCCGCAGTAAGGCCGGCGTCTGGCACACGAGCACACAGCACTGGCAGACGCAGGACGTGGCCCATCTAACCACATACGACACAGCCGGCTCGTTCCTGCTACTCGGAACTGCTACCGGAGCCATCAATTACATAGGTGATGAGATACAAGAATTGTCTAATGAGCAACCCTAAAGGCTTCGTCAAACAGAACGCGTACTTAGCGTGCGTCAGAACGCTAAACTAACAGCGCGCTATAACGCCGAGATGCGTTGTACTCTCGTACTATTAGAGTAAGATCCCAGGGCCTCTGGACGTCACGTATTTTCTGACGAACGAAATGTAGCCGATTGCGTAATGTTAGTATGTACTAAGACCGCATGCCTACCTTGCTTAGACGGCCAATTTTCAGGTATCAGGTACTCAAGGTACATAAAATCATTACCTACTTCACGTAAATTCTGAAAGCTGATTTTTATATATGTCCACCAGACAACTATTTTAAAACCTCTTACAAAAAGACAGACCGATCCAAGGGGCCAATCATCCCCTAAATTCAATTTAATACCTCTGTGGGTAAGAGCGCGAGGGCATTATCCACGCGCATGAGACTGAGTGAGACATGTGTCAGGATATATTGACTTCTCTGTCTCTCTCTTACAGTTGACTCATATCAATTAATAATTAATATTAAAAGAAAATCAGTTAAAAATTAAATAATCAGATAAATAATTAATCACATTATATATGGAAATTGACCCTATATATTTATATGTAATGATTTTTTTCGATTTCGTATTTTTTTTTTTTTTATTGCTCTTGTATATGGTAATATACTGTCAAACAGAGCGCCAACGCTAGCGGTACGCAACGCTCTGTTGCGGCGTTAGGTCGCTTTGACGTCAAGCGTTGTAATTTTTTACAAATATTATTTTAGCGTCCGAGTGAATGTGTATTAAAATACTGGCCCGAAAAATTGATAGAGTTAATTAAAAAATACCCATGCTTATACAATGCCACATCTGAATCACTCAACATCTTAATACTTTTAAACTTTCAGACTGCTTTCGAAACGCATTATGATTTGACGAATCAAGTCAAGGTCAAGTCAAGTTTCGTCAAGGAGCGTTGGGCTCATCTAGTCAATTTGTGTGACATGAAAAGAGCGCGACGTTAAAACGTAGCGCTAAGTACCTACGCGTTCTGTTTGACGAAGCCTTAAACGTAACACTTCTGAATAGTTAAAAAAATATATCTAATTATAATAATATATGTGTAGCCGAAACTTTGTAGGTACCCCCTTTTTACGAAAATTGCGCGGACGAAGGAGTGCAATTTCTCACACTTATCGAGAATATAGAGGAGTGCAGAATACTAATTTTCTTTTAATTGTGCATACAGAATTCATTAGATCAATAATGACAGCACATATACTGTGTGTTTATTGTCAAACTTTTGTTATTGTTGTAAGGTCAAACTGAGAATAGATTATTATTGTTTGTCTTTAATATTATTTGTCTATAGTGTACATAGTCTTGGCGAAATCTGTGATTATAGAAGTTTAATAGTCTATGACGGTAGATCCATAATAATGTCAAAACGTATAATTTCAATTATTTATAGTCGAATGACTTGTCTATAGTGTAGTCTTTGCGAATTTGTGATTATAGAAATATAATATAATAAATAGTCAATAGAACCTTAATGTCAAAACTTAAAATTTCAATTAATTATAGTCGAATTTCGACTACAGAGAATCTAGTTAAAATTAATACAGAAAATAATTATCACCATTTCGGAATTTACTTTATCCGTGTTTAATACAAAAAATATAACAATTTGTCGTAAATATACATCGATCTATTCGATGTAAATATAGGACATTCGTGTGTAGGTACCATACCCGCAGCTCAAGTTAGTTTAACAGATCCACAGATAATGTTTTTTTTTTTTCAGACATGCAGAAGTTTCCGTTGCGAATGAAAGACAATGATCTCCTCGTCACACAACTGTACAAAGATCCAAATCTCGAGCCAATAACTGCTATATCAGTTTATTTAACGCCAAAGACTAGTAAGTCCTATTCTTTTTTTTCTACCAATCTGCAATTGATTTTTTATGCACTGGAGTCATATGCTCTGGTTTGAAGGATGGAACACATATACAATATAGAAGAGACTTTGACGTCACGTTGTGATGTCTATGGGCTTCGGCAAACACTTTAAATCGCGTGGCTGGTAAGCTTTGTCCATCCGTCTACGGAATAAATAAAAAACGATCACAAGTTGCAACTACGTTCTGCTTTTTCTTTCGCTAACTATTTACACGCTCCGCTCTTACAGTGCGATCGATATCTGTCAAAAGAAGGGACACTTGTAAATGAAATTTGAAAAAAAGGTCCCCCACTGGCATTAAGCATTAACTTCATGCTAATGTTTATAGATCTATGCGGCAATTGGATCGAGATCGCTTACGGTACACGTTACGGTTCAGTCCGCGTGATCGTTCAGCACCCGGAGACAGTGGGCCATGGACCACAGCTCTTCCAAACATTTACCGTGCACCAGAGTCCTATTACTAAGGTAAGGTAAGGTTTTTTTACTGGTGGTAGGACTTCTTGTGAGTCCGCGCGGGTAGGTACCACCACCCTGTCTATTTCTGCCGTGAAGCAGTAATGCGTTTCAGTTTGAAGGGTGGGACAGCCGTTGTAACTATACTGAGACCCTTAGAACTTACATCTCAAGGTGGGTGGCGCATTTACGTTGTAGATGTCTATGGGCTCCAGTAACCACTTAACACCAGGTGGGCTGTGAGCTCGTCCACCCGTCTAAGCAATAAAAAAAAACGAGACATTAACTTAGAAACTTTTTTTTCATTTATAAGTCGCATGTCATTATCATATTGCGCACTCTATGCGTGTTTTCATTTAAACTATTCTACAATCTCAATAATTTGGTGCAGGATTCCCATAAAGTCTAACTTTAAATTAGTTTCCCGTCTAATTGTATTTGTACTTAATGTTAATAATGTCTTGATATTGACAAGCACATATAATCTAAATATAAAAGATCACAGTTGGTTCAAAAGACTCATGTTTAATATAATAGCCTCTGTTTTTTTTAAATTATGATATAATTGTATAGAATAAAATACTTTAATTGGGTACTGAAAGTGATCTACACCTATAGCGGTGCTTAGCGTGTCTTGTAAATAACCTTGGTGTAAATCCTTTGACAATTTAACTGCAGTCCATGGTTCGTGCGTAATAGTGCCGGTGGATTGAAGACATTTTGCAAATGCTGCATTGCTAGCACGCATTGTAACGAAATTACATTGCGCGTCCGATAACCTTACGCATAATTATTTCAATTAATTATTATTAAAACTGCAATTTAATTGTCTTGTCGCTGAGGGGCTTAATCGATTCGGGAATCGATACATCGCGTTTGTAAGCTAACGTCAATTTTTTTTTTTTACAAAATAATTTGTTCAAGGTGTCCCTATCGGAAAACTATTTGATATCGGTATGCAGCGAGTACAATCACGTGCGTTCGTGGCGCGTGACGCGTTTCCGGGGAATGATATCGACCCAGCCCGGCACAACGCCTAATGCCGCCTTCAAAGTGCTGGCTCTGGAACCGCCCACCGCCCATCCTCACAACGATTGCGGTAAGCTAGCCACGTCTAACATTAATCGCAATATTTCCGGAAGACAATTGTCACAGCAAAGCTCACACATGCATATGTGGGGAGGCTTAAACGACAAAGGGAAGATCTTCCACCGAGCGGGTGATATTTGCTCGATAGACCGACGCGACGACGATCCAAATGTTGTTGTTCGAAACTTGTTATCTTGCTTATCTTGAAAATGTCGTAAGCGAGATTCAGGCATCTGTCAAATATTTTTTTAAGAGATTTTATGACCTGGTAGCTGAGACCTTTAAGTCATGTCTTATTTTAATTTATATTATTCATATTTTTATGAAAAATGATATTATGGAGTGAAATAAAATGAAGATGATTAATTTGATACACTAAGCAACTGGGATGAAATTAAATCAAATGAATTGAGATGATATGGGATGAAATATAATCTCAGTAAAATGGTGATCATTAACTAAATTTTTTTCTGTGGAATTTTTGGAGGATCCCGAGAAGTTACGTCCAGCGGCTTTGTTTCATTTTCCCACATTTGTGCACTTTCACAGATATTAAACAGTTAATAAACCACCATTATTACACATTTAAACCCGAAGAAACACTAAATAGACAAAATAAAGCAAATCACACAACTTCACTCCTCGCGTTCCCGCCAAAAAGTCCATCTGTCAAATACCTTGCGTTGTATGATGACTTCCCGCCACACATACATACATACCTTCACACACATGATATCGAAGGGTGAAAAGCTATTTGGTTTAAGCGACATTTGGCAACCTACCAGGAGAGCCACTTAAAGTTTAAAATTTGGTAAAAATATCATAACAAAAAAAACTTCTTCAGCTATTTGAATGGAGTAAACTTCATTAAAGTCTAATTAAAAACGTCGAATTCTTTATGCTAATACCAAATAATGCCTATTTTTTCCGTGAAGCAGTAATGCGTTTCGGTTGGAAGGTTGGGGCAGCCGTTGTAACTATGCTGAAACAAGGTGGGTCGCGGCATTTACGTTGCAGATGTATATGTGCTCCGGTAACCACTTAACACCGGGTGGGTCGTAAGCTCGTCCACCAACCTACGCAATAAAAAAAAACGCCCCCTCCTCAATATAAAGATAAATGTCGCATATGAAGCGAAATGTCACTTAAATCAAATAGCATTTAACCCTCGATATAAAACCGTAATTGAGGCTTTGAAAATGTTCTCTCCTAAAAATTTCAGGACCTTACGGGGAGCAAGATGTGGAGCAAATATTCATACAAAAAGTCATCCCTGATACGGACACGTTGTACGTACGATTGGCTTCCAACGGAAAGAGGTAAGTAAGCTATTCTTCCTATTTGTACACTCTTGACAGAGTGGTCGTGGTCATGCATCAGTCGGATACGACCTGCTCATGACTCTTGTGGAAAATTAGTGCAGTGGTTTTCCGTTGCCTTCTGACGCCTCTTCCGTACAGGTTGCCCTGACGGATGTCAGTGTGATGATTCTCACGGACAATTAAACCTGAAGGAAAACCAAATAGACAAATTAAAACAAATCACACAACTTCACCCCTCGCGTTTCAGTCAAAAAGTCTGATGTATTATGATGTTTTCGTTAACAGGGTGTGCACGATCCGTTCGGTGGACGGTTCGGCGGTGTCTTGCTTCACGGTGGCGGAGTGCGAGGGCGCGCTGCGGCCGCGGCGGCTGCTGCTGTGCGGCCACCGCTCTGGAGCCGCTCAAATGTGGGATTTGACCGCCCCTATTGATAGGGCTGTCAAACCTGCCTCGTCTGTGCCCACAGGTACGGACCGTTACTATCGAAAAAAAAATTCTTTTTCTTTTTTTTTATTGCTGAGATGGGTGGATGAGCTCACAGCCCACCTGTTGTTAAGTGGTTACTGAAGCCCATAGACATCTACAACGTAAATGTGCCACCCAAAGTGCATGTTGAGATATAAGTTCTAAGATCTCAAGTATAGTTACAACGGCTGCCCTACCCTTCAAACCGAAACGCATTACTGCTTCACGTCAGAAATAGACAGCGTGGTGGTACCTACCTACGCGGACTCACAAGAAGTCCTACCACCAGTAAAAATTGTTTTGCAATCAAAAAAATGTTCGTGATAGAAGATGGTACTAATCCAGCAGCAGCGGTAGGCAGCGGCTTGGCTCTGCCCCTGGCATTGCTGAAGTCCATGGGCGACGGTAACCACTCACCATCAGGTGGGCCGTATGCTCGTCTGCCTACAAGGGTAATAAAAAAATTAAAAAAAAACCCGAATTCACAAAACGTTTTGTTAAGAAAAATCATTTTTAAAAATTCCCGCTAAATTTACAATTTAATATTATTACTTCGTATCCCAAGTACACCGTCTTATTCATCAGACTACATAATGCTTCCGACGTCCATCTGACAGTTTGTAGTTGACGCTTAAAAACATTGATATTACAACGTTACCTTCAGACTGTCGTGACCACGCAAACCCGAATTCTAAACCTCCAAATTTAGTTATTTTCGACACGATCTAACCAAATCTACATTTTGCCAAAATTAAAGCCTTATTAGTATTCCTCGTCATCCTTTACAGTCGACCTTTACAGTGCAACTCGGTGCACGTGAAAGAAGTGAAACTTCTTTTGCGGTGTGAAGTATTGTGGTTTTCTTTATTTTTCATTCTTAAATCAAATATATCTTGCAATGCTGTGTATAAGATAAGCGATCTCTTCACTATTTATATATATTTTCGATTATATATAGAAAAATAAATATATAAATAAATTCTTTAAATCCTTCATTAATAACAAATATAAGATAGTTAGTACTTTACTGCCATCTAAAGAAGCAATGAGAAACTAGCCATCTAGTGGCCGATGCCCGTAAACAGAATGCGTATAAGAGAACGGCCTAGCTCGCTTTCTCCCTCTGAATGGTCTGCGAGACGCTCTGTGTATTTTCTCACTCTCGCTCGTCCTAAACTGCATCTTTTCTCTCTAGCTGTAACGAATCTGTCGCCAGTAAAATGTTACTCTCAAAGCGCCTAAATAAGTTTCACTTCAAAAATGCATAACTATAGAATACCGCCGAACCAATTTCGGTGTGTAATATTAGATCAAAATCGAAAAAATCAGCTCGTAGCAGTAAATATTTTTGTTAATCAGATCGTGAACAGTAAGGAATGTTCGTTCCCCCTCCCAGGTGAAGGTGACGAGTCTCCGTCCACCGAGGGCGGTCCGACTCCGGACGAGCTGGTCCGACTGCTGTCCGGCTGCGATCTGGACGCGACCCCGGTACCGCAGTCGCCGAATCGTCCCATACAAGCACCATGAGAAACACCCAATTGTTTATACGCTGCCCTCTGCGATTTGTACACGTACGTTTTCGATACATGAAATTTTAACTAATTAAATAATTCATAACCAAGAAATCAGACTCCGAAAACAAAACAATCTAAACAGTACTTATAAGTTACTAGCCGTACTAGCCCGCTTCGCTGGGCATTTAAAACTAACATTATTATTTATTGTCATTATTATTAGGGAGTCCAACACTCATATAAATATTAGCCTATCCATTAAGTACATGTATTTTCTACATGGATACCAAGTTTCAAGACAATCGGATGCATGGTTCAGTAGTTATAACGGAACATCCGTAAAAGCCACTGTAGATTTATATATTAGTATAGATATTTGACAAATCAAAAGATTTCAATCAATATTTTCGTGAATTGTTATAGATTTTTATACTTCATCTGATATTGCAGTCAATCTTAACGACTCTTGTTGGCATGAATGGCAAATGTTTTCATGTTTGGGGTCAATATTAAGTAAGGTCAGCTTGTTGATTCGAGCTTTGTGTGACGTCACACGTTATGAAATTGCATTCGGTCATGTATGATGAAGTTCACACGCGATTAAGAAACTCAGATTTATATGATTATATTAATATGCAGATTACTTTGCCGGATGGGGGCATAATCAAATTCAAATCCCAAGTCGACTATCTAAAGGGAAATTCAGTTCGGGGTTTGAGCACTGGGGACCCATTAAAATACCATCCAACACTACTGTCCCACAGTTGACATATGATTCAGGAACATTGTCACAATATTCAACTGAGTCCCCCAGAACATAAAGCTTAGTCTTCCTTAACGGAATACTGTTGATACAATTATTAATACAGTTGCAACTATAGTATAATGAATTATATTTTTTTGTGAAAAAAATCTGTACGTAAAAATCGTATAATGGCAGTAAGTGCGATTTAAAAAAATGCTCGGATCTCTTGCTTCTCTTTTTCGATCTGTTGAAATCGTACCTTTTATCCACCACTTTTCGCAGAGTATACCTAAATCCGAATTATTTTGTTTTTACGTAAATTGAAAATATATATCTTACTGAATTATAATTTATCTTTATAAATAATAATATATTTATTTAGGACTAAAACAATAATATATATTATTTATCTTATTAAATATATAAAATGTATGAAACATGTTCGTGACGGCGATTTAAATAGTGTAAATAGAAAAACATGAAAATAAATCCTTCGATTGTTACTCTGATGAATTAAATGAAATTAAATTAATGCAACTACGAATATGTATTATAAGGAAGTAGATAAGATATATATTTTTTCTTTTTATAATGTATTAATTTTGTAATGAAAATCGAAAAGATATTAAAAATGAGCATATTTCAATCTTATAGTATTATAGCAAATCAATTCAAATAAAAACTCAAATCACCGATGGTGAACAGAATTACACATTGTACAAATGTGCCAAAAAATGTAATATAAAAAATGACAAGTCTTTTTTGTCAGGTGTGAAATGAATTGCTTGCGTAACGCATTGCGCATGCGCCTTTGTTTACAGAACCAACATTAGAAACATTAGAAACAACATTAGAAACTATTATAGTCTTGGGAATAATAACGCCATCATTTTTCTATATTAATAGATATTTATACAAAATAATTTCTATTTTTTTATCTCTAATTTCTTATGGAATTAATATAATGATACGTAATCAATACGTGTTATAATTTTTCGAAACAACAGAGATATTTGAAACTACCCGCCGTGGTTGCTTTTCTAAAGATCCAAAACATTGTAAAATCGTAAAGTAAAAATTTGTACTCTGGAAATTCTTTAAATTAGTGTTTATAAAATGGACACTAGTGATGTACAAAATATAACATGATAGTTTTTTTTCGCAATTATAGATTCTGGTTTTTTTTTGTAACTTTAAAATTATCATGTTTTTTTAATACCTATTTAATATATGGTGTTCTTAGAATAGTATTGTTATATTTATAGTATTAAAATATGAAACAAATAGGATTCAGAAGTAATCAATTATTTTTGTATGTCTGCTTATAAATAATATATTCTACGTTAAAAAGTATTGATTGCATTTAGAAACGGTTGAAAAAAGGAAATATGATGACGCGAGTTAAAAATAATTTACATTAGATATATACAAATATAATATACACTAGAAGTGATGTTCTTTAAGTAATAAACATGTTGTTATCGAAATCGTGTCTTAAATATTAGGTATTTACCTACGAAATTGCCGTATACATAGTCATTTTTTATAAATATTTTCAAATTCAATTCAATTCAAATTCAAAATCATTTATTTCAACCTGGATGTCAAAATGTAAAAGAAAATGTTAAATCTACCACCGGTTTCAAAAAAAGCCACAGTCCTGAGAAGAACCGGCGAAACAAACTCAGCGGGCTTTTTTTTATATTAAACATAAACATAAATTATGTTTCAAATATCCATTAATTACGGCGATTTCATAGATAAAGGTCTATTTTTTATCTATCACACTTGTAACTTTTATATAATCACTACATATTTTATATGCAAAAAATAATTAAAGTTGAATGAATTGTTTTGTTTTGTACGTAGAATCTATTTTCGTTTAAGGATTTCCTTAATATGCAATAATTAGTTAATGTTGTGGATACATATAAATAATGTCAACTAAAACCATAAATGACACTTTTGAAAATAACCGATCTTTTGATAATGTGACTGGATGTAACAGAACAAGTGACGATTCATAAGATTCCTAGAAACTCTTGGCGACTGTTATAGAATATCTTGAGATTAAGCTACCTAATATGTGGGAGGTAATATTTGCATTTCAATTTCGGGGACATGAAATCATATGTATCACGAGCATCATGACAATTTCAAAATAAAACAAATCGAAATTTCGATAAAAAATAATTTATTTCATGTAGTAATCGAAGTAGCCATTGAAAACAAAAAAAAATGTTTTTTTAAGTGTAAACATCATTGGCACAGGAATTTCTATACTTACAAGGTATAAAAATGGCTCATGTTTGAAACTGCAATAAATTACATACATACATATATACATGCATACATACACATCACATTACATTACATTACCTACATACATACATACATTAACCAAAGAAAAGCATTTATTAAATATTTCGAGAACCCGCAAAGGTAGGTTCCAGATTCCTTATTAGTTCCTTCAAAACTCGAGACGAGTATATGCAAATAGAACGTGAGTAAAATTAATATTTCTAAAATGATTTGCGTTTTTTTTTACCTATTCGCTGGTAACCGAACAGTAGGTGAGGTCACGGGTTCAAGCCATAGCAAGAGCAGTGCTTCACAGAATCAACCACCGGATCGGAATCGCGACCCACTGAGAAGTTCCGGCAAGAAACTCAGCGGGCTGGGTCTTTTTTTTTTTTTTTTTTTTTTGTTTTTTTTTTTTTTTTTTTTTATTGCTTAGATGAGTGGACGAGCTCACAGCCTACCTGGTGTTAAGTGGTTACTGGAGACAGACATCTACAGCATTTACGTTGTAGATGTCTATCCCATAGACATCTACAACGTAAATGCGCCACCCACCTTGAGATATAAGTTCTAAGGTCTCAATTATAGTTATAACGGCTGCCCCACCCTTCAAACCGAAACGCATTACTGCTTCACGGCAGAAATAGGCAGGGTGGTGGTACCTACCCGTGCGGACTTACAAGAGGTCCTACCACCAGTAATTACGCAAATTATAATTATGCGGGTTTCATTTTTATTACACGATGTTATTCCTTCACCGTGGAAATCAATCGTGAACATTTGTTGAGCACGTATTTCAGTAGAAAAATTGGTACCCGCCTGCGGGATTCGAACACCGGTGCATCGCTCAACACGAATGCACCGGACGTCTTATCCGTTAGGCCACGACGACGTTCTATGGGTTATTCTATGGGTGGGTTAGTTCGCTCGTCGAGCTCTTGGTCGACAGATTCGACAAGTTCGATGAGGACGATGACCGGTGCTTGAGGGTCCTAAACGCACCGAGAATGAATCCGGGGGATCCGACAAGACACGTTTCGGGCGATGGCGGCTTTGTGTGGCACCACCGCAGTCGGATAAGGTGATTTGCGTGCTATAATGGTAAGATAGGTTATCATCGGCACCGCTTGTTTGCGAGAACGATCCCAATAAATTCTGTATGCTTTTTTATTTTTGAAAGAAGTGTGTGTTTGTAATTGGAGATAAGGTGCGTTCATGTTGAATGCGCGATGACTTTAGCAGCGGCTGGAGTAATTAGTGGGGAATGGCCAGAGCGCGCTATGAGTGAGATGCTGGTAACCCATAGACGGGGATTTTATTTTTATCTGGATATAAGGTGTTAAAAAAGAAACATTTCCACGAAAATTATAAATTTTTTTAGTAAAATTAAGTAAAGAATAGAATGTACATATTTAAGCATTAACAAAAAGTTAACAAACAAGAGTTTCACAGTTTTTTTTTATAACAACTAAGAGGCAAACGAGCAAGACGGGTCACCTGATGGTAAGTAATTCACCGCCGCCCACGGTTACCAGCGTTTACGCCAGTGCGTTGCCTACCCTTCAGGTAAGAATATGCTCTTTTCTTGAATAACCCAATGTCGCAATTGTTGGGGAAGACCGCTGATGGCAACGAATTCCAGAGATTTACTGTGCGTGGCAGAAAACTGTTTTTAAAACGCATTGTAGTGGAACGCCAACCATCCAGATGGTGCGGATGATAGTTCCGGCGAGACGATCGGTTGCGAAAATCAGCGGCTTCTATTAAATTGAACAACTCCTCAGAACACTCCCCATTGTAAATTCTGTAAAGTATGCATAGGGAAGATAGATCCCTACGCAGTGCCAAAGGATCTAGCCGATCGGCAAGTTCAGGATCTTGTGAAATCATGAAAAATCTCTAGCGTTTTTTTTTTTGCCCTTGTAGACGACGGCCCATCTAGTGGTGAGTGGTTACCGTCGCCCATGGACTTCAACAATACCAGGGGCAGAGCCAAGCCGCTGCCTAAAAGCGTTCAAAAACCTCTTGCTCACGTGACTGAAATATAAAATATTTTATTTTTAACAATGTAAGTAGATGGGTAGACAAGCTCGCCGCCCTGGCGTTTAATGAGTCAACCAACTGAAGTCGAAGTTACAGTTCTGCATAGGCAATTTATTAGAAAAAAAAACAAAAACATTGTTTTGAAATATTTATTTATTATTAGTACAAATTGTATATTAATGTAACTACTGACATATTATTATGTCTCATAAAAATTATAAAATCCGATAGACGGAGAATCGTTTTTGCGTACATCGAAAAGTAAGCTAATTTTGGTATAGAAAATTTATTTGTGAGGCTATTTTCACTAACCAGTGTTTGACCGTGTTTTCTTTCTCGAAAAGAACGAAACGGATATATTTGTGTGCAAGACTAATTAAAGGATCCTTTTCACTGCTGTAGTTATAATATTAAAATACATCAAACAACGCAAGTGTTCTTTCTTGATGAATCCTAATGAAAAATTAGGTACAAACAACACAACTCTTTTTCATCATAGATTATTAATATGATTAATAAAAAAAATCACAAAACAAACAATGTAGATCCTTTATTTGATTGTATATGGATATTTAAATAAGGTCACAGTCCATTTGACATGTCCTTCTTCAAACGAGGCTTATGCAGAATACTTTACGGTAGGCAGCCAGTTGGCTCTGCCCCTGGCATTGCTGACGTCCATGGGCGATGGTAAACACTCACTACCTTGATAAAACACCTAAAAATAAATAACATGGACCGGTTACAGAGATGATAAACATCTATGCCACCACCCACCTTGAAAAGTCTTCAAACTAAACAATACAAGAAATAGGAAGGATGGCGGCACCTAATCCGCCTTGGTTTATAGCATCTTACCTCTATCGATAATAATTACGTAAATATTGAAATATTTCTTCTTCATTGAAGTCGTTCAAGAACACGTGGTATTTCTTTAGGAAAATTGGTACCTGCCTGCGGGATTTGAACATCGACCAAGATGCATTTTGTGTAATTGTTTTTTTTTAATGATAGACATTTACGTTGCTAACGGTACAGGTGACGATTGCGCCGAGATAACATTTTAAATTGACAAAAAAATATGTATCTCAAAAATCCCTAAATCTCATATGTAAAAAGAGCTATAAAAATATTCTGGTAATTAAATAACACTACGAAATACACGAATAATATTTAAATTAATAAGAGAAAATTGACTAGTGATGCAGTTTCTTACGTACATACTAATCCTGTTTTAAATAATAATTACGAAATAAGTATGAAATTATAAATCAACGTTTAATGGCACAATATTATAATTAATCAAACAGCAACAAAACAAAGTTCGACAAATTTTAATGGCGGATATACGGATATAATTGAAAACATGATATCGTTTATTTTTCAACATCGCTCTGCGACTAAAAAACTAAAAAAAAAGAATTTATTTCCGCTGTTACTTTGCGCAGATTATCGTACTCAAACACGCAGGCAGACACAGTATACAAAAATGTTAATATACAAACTTATTCAAGATGATCTCGTATAAAGGGGATGGCCCATTTTAGGCCCAAAGCGGACAATAGATTATAGAAAAAATACTTAGTGCATTAATTTTGTCATAAATAAATATGCATTTACTTTCTTGCAAATAAGCGCCACTATAGTTTACAATAAGTAGTTTAAAAAAAGTAAATCTATTGAAAAAACAAGGATTTTTATTTTTGCGGGAAAAATATTGCCAGCTTCAAATCCTTTTACGTATGAAGTAAATATTTTGAGTATATAAATAAAACATATAAATAAATCATTTTAAGTATTATCATTAATCAAACGATTTTAATGGATTTTATGCACATAAAATAACATCGAAGACATACCCATTGGACTTTAACTTGTAACTATACTTGAGACCTTAGAACTTATATCTCAAGGTGGGTGGCGCATTTACGTTGTAGATGTATGTGGGCTCGAGTAACCACTTAGCAACACCAGGGTGGCTGTGAGCTCGCCCACCCATCTAAGCAATAAAAAAAACTTTACTAGTATTGTTATTTAAATATGTACAACTAAAACAAAAACATAAAAAATAATGTGTACTCGTAAAAAAAAGATTAAGATATAAATCAATTATCGGTTATTTAAAAAAATAATCGATATATGAATTTCATGTAATTATTTTTCTTTATACTGACAACACTGAATTTAATCTGACTGACTGATACTTCGCTTGCTGCTTGTGGTGTTGTGCTTGCGTACAAAATGGATGTGTTTTGATTTTTCTTCGATTTATTTTACTTTTATCAATAACGTTTCATACTACGACTAAAAAACATTGTGTGAATTGTGGTTTTACCCTGACCGAGATTTAAAACCGTGTATATGCTCTCCTTTGCTATTTTTAGATGATACTAATTGTGTATGAAGATGAAGAAAATATAGATATTTAAAGAATTAAGTGTGTTTTTATACCCTATTGGATAAAAATACATTAGGAACATCTTAAACATTAAGAAAAGAAAAGTTCTTGAAGTATCTCACAATCCGACACTTATTTATATAGAAAATTAACCTCAAAACGAGTTTTTATTTTTATTATATTTTTTATAATAGTGGCGTCAATTTCAATATATTTTTTAGAAATCCAATACATTTAAGAATTTGAATCAGTACATTTTTATAGTAATATTTGATGTCCATCTTGGGCCTAGCACACTATGGAGAGTGGGCAATCCCCTTTGGTTGTCACATAAAATATCACTCTGATTAAATAATACAAAGCAAAAGTTACGGCACTACACTAATAGATTACATGTCGATATTCTAGGTCTACCTCAAACCTTGACGCACAATTCCTTCAGAATTAATAAGCGCATTAATTACTCTCTAATACTGTCTAATTATTAAATTAATGTTTGTTACATTTACAATATGAACGTGCACATTTTAATCATACAATACTAACTTTGACGCACTCCATTGGAATTAAAAATTTATATGTGAACATTATTTTATAATGTGTCAGGATCTTAAGCGTAAAGAGTCGACTTGTGTCCATTCTGTTGGTAGCGGTTCGGTGTTATTGACCTAACCAGATTTTAACCCTGTACGAGTCTTATGACTAGAAAAATGTAGTGCCATCAGTACATACTCAATCTACAACTATCAGAGTTCAGAGTTATAAGTTTAAAATTTATTAATTAACCTACAAGTTCAAAATTAATAATCTTTTAAAGTGTCAAAATATTATAAGTGCACAACGTTCTACATTGTGATTAGTTTATAAAATAATAAAAACAAAAACCAATCAGGCACATTACCTATTTAAGAAACATAGTACTTCACGAAATAACATTTTTTGATTAAAAATGAATGGAATCGCTGATCGATATGATAATTAAAACATTCCTACACAGGGGGGTGCAACTCCCATACAAAGGAAAAGAACATTCAACTAGCGTCATCTTTAGGAACCGGCGAGGTCATTTTTGAAACGTTTTGGCCTTAATGAACTAATAAATTCACTAGATGGCAGATACGAGTTCTGACTCAATAAAAAAGGTTAGCGTACTTTGAAGCAGTGCTTCCACTTTTAGGGAATTCTCCCTTTTTTANCAATAATAAACTAAAACTAGATATTCTCTGTATTATTTTAAAATCACATAGCCAATTACTACAAGTAGCCAATAATACTAAGATTTATCCAGGGTGAAAGTTGTCAAATTTACCACTATTGAGGTAGAGGAAACTTTCTTTTATCCTGACATTGTGAGTCATTCGTTTCACAACACTAACAGTTAATACAAACACAATAATACAAGTCACAGAGAAAAAAAAAACATTAAATTCAAGTTTCCCAATATAATCTGTTGTCATAAATTCCCGGTGTTGTTAAAGGTGTCAACAACAAACACCAAAGTATAAAACCGATTATGAAATTGCAAATGATTAAAATTCTCTGCAAGGGCTGAAATTGAGGTATCTCTCCAAAATTCGGAAATCCCATGTGATTGCAGAAAATGTGTGCGACCAGTGGAGCAACAAAGTGTCCTGTGAAACGATGTATTGTTAAATAAAATAATCAAAACGTATCAACATAATTGAATTTTCTTCGTATTTCCGCCACAAAGTATTCAAACGTACCGATTTAAAAAAGTGGCACATCCGGTATACAATACAATTGAGACTTCGGCCTCATGTCTCAAGATGACTGCATTCACATTATGATGTCTATGGACTTCGGTAACTACTTTAAACTAGGAAGGTCTTTAATCCTTCGACTCCATCACCCCCGATTAGTCCAAGATCCCAGGGCCACCAGACGTCACGTATTTTCTGACGAACGAAATGTGGCCGATTGCGTAGTGTTAGTATGTACTAAGAACGCATGCCTACCTGCTACCTTGCTTAAACGGCCAATTTTCAGGTATCAGGTACTCAAGGTACATAAAATCATTACCTACTTAACGTAAATTCTGAAAGCTGATTTTTACGTATATTTTAGGCAATATCCTTAAAAATAAGTCGCCAATACTCCCAGACACTTTCCGTCGGCCGAATTATATAAAGCTCCCAAAATAAGTACCTAACTTCACGTAAATTCTGAAAGCTGATTTTTATATATGTCCACCAGACAACTATTTTAAAACCTCTTACAAAAAGACAGACCGATCCAAGGGGCCAATCATCCCCTAAATTCAATTTAATACCTCTGTGGGTAAGAGCGCGAGGGCATTATCCACTTTCTTTTCCACGTCACTTTAGGTACCAATAGATCAATCAGTATACAAAAATGTTGATCTGTCAGTATACAATACAAATTGACAGATAGTTTATAGACCAGAAAGTATTACAGAAAACTAGTTATCCCCCCTAAAGTGCAGTATTTCATTCTTTCTGAGNCCAATCAGGCGCATAACGCATTTCGTGTGACATGCTAGTACGATTTTGATTGGCGCGCGCACGCATCACGCAATCAGGAGCCAATCAGGCGCATAACGCATTTCGTGTGACATGCTAGTACGATTTTGGTCCCCATAATTTTCATACCCCGGGCCTATATATGTAAATCGATTCTAAAGGAGTAAACTCCAAAAATAGTGTAAGAAAAAAATGATTTTATTGTAAAAAAAAGCGTGGGGTGCTTTTCGGGATATTATCAAAATAACCCTTCTACTCATATCTGTTCATAAAATATTTATAACTACTGATACAATGCCATACAATAAGTATACCAAATTTCGAGTTAATACGACGTTTTGAAGGGGGTCAAAATCATGTTCAAAGATTCCGTTACAAACATACACACGTCTGAAGCTAATAAGAGCGTATTAAAAACCGGTGGCACATCCGGTATACAATACAATTGAGACTTCGACCTCATGTCTCAAGATTACTGTATTCACATTATGATGTCTATGGACTTCGGTAACTACTTAAAACTAGGAAGGTCTTTAATCCATCGACACCATCGCCCTTTATTGGGAACTAGTAAAACCCAATCACACTAGAATTACTCGCGCGCCTATTCGGTGATCGCACCATATCACTACGTTTGATAATTATTCATGCAAAAATGACTAAAGGGATTTGGATGAAACTTTGTACAACAATCATTGTAATCCTCCACGGTGTTTCCAGAGCTCTATGACATATTTTTCTTTAAACGAGGCTTATGGAGATTATTAAACGGTAGGCAGCGGCTTGGCTCTGCCCCTGGCATTGCTCACGTCCATGAGCGACGATAACCACTCACCATCAGGTGGGCTATATGCTTGTCTGCATATACGGCAATAAATAAAAATAAATAAAAACTGGATTAGGACATGCTCTTAATCAAGTATATGCCTCTGGCGAAGGGTATGTGTGCTGTAGTAAAAACGACAGTGTCTACCACTGCTTCGTCACTTTAGGTACCAATAGATCTACAAATTGACAGATATTTTATAGACCAGAAAATATTACAGAAAACTAGTTATCCCCTAAAATGCAGTGTTTCAATCTTTCTGAATTATAAAATTATAATGGGCAAAATTACGGCATACGTCTCCTATAATTAAAATAAAATGTATTAACTCACCTGTCCTTAAAAAGAGATATGCAGAGTAAGCACCAAATAGACTAGTATACGTGAATTGGAATGCTGAAAATTGATAAGCATGTTCTTAAATATTTATATCGTGAAGAAATCTCAAGTCATAAAAGCTTCCTGATCACAAGATAGTTATAATACTCGTAAGAAAGCTAAGTTCCCCTATATGTCCTAAGAAACGTAAATGTGTTTTTAAGTAGTGAGTACATCTTAATCAGTTATAAAAATCTATACATATAAATAAAATTGGGGTTTCCGTTTGTAATATTGAAAAAACCGCTTTTTACTACATGCATATTATGAATATATATGCGGTACATACACCAAAATCACATTTTTTGAAATTTTTGTCTGTCAGTCGGAACAAACAGACAGATACTGTTTGTTCCGACTAATCTCTGGAACGGCTTGACCGATTTTAACGAGACTTCCACTGATAAGTAGCTGATGATATAAGGAGTAACTTAGGCTACTTTTAGACTAGCTTCGCCCCGCGGCGTCACCCGGGGTATGGCAATAGCCGCGGGTAACATCGCGGGACTCAGCTAGTCAATAATAAAATTTTATGTTTCCGAAGCAAAGCTAGGGCGGGTCGCTAGTCTTTCATATGAATGAAACTGAAACAGTTATATTTATAAGACTTAACAGTTATATTTATAAAATGAGCACTTGCTGAAGTTGTTGCACATTGCGAAGAAATTCTTGAGATAACAACTGTCTTTTGCCGCTGGCCAGATTGTCTGCCTATTTCAAGTTTTGCATCACAATCTTGACTGAGCTAAATTTTTTTATTTTTCCTGTCCTGTCCAAGGTTCTCATTTTTATCAATGATATTTTGGATTTTTCCTTTACATACAGTACAGAAAGTTGGAGAAGTAAATTAAAAGTATCAATATAGAAACTTACATGAAACCATCAAAGCTGTTTTAAAGTCATAACCAGACTTCATTTGTTCAAACATGTGATGAAAGTGAGCTGAAATTGAAACAAACACTAAAACAGTGAAAATAAAATAAGTAAATAAATGAATATAATTTTTTAGATTTATTATAATATATTAAGTGGTTATAATGGCTCATGGGTGACAATGCCAGGAGCACACTACCTCATTTAAAAAATTACATGTTACAGAGCTCAGAAAACGCCATGGAGGGATGCCGGAAGATAATATTTTAATATTCTAATTTAAATATATTAATTTCCAATCATATTTATTCCAATAGTACACGGAAAAATTATGTATTTGTTCTAAATAGTATGGATGAACTCTGCTCCAATAGCAAATGATACTATAGTAAGAACACAATCATCTCAAATAATTTCTCAGAGCGCACTCCTAAATGAAAATGTGGTACTGGTAATTCATAAAGAACTGAATCGTCTCTGTAAGCCCATAGGTTCTAATTATATTAACATCTAATTGATTATGTTATTTTTGGGATAAAAATTTGAAGACAAAGAAGATTATCTAGCACATCTTTCTTTGTAAATTATCTATTTTATTTCAGAAATTTAAAATTATAGATTGATTTATATGTACATACATACCAGTTCCAAAAAGTAATGGTCCAGTAAATATTGCCACTTCAGCCTTGAGACATTGGAGGAGTAAAGGCATCATGCAAGCTCGAAACACCCACTCCTCGCTCAATGGAGCCATAATATGATTCCTCAGCCAGACCAAATCCTGCCAACTGGCAAGCCAGTATAGTGGTTCTGTGGAAAAAAATTCTTTGAAACTATATGTATTTGGACAAAGAGTATTTTAGTTTACTATACTCCAAATTAACCGTAATCAACTTTAATGCAAAGATCAGACTTGAATAAATTAATATACAGATTTTTGTGAACTCTGCTCTGCTACTCTGGAAATTATAATGAGGACCTATAATTAGCTGTGGCCATTCTTCTATTGATAAGACTATTAATCTTTTTATCACAAAATAGGCTGAGACAACATGTATATCTGCTGCTAGTTTAATCTCATTTTATTAGGGGCCACTTACCAATTATTAACTCTCAGTATAAATGTTAAAAATATCCTGACCGTTTCTATCATGAAGGTAAAATAAAAGTAACATCTTAACATCTGATGACCTTTGACACCCTCAACTTATCTAGTTCTAGATACTTACTAGTGTACAGCTTCCAAATTCCAGACAAAAATTGCATTGTCAATGGTCCCAAAAATAAAATAGCAGTTAAAAATAGAGGTAACAGTGTTGCCTGTATCCATCCTGAAGTTCTTAAGCCCAAATGTTCCAACAGTTCTCCTTTACTTAGAGTTTCCTTGGTAAGGAAGTATTTCATGAAAAATGGTGCAAGTAACATCATACAAGATACACTAAAGAACCTTCTCTTAATTGTAGATGGATGATCTCTGCAAATAATACAGATTAATTTATACAAAGAGTAAAATCCTGAAAAATAATGATTTTAAAAAGTTTCTTTTATTTAATCAAGTAGTTTTTTTATTAGACAAGCTCACAGCCCACCTGGTGTTAGGTGGTTACTGGAGCCCATAGACATCTTCAACGTAAATGCACCACCCACCTTGAGATATGAGTTCTAAGGTTTCAGTATAGTTACAACTGCTGCCCCACCCTTCAAACCACAATGCATTACTGCTCCACGGCAGAAATAGGTAGTCATACGGACTCAAGACGCCCTAACACCAGTAAATTATGCAAATTATAATTTTGCAGGTTTGATTTTTATTACACAATGTTATTCCTTCACCGTGGAAGTTAATCATGAACATTTGTTAAATACGTATTTCATTAGAAAAATGGATTCAAACACCAGTACATCGCTAGATACAAATGCACCGGACGTCTTAATCCTTTAGGCCATGACAATTTCAAAGTGCAGTGATTTTGGAATTTCCTTTTATTGGTTAGACAGCTGGATTAACCCATATCACACTCAGTATTTAGTAATTACTGAAACCTATAGGAATCACAACATGCACGCTTCCACCCTGTAGAGCATTTGAAGTACCTACTTGTGCAGATGGGTTGGCTAACTATCCTGCTTACTTAGTTAAAGAGTGAAACAGTTATTAAACAACGCAGCTGAGATGTCTATCTCATGACTCAAGGGGGAGGCTGCAGACCACTTATTGTATGGGCTCTGGGGACCACTTTATAATAGCTTGACCGTGAACTCATTCATAGATGCATGCAATTAAAAAATTATTGATTAAGCATTTTTTTTAATGTATCGATATTGTTTGCTTGAAAACAAAATAATTCATTAATTAAAATATTTATTACATATTTTTTTAAACTTCTTGAGAAATTTTAGAATATCATAGANTGCAGACCACTTATTGTATGGGCTCTGGGGACCACTTTATAATAGCTTGACCGTGAACTCATTCATAGATGCATGCAATTAAAAAATTATTGATTAAGCATTTTTTTTAATGTATCGATATTGTTTGCTTGAAAACAAAATAATTCATTAATTAAAATATTTATTACATATTTTTTTAAACTTCTTGAGAAATTTTAGAATATCATAGATCTTACAAAGACTGAGTAGATAAAACTTGAACTTAAGCTACAGTTTCATTATTATAATTTATAAAATATCACTATATAATATTATCTTACCTGCTTAAATTTGTCCTCCAAATATATAAACTGGCAACATATGAAATTGTGAGTAAAATACAGGCTAATATTGAAAATATACATGTACTATGATCGAAAATTGCAAGTAATTCCATATTGTAATTATTGAGTAGGAAACTAAATGATCGAAAACAGATTACATACAAAAACTACTGAAACTGAAAAATAAAACGTATTGCGTACGAAAATATCAAAAGCATTTTTTAATTTATTTTTCTCGTTTGGATTTGTTGACAATTGACATTTCGACATATAAACACAGACCTATACAGGTTTCATACTTCAGTGTATAAACATGACATGACATTCCATTTGCAAAGGAATATTATAAGTTGTTAAAAATATTATAAATATGCACTAACTTAACCGCTGAGCTCTTAAAGGCTTTCCTGTTTTACATAACCGAGGCGACGAGGAAACGCAAAGCCATCGTCCCCCTAAACGTATCTCGTCGGATCCCTCGAATCACCTCTCGGTATTTTTAGGCACTTCAAAATTCAAGCACCGGCATCGGTCACAGTCTTCGTCGGACTCGTCAAATGTGAAATACGACAAAGAGTTGGACGTGCAGCAGAGCCCACAGACATATCCACTGAATTTCTCACCAGATCTTCTCCATGGAGTGCGATTCCGATCCAGTGGTAGATTCAGCGAAGCGCTGCTCTTGTGTGTGTGCTCTAGTGTTACCAATTCTCTCAAGTTGAGCCCATGAGCTCACCTTCCCGTCCGAGCATTGCTGGAATATCCCCTTAGGCTACCAGCGATTAGGTAGGGAAAAAATAAAAATACTCTTTGATCAAAGCTCATTACTAGTTCAAACTGTGGTATGGTAAGCTATAGTATTTTTACTATGTACAACTCTAATATTATGAAAAAGTTTTCCCAAGTACAAGTAGTCCCAGCAAGCTGTCTATCTCATTCTCGGTGCCTGGACACTTAAAATAATAAATAAACTATATGTTTAATAAAGTATCTGAATAGATGAATCCCTAAATTGTGTGTAATTACTACAACAGAATATTGTTTGAAATGATTTAACACTAAGATTGCGTCAATACTTTTTGAAAGCAGTAACTGAACAAAAGGTCTCACTGACCACAATTAAAGACACAATTAGTACAAGATGCTGTAAACTAGTGTTATTGGAGCCTATATTAATCACACATTACATGTTAATCACTGCCATTGCTCTTTTATTATTTTCTTGCTATGTTGGATGGACGACCTCACAGCTCAGTTTTTACAATACTGTTAAAATTAAGACCTTAGAACTCTTGTCTTAAGGTGGGTAGCGGCATTTACGTTGTTGATATCTTTGGCCTCGGTGACCACTTAATAGCAGGTGGTATGAGAGCTCCTCTACGCATATAAGTAAGAAAAAAAGTACAACGGCTACCCTTCCCTTCCCCTTCAAAGTCTATAAACCGAAACGCATTACTGCTTTACGATAGAAATAAGCAGGGTGGTGGTACCCACGTACCCATGCGAGCTCACAGGACACCCTATCACAAGTTATAAAATAAGCGAGTGGTGGTATCTATCTGCCTGTGCGTGCTTACGAGAGGACCTACCGTCAGTTAAGATTTGAGGTTAGAGAATATGGAGATTAGAGGTTGGACTCTCATTGATAAGCCTACTCGTCAACATATTTATCACATTATCTTAATTTGTCTAGCAGCTAATGATGCAGGTAATCTGAAAATTGAGTAAAAATGATTATTATTATTATAAATAAAGTGGTTTCAATACAATAGGTCAGCAAATATTGTCAGCCAGAAATTCACTGGACCGGCTCGAACGTCTGAATACTCTGAACATTACAGCTCGAAAAGTTTTGTTATAGGTGTCGCTGTAAACGTCGTCGCCATATTGACTCCCGAGATCCGCCATATTTGCTGAGAATCGGCCCGTTGCTTGAGGGTGGTGTGAATTTATTGAGAATAATAACGAAATAATGATTTCAAATAGAAATATACAATAAATTTTGTTGTAGTGCTTACTGTTTTATTCTGAAAACCGTTTTTTGCGTCTCCCTAGTTCTGCTAATGGTGCTTAATCTACATTTCCCGTTTCGTCTACTCGATCTAATCTAAACAGAAAATGGCCGACGGTGTTGGTGCGGGTGTCTCCTTTGTTTAGACCTGAATTTTAGTGAATATAAGTGATAAAAGAAATAATGCCTAGTGCCTCGTTTTCGTCTTCGCGTTCTTACGTACGTAGATCGCGGAGAAAAGGCGGTCATCGAATACCACTACCTTCTAGGACACAATCGAGTAAGTAATCCGGGTCGACCGAAGTCGCCCAGACTTAGCTAAAGCTTTTATATTGTCGTTCTCGCCGTGGTCAAATGGTCAATAGTAATCGAATATTTCCATATTTAAAGGTATTTGCTTTATATAAAAGGAAATAAAACAACATTCTGGACTGTTTGTGAAGTGAAAAAATCAAGTGAAAACGCTATTCAATTCGAAATAGTTGAGTGCCGTCGATCGTTGTTCCTGTTAAGATTATTGATGTGTTAATCGTTAGTTCCATTACTAACCATTTTCATGATAGTATTAGCTGCGCATTTCGGTGACATTTTGCGCATTATAGATATTGATTTACAAGATGAAAAATATTGAACGTATGATGAAACAGCTGTTTTGTACATGCTTAAATCTTCGGAGCGTGTTCGATTTGCATTACGAAACTATTGCAATTTCGCTGAAGCCTAACGCAGTACAATTAATTTTCACCTCGTATTGCTTTGGTATTTAACATTAAATTTTATATGAATAATAAAAGCAGTACTTACAATAGATTTATAAATTCTGTGGGAACATAACTCAATGTGTTATTTATTACGAAAAGTTTATCTATACAAAGTTAGATGTTGGTCAAAATTACTATATGAAATGGTTTAATATGGTTAAACGTGTTTACAAATCACAATTTTGATTGCAGTAATAAATAGGCTTTGTAAGATTTTATCACAATTGATAATGTAATTGAATCAATCAAAGAAAGTAAATATAAATGAAAATAAGATGTATTAGTGTTACTAATTAGATATTGAGCTAGCTATATAAAAAACGTGGGGTAAAGTTAATTTAAAATGTAAAGTTATTATGTTTCACATATTCATAATGCAATACAAGGATAGGGTTGTATTTTTAGCAACAAATCAAATACTACTTTCTAAATGAAGGCATGTATCTGTGAGGTTATTACTCAAGAATAATCTGAAATTTTAACTTTATTACTAATTTACATATGTTCCTAATTTTATCCATTCATAAAAATAGTGCAAAGATAGCTATTTCATTCTAATAAGATACTTTTCATTTGTACTCACTTTACAAACATTAATCATTTTGATCAATTTTCTTAAATTTAGGTGATCATTTCAGTGGCAAGCCATAATGATACACCAAAATTATCATAACCCAACTGCAAAAAATGGTTTTCGATGTAGTCTCCTTTTATATAAATTTTAAATTACACATTAAAAATTGACAAAAGGCATACAAAATGCCGAAAGCACGGAACAAAAGTACAAGAAGGAAAGGAAGGAAGAACAAACCTATTAAGAAAGGTATAATAAACAAGAAATAGTACAAAATGTTCATGTTTACAATTATCAAAATCTAATCACTATCACTTAGTATTTGGTCTTATAAATGATTATAATACAGCTAATAAGACTATGAGTAGTCTGCCTGCTATACATTGATGACCTTTACAATAAGAATTCATTAGAAAAACTATTAATCAATACAGGAAGTAAGTAATTAAAGGACTTAAGAAATAAATATTGAACATTTCCTATGAAACATTACTGAAGTTAAATTTTAGTTCAATTAAAGCATACTACTTCTAAAATATAAATATTTCTAGTTACGAAACTTTAAAAGGACAGTAGTGATTTATAAATTTATATTAAACAAAACTATCAATATTTAAGTGATGAATATTTTCCCTAATAAGGAATTTAATTTTTTTTACATAAAGCTACATTACAGAATTGTTAAATATAAGTAATTTGTTTGTTCATGACAACAAGCTTACTTTATCAGGATTTAGCAGATTTATTTGACATTGATATTCATGTTAATGTGTTTGGAGTTAAATTGTGGTTAGAGTAAAATCCATATTTTTTTCAAGTGAAGAATATTGCACTAATGTTATATACAAAAAAACTGACAAATAATTTCAATCAAGTAGAATAACTTTTGATACAATTAATTAGTACATGAATATTTTTCCTTTAGGCTTACAAACCATAGTCAATGATTAATAAAAAAATTAGTCATATAAACAGATCCAATGACTATTTTCAGGTGAACCATGTGAGTCAGTTCCAATACCCAACAACGTCACGGGCAGTGCGATGGCGGCGACGGCCGCGTGTGCTGGCCCGAGCGGTGGGGGCGGAGCACCACCCGTACCTGCTGCTGCACCCGCCACCACCGCCGGCCATCATAGCCCTTACGACCTGCGCCGTAAGTCGCCGCCAGCTTATCACGAGCCTGGACCTTCAGGTGCTTGCTCATTGCCGGCCAGGAAGAGACCTAGAACGTGAGTAAAGAAAACATTACTAAATAATACTATAAGGTTTTTGTAAATTATTTACAAGCAAAATGTAAACCATTTACAATAAAATCCACATAAATTACACTTACCACAAATAACATACTGTTCTGTTCACAAAATGAACATATTTGTTTAAATTTTTGTTTTCTCTTAGAAACATTGTTTTTAAAAAACTCTACAATTAACATAGTAATAAACAATTTGTATGTAATTTAGATTGTTGATTTTACATAAGTCCTGACTCAACTTTCACTTTACAGTTGTGCCTTAAAGTAGAAGATTTGATAAACTAAAATTTTTATTATTTCTCATTATTTAATGAAGACTAGCTGACCCGGCAAACTTCGTAGTGCCTCAATCGATAAATGAAAGACCTAAACCTTTGTATAAAATAAACTTAAAACAAACGAAAGGAAACCGTCCGACGGGGAACAAATCAAAGGAAAACCAAAATTGTTATTTTTATTTAATTCCAAGGATTTATATATTTATCTACCATTTAAACCTTTTCTGGGCTTCCACAAATAATTCAAGACCAAAATTAGCCAAATCGGTTCAGTCGTTCTCGAGTTTTAGCGAGACTAACGAACAGCAATTTAATTTTATATATATAGATTTTAGTAATAAATGAATTTTGAATCAACTATTGCTATTACAATTTTACCAACTAATTAATCTTCATATATATATAATTCTACTGTATGTCACTGAACTCCTTCTAAATGGCTGGATCGACTTGAATGAATTTTTGTGTATGCATTCATTAATTTATTTCATTATTTCATCGTCATTTTGTGTATGCCGAACAACGTCTGTCGGGTCCGCTAGTATCATATAAATATAGATGAAATCATCATATTCTTAAAGAAACAGTAGCTAGCAGAAAGTAGACCAAACCATTTAAAAAAGTATAGGTTCCTTATTTGGAGTAATTTTTTTTTTATATTTATTTACTCTTCTATAACTAATTAACGAAGACGTTATTCTTTCATGCCTAATAAACGTTAGTTGGGTGAAATGGCGACAGGTCTCTGCAACAGCATGCGATCGTAGAATGACCCCTAGGCTGAAAGGGAAAATTTACAAAACGATCATTAAACCTGTCGTGCTACGTAAGTAAACCATGAAAGAGGAGAGTGCATGCGGCCGAGATGCGAATGTTGAGAAGGAATGAGTATATCAGAGGAAGTGTGAAAGTAGCCCCGGTGATTGACAAATTCGGTTAGCGTAGTATGGACATGTGATGCGTAGACATGAAATGCATGTGACTAGGAGATAGAGAAGAAGAAGAAGAATATGTCATGCTAAAAAAAAGCTTAAAACAAAAAATGATAGTCATCCATAACCACGAAAATTAAAGTTTTCGAAACGTTAGCAATAGTGGTAATAAAGAAATACGAGCTTAATCCAAAAAAGCAGTTTTAATAAAAATAGAAAACTATTAAAATTTTGCTAAAATATTTGTGACTCATAAAATGTATGTGATGCATTTATTTGTTGATTCAACTCACTGCCACTTATTAAACCTTTTTGGTATATTCGCCATTTAAAAATTATTGATCATCTCTACTGCAATGAAAAAAAAAAACAATTTATTAGGAACCATATTATTATGCTTTATAAAGTTGAAAAACAATGTGACTCATGGTACACTAACGTTGTGACTACCTAAAGACATGAGTGCGATTGTGGTCTCAATGGTATTTTGTAATGGTAATGGTTGTCCCACCCTTCAAAACAGCACCCATGATGGCAAAAATAAGCAGGATAGTGATACCTACCTGTGTCGCCATAAAATACACCCTGCCATTAGTACCTAATTACCGTTTTTTTATTTTTATGACTTAGATATGTGGACGAGCTCACAGCCCACCTGGTATTAAGTGGTTGCTGGAGCCCATAGACAACAACTTAAATGCCACCACCCACCTTGAGATATGAGTTCTGAAGTCTCAGTATAGTTACAACGGCTGGCCCACCATTCAAACCGAAACGCATTACTGCTTAACGGCAGAGATAGGCGGGGTGGTAGTACCTACCCGTGCGGACTCACAAGAGGTCCTACCACCAGTAATTACGCAAATTATAATGTTATTCCTTCACCGTGGAAGTCAATCGTGAACTTTTGTTAAGTACATATTTCATTAGAAAAATTGGCACTGGCCTGCGAGATTCGAACACTGGTGCATCACTAGATACGAATGCACTGGACGTCTTATCCTTTAGGCCACGACGACTTCAAAGGTGATTGTAGTACTAGTAAATACTTCAGCCCATTGTCTGGCGAATCTTTGGTCACCTTTTATGACATCAATGGGAAGAGATAGGTAGTAAGTATAAGCTGACACGACACTGCTAAGCACCACTTACACACTCATTCTCATAACTAATTTATCACAGTAGGTATTTAAATTAGCTTATCCAGATTGACTTGTAAAAGCAGAGGATAAAAGACTTTCAGTTTCATTGAATAGCTTAGAAAAGGATGTTTCAAAATGTTTTATTTATGGTCACAGATCACTCTCTCAAGGCGTGGACGTGTGCAATGTCTCGCAGTACTTGCAATATGAGCTGCCGGATGAAGTTTTGCTCTGTATCCTGTCATACTTGACTGAACGCGACCTGTGCCGTGTTGCTCAAGTCTGCAAGAGATTTAATACAATCGCGAATGATACTGAACTATGGTAAGTTCCACTGGAAAACTAAATAGTTTGTTTTTACCATATTGGAAGAAATTTTATAAAACAATTGAGTCTTTTGCTTGAAGATTGATGGCAAGAAAAAAAATTTATACTTTATACTATCATGTGACACCAAACATTGTTTTATTGTAAACAAAACAATAAATTATAGCAGAATCTACAGATATAACTCACTGTAGTTGACAGTAAATATTTTGAACAAAAAACTACATGTTATATTTATTTGGGTTATCTATGTTTATAGCATCTGTTTACAATAATGATGACCCAGATAAACTGATACAAACAGCTTAAGAATATGCATTTGATAAAAATATATCTTATAGTATTTGATTTTGATAGGACAATGTGAAAGTGTTGGTTCCACCATGCCTGTTTATGCTCTGAAAAAATTAATTTACATAGTTTCACAGTAATGCTTTTAAAGACTTTGACTTCAAAACTTTCTAAATGAGTGCATGTTTTCGTTTAGGAAAAGTTTATATCAGTCTGTGTTTGAGTATGACACTCCACTGATGCACCCAGCACCGTGCCAGTTTGAGTTTGTAGCGCCTGATGAGTGCGACGCAGACAACCCATGGAAGGAGAGCTTTCGTCAGCTCTACTATGGCATACACGTCCGCCCTAGCTTTCGTCTAAAGAAGGATTCGCGTATCAGGCATTTTAATACAATCAGGGTGAGTTTAATTTTAAACACTTATCACATAATTTCCAAAGCTAATTGTACAAAACTTATAGTAAATAGAACAGTTAACATCCTGCTGTTGAAGGAAAAAACAAATCATTAGAAGTTTTAATTAATGAATTATAATGTATTTGAAATTAGATGTGTCCCGTGCTTTCATCTCCAATACAATTTCTGGCGAAAAATAAGAGCTTATGGAACTCGTCCGCTCTCCTCCATAACTGACCAGTTGATTTGTATATCTGTTGGTACGCAAACTTATGCACCAGTGAACACTCATTTATTATAACAAATATACTCAGTAGCACTCAGTAATATCATTTACAATAATACAAAGTTGGGCATAGGATATCCATTCTTATCATAATACCATGATTTTCTTTGCCTAATTTTGGGCATTAAGTCTGTCAATGTATCAAAATACATAGTGTAATGAAAAATAACATAATAATGATCTAGGTTGTAATATATCTTTGCAAAATTTCATCTGGTCGAAATCCAATTTTTGTTCAAGGAAGTGGTGACATAACAGTTAACGAATAACTTCTACAATGAAGGAGTAAATAACTATTTGTAAACACAAATTTGTAAAAAAATGTGAATTTAGTCGATTACCGCGACTATTATAAGTCCACGCGTGTAGATACATACGGTAGGACAGCAAATCCTTCATTCGTTCTAGTTTCAAGTATTTGGGAGCCGTCATATAACACAAAAAAGGGAATTCGATCTCATGTTTCAAGGTAGGGTCGGGACGGCATTCACATTGTGATTTCTAGACTACTCCCCAAATCTTGATCACGAAGGAGCCAATCACCGTTGACGCCCTAGAGACGTCCTTACGGGTCTGTTAGATCCAAAAACATTTGCATTAGACACCTTTAGCTCTAACACTAGGAGTAGGCTTAGGGATTCCGGTAACGGTACTGAACGAATTCGGTAATAAAGAGTTCGACGTGTAACCTAACCTAAACAACAACCCGCTGAGTTTCTCGCCGGTTCTTTCTAGCGGGTCGCGATTCAGACTCTGTAGTAGATTTATTCGCGTAGCAGCTGCTCTTGAGTTGTTAGGTCGCTTTTGGAGGCGTTCAGGCAGCTGGTAGCAAATCCCACCCGTCTTGGCTGAGCCTTTGCTCGCCCACCTGCCCTGGTGAAATTGGAGAGGCCTCCAGACCACTAATAATCCCTCAACAACAAAAAAAAAAGGTTTCTAGGGGATTTGGTAACTTAACACTAGTTGAGCGTTGAGTTCAATAACCTATCTAATGCAAATAAAAGGAAAACTTAAAAATAAATGAACTGAAATTATTTAAAACAGACTGCACTGGAATTCGTGGAGGAGCGGACAGGCAGCAGTGTAACCGCTAGTACGAATACCGCGGGCCCCACCACGAGCAGCTCTAGCAGTAGTGCCGCAAGCACAACCAACACCAGCAACAGTAATGTGTGCTCGTGCAACCCCACTGGCGCTTGTACTTGTCGCCGCCCGCAACCAACCCACCAACCGGCGCTAGTCTTCATACACGCTGGACTCTATCAAGAGGAATGTCTTGCTATTGATTCTGATGTGCAGCTTATCGGTGAGTTACAAGCTTCCTATACCTTATTGACTATTTGCATACTTGCATACTTGTGATTAAACTGGTGGTAGGACCTCTTGTGAGTCGGCATGGATATCACCACCCTGCCTATTTGATCCATGCGTTTTGGTTGCGTTTTGATTTGAAGGGTGGGGCAGCTGTTGTAACTATACTGAAACTTTAGAACTTATATCTATTATCTATGGGCTCCGGTAACCACTTAACACCAGTTGGGCTGTGAGCTCATCCACCCATCTATGCGATAATAAAAACTACAAAATTGACAAGTGTGCTTTTATTTATTTGCGTCCATTTTGAGGTGGTCTTGTCATAATAACATCATAAGACTATAGATTGCATGCGAGGCGTTGCAAATACATTGCAGGACAGATAATTTAGAGGAGACTATTATAATTTGACCATAAATCAATACCTAAAATGTATCAGTTTAAGTAAACATGTGATGTTAAACAGTTGACAATAACCACAATAATAACACAATAGACAAGATGAATTTGCATGTGTCAATTGCTTAATGCATTCCTTGTAGAATGGTGGAAATTGTTCTTCAAATGCAAGCCTAAATCTTTTGGAAATCTGTTCTACTTCTGACAAGACAAACTACTGCTAGTATTCGTGTTATAACTCGAATTCATTACAATTTAAATTTAATGAGTCTAATTGAAACTTTTAGGTTGTGCGACGGGCAATGTAGCGGAATCTGTAGTACTTGAGCGTGAAGCGGAATCGACGCTGACGTTTGCAGAGGGAGCGACTCGGGCTTATGCCGGACACATGACGCTCAAGTTCTCACCGGATGCAACAAGTACCATGCAGCATCATAAGCACTTCTGTCTCGAGGTCTCAGATAACTGTTCACCCACAATCGATCACTGTATTATCAGGAGCGCTAGTGTTGGTTAGTACATTGTGATAAGAAATCTATTTTGGGAACTAGTTTGTGACCATAAAAATATATAAAATGAATCGTGTTCTCCAGTGGGTGCAGCAGTGTGCGTTAGCGGTGCCGGCGCGAATCCCGTAATCAAGCACTGTGACATTAGTGACTGCGAGAACGTTGGCCTCTACGTCACAGACTACGCGCAAGGCGCTTATCAGGATAATGAAATCTCAAGAAACGCCCTTGCTGGCATATGGGTCAAAAATTTTGCCAACCCTATTATGCGTCGTAACCATATACATCACGGACGTGACGTCGGTATATTTACGTTCGAGAATGGATTGGTAAGGACCATTTTATAAGGATTTTCAGTTTTTCATGTGTGCTCAAAATGTTGACTAAATAAGTTATTACTCATAAGTTAATAATGTGCCATATGTGCCATTATAGTATATAAAAAATAACATTTACAGGGTTACTTTGAAGCCAACGATATTCACAACAATAGAATCGCCGGTTTCGAAGTTAAGGCCGGCGCGAACCCCACCGTAGTGCACTGCGAGATCCACCACGGTCAAACTGGTGGTATTTACGTGCACGAATCTGGTTTAGGCCAGTTTATTGATAACAAGATACATTCGAATAACTTTGCCGGCGTATGGATAACGTCCAACAGCAACCCCACCATACGGCGTAATGAAATATATAATGGGCATCAAGGAGGCGTGTACATATTTGGCGAAGGACGAGGTCTCATTGAACATAATAATATATATGGAAATGCTCTTGCTGGTATACAGGTGAGCTCATTAGATGTTTTAATTTTGAATCTTCTTGACACTTAAATTAATTAATTTAACTTTTAAGTTATACACCGACAAGAATACTCAACATGTTATAATACAATAACGAATTATTCCAGATACGCACAAACAGTGATCCTATTGTGAGACATAATAAGATTCATCACGGGCAGCATGGAGGTATATACGTACATGAAAAAGGTCAAGGACTCATTGAAGAGAATGAAGTTTATGCCAACACATTAGCTGGTGTTTGGATAACTACTGGTTCCACTCCTGTTCTGCGCCGCAACCGTATACATTCAGGAAAACAGGTCTGATTATTTGCGTTATATAGTGCTTTGGCTTCACTACAATATTATTACAAAAGTCCATGCTCTGACATGTAAGATGTCAGGTGTATTTCATAGTTGGTGATGTATTTATGCTAAAATTAAAATGTAGCACCAGGTACTAATGTATCTATATAAATATGTACATAACATGTTCATGATAAAGTTCCACATTAAAAGAATCCCATCATGTAGTAAAACTACATTTTACATTTTCAAAAATTTTGCTGGAGTTAGTCATGAATGTTTTAGGCATCTTACCACCGCTGTCAACAATCTATAAAATGGAATACATAAAATAACTTAAAACATACCCATTAAAAAGTTTTAAAAATAAAATTACCTTTAGTGTAAAAAGTATTTAGAATTCTGGGGGTATTTACTATACCAAAAGTTGTGTTGTGCTGAAGAATAAATTTGTATATGATTTAAGAATGAGTGCAAGTTCATACCCACATGTTGTATTTATTTCAATAAAAATACTTATATACATTAATGAATATGTCGGTAGTTTGAATCCAATTAAGTTCAATTTGTTATTATGGTTGTTTGTAATAGTTATTATAGCATATTTTCAACAAAATATGGATCACAGAAATTAAGTGAGTCACAGAGAGGACAGTATTCTCTACTCTAATATAAAATAAACCTGTTATTGTTTAGTGTAATTGTTTTTTTTTTTATTGTGAAAATAATATGTGGAAATATAAGAACAGTTGATCTATTTTATATAACCACTTCATTACTAGGTTGGTGTATACTTCTATGACAATGGTCACGGCAAATTAGAAGACAATGACATATTCAACCACCTATACTCTGGAGTTCAGATTAGGACAGGCAGCAACCCTGTTATCAGAGGAAACAAAATTTGGGGTGGTCAGAATGGTGGTGTACTTGTATACAACGGGGGCCTCGGATTGTTGGAGCAGAACGAGATATTCGATAATGCGATGGCCGGTGTATGGATTAAGACTGATTCAAACCCAACGCTCAAGAGGAATAAGATCTTCGACGGACGTGACGGGGGCATTTGTATTTTTAATGGTGGGAAGGTGAGATTATTAATAGAGATATTTAGTTTATGTTTTGTAAATTTTAAAAACACGATATATAATTTTTGTAGAATATTCAAGATTAAAATCTGATTTTAGCATCATGAATTGAATCTTAATCAGACAAATTTAGATTCAGTTGTAATAAATTAGACATTTTGTCCTTTAAATAAAATAAAAAAGCAAATGATGGAAGGGCGTTATTGTTTTCAATAACATATCCCTTGATTGAATTGATTTTAATCAATTAATCAAACACAAATTTGAAGTATAACAGTTTGCAGCAATAAATATAAAAGTCCCAACCATCAGCAGACTTAACCTTAAAATAACCTAATAGATATTGATCTGTTTCTGATCTTTACAACTGGTAACTTAGTAATTACTTAGCTTTAATCTAATCGTCTATGTATGTATAAACATACATAATATGTATGTATAAACATACATAATATCTATATATAAATAGGCAAACACGAAACAGTTAAACACCATCATTTTCTCCTGTGTTTGTTGGCCAAATTTTTTTTTAATTAGATTTTTATAGTGTAACCGTCAATGCAGAGATGTAATACATAACATAAATAAGTTGTGGGTGTCAGTAATTATATTGAAATTTCCTCCATAGTTGGTGATTAATTAATTGGCTTTGGTTACTATTTAACGTGAGCTCGTTCACTCATACAAAATTAAAATTTTATTTTTATTCTCATTACAATTAAATATTACATATTTAACAACAAATTTGCTGTATATCCTAGTTGTGAAGTAGTAGTATCTTACAAAAATAAGCTATTTGTTTACAGGGAGTGTTAGAAGAGAATGACATATTTCACAACGCGCAAGCAGGCGTCCTGATCTCAACGCAGAGCCATCCAGTATTACGTCGGAACAGGATCTTTGACGGACTGGCCGCCGGTGTCGAGATTACTAATAATGCGACCGCCACCCTAGAACATAATCAGATATTTAATAACAGATTCGGAGGTAATTTCTCATTTATTCTTGTATACTTAATGCTTTGTCCTTTTTTGAAGTTGTCCTTTGAGAAGTTGTAAATGGGCTTTATTATACATTCTTTTGTAAGTTTGTGCCCTTGCCATGTGAAATATTCAAGAAATTTTCAAATTAGTTGAAGCAAATTAGATGTAGTTCTGTAGAGAAAATATGAACGGAAATGCTTCCCATTAAATGGGGTGCATTACTGTGTAAACTGACTCGGAATGTTGTTATTTCGAACTTGTATGTTGGTAGAAAATGTTTTAGCGCAATTGAGGTTTTTTCTATTCTGTAATAATTACCATTACAGTTAAAATATTGTTCAATTGACATAAAATATATCTTTAAAGAATATCATTAAATGTTAAGAAGACTGATGTAAAATTGTAATTTGCAGGTCTGTGTCTGGCTTCTGGCGTTACTCCTTTAGTTAGGGGAAATAAGATATTCAGCAACCAAGACGCCGTTGAAAAGGCTGTCGGCGGTGGACAGTGTCTCTACAAAATCTCTTCTTATACTTCCTTTCCGATGCACGATTTCTATAGGTAAGAAAAATCATGGTCTCTGGAAGAATTTTTCATTAAACTCTTTCTTGTAGGTCATTAAATTATATAATAGTTCATGAGGATTAAGTGCAATCGAGCTGTGTCTATCAGTTATAATATCATTTTCCATAATTCAATGTAAGTTAGCAATTTTTAGTAGTTAATTAATTGCCAGACAATCTTACAACTCAATTTGAATGCTGCTTCTTAGATTCCGTATCTTAGATTAGACCGAAATGTCTCGTGCATTAGTACAACAGCTGTTCGACATTTTAAAACAGAATGTTTAAATTACTTCGCGACAGAAATAACTAATGGTACTCACCAGCGCCTGTTTAGATTTAGAATTTAATACAGGGACTTTCGAAAATGATGAAGATATTTCTCTTAAAGACATATGATATGGGTGGTAATACAGATTTTTCGAATAAAATAACCGTTACGACACTGATGCTTTTTTTTGTTGCCGTAGTTGCCGTAGATATCAGTTCTTTAAGCTGTGTCAACTTATTTTGTATTTTTTTTTAGGTGCCAGACGTGCAATACTACAGACCGCAATGCAATCTGCGTGAACTGCATCAAAACGTGCCATTCCGGTCATGACGTCGAATTTATTCGTCATGACAGGTAAGTCTACCTATAGGTCTATACATACATACAAATCTACGTAAAGTATTAGTTTCTAAGAGTAAATTCAAGGAAAAAATAAAGGTATACAATAACAACAAAAAACGACCATTTCATGAATAAAATAATTCATTATTTCACTTTTATTTTTGACCCCACCCACCTTGAGATACGAGTTTTAAGATCTCAGTATAGTTACAACGGCTGCCCCGCCCTTCAAACCGAAACGCATTACTGCTTCACGACAAAAATAGGCAGGGCGGTGGTACCTACCTGTGCGGACTCACAAAAGGTCCTGGCACCAGTAAATAAATCTATTGGGATAGGAAATTAAGTAAGTGATTTTCGAGATACCTTAAATAGGTACATTGTACGATTTAGTATAGTTTTTATATTTTATTGCTTAGATGGGTGGACGAGCTCACAACCCACCTGGTGTTAAGTGGTTACTGGAGCCCATAGACATCTACAACGTAAATGCGCCACCCACCTTGAGATATCAGTTGTAAGGTCTCAGTATAGTTACAACGGCTGCCCCACCCTTCAAACCAAACGCACCCACAAACGTACATTGTACGATTTAGTATAATATTTATGTTTTCTGTCTTAGGTTCTTCTGTGACTGCGGCGCGGGCACGCTGTCCAACCAGTGCCAGCTGCAGGGCGAGCCCACGCAGGACACGGACACGCTGTACGACTCGGCCGCACCCATGGAGTCGCACACGCTGATGGTCAACTGATGTCGCCGCCGCAACCCGCACTACTATTTTTTATTACCTAAAACTTCCTAGATGTACGTTCCTACGGGAAGTCGCCGATCTGTCCGGCCGTTTGTCTATATTCGTAATCGCGTTTCGAACGTTGTCGCTGTCTCTATGTGTAGTAAATTTTGTAATCGTCGGTACTTAAAACTGTGTTTCATCGAGTAGTAGTATCGTTGCATTCCCAAATTGTAATCGTACCGTTAGATCAAGATATCACGTTTAGAATAATGCTATTCATTTTGTAAAATTAACTGGTAGTGAGGTACGTAATATCGACTAGTTTGGATAATCGTCGATGTTTTATAATTATTTTGTTATCACCGGAAACTTATTATTCCCATATAATTACAATCTGAATGGCGACTCGCTGTCAGGACGGCTGAACATTCATCGATATAAACTGTAAATTTTATCTATTGACGACGATATACTTGTATTATTTGTTGGGGCATTCGTTTGGCTATCCTGGCGGCGATGTTTTATCCTTGAGACGTTTTAGTTAATAAAGTGTTAGAAGTGCGCTATGTTTAAATTATGTAAGTTAAGTGTAGTGCGGCCGCGGTCGTGGTGGCACACGCGGCATCTAATTTCTCGTTTAGGAGTCCGCCTTGCCTAACTGTTTCGGCCCTCCTAATGCGCTTTGTAAATATTTATGTCACACAATAATCGAAATGTAGTAATTAATGTATTTGTATCATTATATTTTTATTATTGATCACAATATGTATGTTCGTTAATGTAAGTAACGGTAAGAAGAATGGGAGCGAGACGCCGCTCGTCAGCTTCGTGTTGGTAAAAGACCACTATTACGTTGAGCCAGTAGATAGTGTGAAAGGAAATGGTCTCTGATATATATATATATATTCAAATTGAGTACGAATACACAATGCGTATTGAATTGGAGAAGATCTTAGGTACAATTGATATTTTTATTGTTAATTTAAATTTTGGTATTGATATGGATCGAAAAGCAATGCGTGAAACTGGAATGTGCCGTGCGTTAGCGGCCGGAGTGCTGATAGTGATAAGTTAGCCGATAAGCTATAAGAAATCTAAATTACTCAGTAATCACTATTGCAAGTTTCGAATTGTTAAATTATCCTCCATAGCACGGTCTGTTCTGATTCTGCTTTTATAATCCTCAATCTGTGATCATCGCTAAACGTGTTAGTGAACATAAACTTAGTTTAAAACCACGCGTATCAGAATTGTGACATTATTATTATTAGTTCGTTGAAAGGATAAAATGCTTTATATTATATATTTTGCTCCTACTAATACTGAGATAAAACGAGGATGAATTTACAAGGTAGTTGTTAATTACGTGATTTCTACTTTACATTTAAAAGGCTTAATGTTAAGAATAGCAAAAAATTATTAGTAAAGTTATCTTATACATTAAAGAGAACTTAAATTTTGTTTTCCATTTACCAATTTTTTTTTCNCGATAAGCTATAAGAAATCTAAATTACTCAGTAATCACTATTGCAAGTTTCGAATTGTTAAATTATCCTCCATAGCACGGTCTGTTCTGATTCTGCTTTTATAATCCTCAATCTGTGATCATCGCTAAACGTGTTAGTGAACATAAACTTAGTTTAAAACCACGCGTATCAGAATTGTGACATTATTATTATTAGTTCGTTGAAAGGATAAAATGCTTTATATTATATATTTTGCTCCTACTAATACTGAGATAAAACGAGGATGAATTTACAAGGTAGTTGTTAATTACGTGATTTCTACTTTACATTTAAAAGGCTTAATGTTAAGAATAGCAAAAAATTATTAGTAAAGTTATCTTATACATTAAAGAGAACTTAAATTTTGTTTTCCATTTACCAATTTTTTTTTCTTTTACCTTTTCTATCTTTTGTATTTAGCAATACTAATAGTGGTCAGGTGATTAACAACTTTCTGTTAAACTTTAATATATTTGGATGTAAAATTATTTATTAAATTGTCAGTATGTTTTAATTTATTGAACTCAGAACTGGATTTTTTCTACATGAGAATACTACTGTAAAAGCCGTGATATACATAATATAATATTATATATTGGCATTTTATTTACCCTGGCTCTACTTTTTCTTTGTCTATATAAATTTCTAGAGTAATAATTTTTGTGATTAAGGGACGCGACATAACATGACATCGGACACACTAAGATAAATTCAAAATAAAGAGATATTCGTAGAACCTCAAAACTAGGTATTTTCTAAAGCCAACTATTTTATTTGTCGTTTTAATGTTGAGGCTCATAGCTTCGGCCTTGCTTCCCAAGGCTTCAAGCTGTCTATGTATGAGGCATACAAGAAGATCGCCGTTGCGTACTGCCGATCACTGATCAGCTGGCGATCCTCAAGATACTTGAGCTCGATGTTTATGATTCACTTCATCGCCTTGCAAAGAAGGAATTTATCACGATATGACTGTAACGCGAGAGGTATGGACCCCGACCGAAGGTGGGTGTCTTCGGGTCTTTTTTTTACATTACCCTTGTAGGCAGACGAGCATATGGTCGACCTGATAAGGAGTGGTCACCGTCGCCCATGGACTTCAGCAATGCCAGGGGCAGAGCTAAGCCGCTGCCTAACGTAATCCGCTTAATGGTAAGTGGTTACCGTAGCTCATAGACTACTAACAAATACTTCAAACCATAGATTAAAGAGTATTTTTTAATTAATATTATTACTATTCTATCAATGCCTCATTTGAAGAAAAAATTTCAGTATCGATGTCATTATCAAATCCTCATGAGAGTATTGAAGTGCTTGTAGGAAGAGATGTTGACGAGTTGTTTGAAATGATCCCATTAACTTCATTTATATCTCTCCCGAGCACAGTTCAACTATATCATAGATAATACACTTCATATTTGCTATACTATATTTAATATAACTATTAATGTGATTTAACCCCTGTGCTCATGCGCTATTTCCAAAGATATTTTTTGCCACGTATCAACTGGCTTTGAAATTAAGTTTCTTCCGCAAGATATTTCCTGAGCGCTACCAAGTCCTTCTTCAGAGGTTTGAAAAAGTTGAAAGTAGCTTAGTTGAACCTCTGGCATTGCTGATGTCTATGAACACTCGGTGGCCACTCACCAGTAAGCATGTTTGTCTACCAATTCGCAATAGTGTTCATTCAAAACGCATCTAAACAAGGATTGGTTGATAATGTAATTTTATGGTTGTATTATGAACTTAAACGCGTGATGTGTCACAATGTAAGATATATAGAAATGAAATAGCATGTATTCATTTTTATTTTAATACAAATCAAGATGAGTAGGTAAAGGTTAATTATTTATATATAATATGGCCACTTGATTTAAAAATTATCAAACAATAGTAACTTTACAATATATAATACTATTAAAATGTTTAATTGTATGTTCGTTGGAGTTTTTGTCGCGGTGATCTTCTTTTAGGTGATACATGTACTGCTTTCATTGGGGTATTGGACTTCTTTCCATCTGCAGACTGGACAATAGTTCTTGTAGTTTTACTGGTAATGAGAGACTTTTTTAGAGTTGGTATTTGTGGAGTTCTACACGTAAAGTTTGCCGCATTCGTTTGAGGAGAAATTACTTTCTTGATTGGCGATGACATCTTATTTGTTCTCCATTCATTATATAGTGAAGACTTGGTAGGCACAAACGGCGCAGCGGGTATATTCTTAATACTTTTCACAGGCGTGATGGGTTCCTCACTGCCATGCATCTTAGGCCTAACAAGAGCGACAGCTTTTTGGGTTCTTATCGGTTGTTGACCACTAACCCTGGGACGCCTCGCAAAGCCGATATTGGCAACTTTTTCATTTCGTTCAGATGATTTATCAGAACTAGATTCGAATAATTTTGCTTTCGCAAGAACTGCTCCGGCGTTTTGCCGCCTGAGTTTGTTCACGGACGGCCTTCCCGTCGTCCCAGAGCTGTCAACTTCGCCGGTCTTGTTCATGAAGAAAGCGGCTGCGCTTCGCCATTTCTGCTGTATTGGACTCTGTTTAGAATATTTGTGTGTGTTTCGATCGACCACATTTTGATAACAGGGCCTCTGTTCTAAGCTATTCGACTTTACGCTAGAATCATGCGAATTATTCAACGAAGTTTCCGAAAGCGTATTCTCAAAACTATTATTGCTTGTTAAATTTAATGATCGTCGAGCTTGAATTTTACTAACAGGTTTTTCTCGATTATAATCTGGAGCAAGACTGGTCCGTTTCCTGAGATGATATTTTTTACTACTGTCAGAAGTATTATTGAATGAGTTGTCAGATTCCTCCCAATCAGTGATTTTAATTTTTGGCGTCGTTTTTGCGGGTTTGGCACTTTTCGTTCTTTGACGACTCAGACCGATGTAAGGATAAAACCTATCGGTGACTTGACTAGCTTGAGACTGTGAAGGCACATTCCAAGATTTGTGCCTCACTATTTTTGTAAGATTTTCTTTCGATCGTCTTCGTATTGAGCCTATTTTCCTAGCACTCGGGGACCGTATAATTTTGGCTTCTTCTGTGGGTCGAATTTTAAGCTCCTTGCTTAATCTACGAGCTAAATTATCTGAGCTGGGACAATGAAGCATTGCTACTTCTTCCAGAGTTTGTTCGTACACATTCTGTACTTGCTGTAAAGGTTGTATACGTGGCTGTATTGCATCAGTGAATTCCCTTGAGAGTCTGTTCTCGATGGCGGAAACTCTACTTTTGATTTCCTCATATTCTTGTTTGGAAATTCTGACGTAATCTTTCTCTTGTTTCATGTCCGGTGATAAATCGATCGTGTTGTGAGCACTGAACAAATGTTCGGTGGATGTCAACAAGTCCTCGCTACTAATACTGGTTTCCGAATTTTTATGTGAACTGAAATCGGAGTTTATAATAGGTGTACTCCTAGCGTCCATTAAGCTTAGCCGCAGTCTTTTCCTCTCGATTCCCCTAAAACATCATATCAAAAAATTTTTATTCAACATAAATGAAAGTACATACTTGTTGAACGTCAAAAGAACTACCGTCAATTCACAAAAACTAGCCTCCGTCCTGAGAAGAACTGGCAAAAAACTCAGCGGGTCTGCCAGAAATGTAAAAAGTTTTGCTTCACGTGTGTTTGAAGGATATTTTTACTTAAGCGTCTAGTAACTAGACTCTAGTTGTTAGTATAGCAGCATTACTTACATCTTCATGGGTGTAAAAGCTAATTCCTTTTGGGGTAGCCCGTTGGTTATGTCTTTCCTGGAACATATGTGAATTTTAAATTAGATTTACTATGTTTTTTTTATTGCTTAGTTAGGTGTACGAGCTCACAACCCATCTGGTTACGAGTGGTTCCGAGTCCATAGACATCTACAATGTAAATGCCGCCACCCACCTTGAGATATGAGTTCTAAGGTTTCAGTATAGTTACAACGGCTGCCCCACCCCCTTCTTGTCGAAACGCATTACTGTTTCACGGCAGAAATAGGCAGGCTCGTGGTACCTACGTGCGGACTCACAAGAGGTCCTACCACCAGTAATACAGCATATTACAGCTACGTCGTCACTTTGAAACTATAATAAAAACAAGAACTTACCTCGTTTTTGCAGACAGTCCCTCATAATTATCGCACTTCCGTTTCGAAGCAGACTTGCTTAGAATTGGAGTTTTACCGCTTTCTCGTACCGTTGCGGGAGTGTGCACGCTACTGGACACCATTTTGCGTAGCCCAGAAATCATTCCTAGAAAAAAGTATATTTATAAATTCTAATTTTTGGGTTGGGAGAAATACTAATGATACTTTCCCACGGTACCATCGCCACTCTTATTGAGGGAATTTAGTCCTCATGGTTTGTGGTTACCATTATTCAGGTTAATTAACCGCCGCCTGTAGCTCGGCGTTGTTGTGATAATTAATGTTGCTTTATTAATGTCGTTTGGAACAAAACAATAAAAAAAATTAGCCCTCTGACATTCACTGCTGTGCATAAGCCTCCCCCAAGATGGAGGTGGGGGTGAGGATTATAGTGATAATATGCTGCTATACCCGTGATCAGAATTTAATTCAGAACAAACAACGAATAAAAGTAATTATAAAAAGATGCGTTCGCCCAGGCGAATCTCCATATGCAGTGACTTTCATTGAGTGTCTACTGCCTTTACTTACTCTGCTACATCTCTGATTTCTTTCTGTATATTGATAGAATCAATCACAAATAAATACAAAAATAAATTCTAATGAGAATTTTTTCGATCATGTTTCAAGGGGACAACTTAAACGGTCATGAACTGTATCGGATAAGATATAAATAAGTATCCAAAAAAGACGTTTGTTCATGCAACAGACTGATCAGAACAAGCCTGCGTTGTTAGACCTAGTCCACAAGTGTTATTATTTTTATTGCTTAGATGGGTGGACGAGCTCACAGCCCACCTGGTGTTAAGTGGTTACTGGAGCCCTATAGACATCTACAACGTAAATGCGCCACCCACCTTGAGATATAAATTCTAAGGTCTCAAGTATAAAGTTATAATGGCTGCCCTACCCTTCAAACCGAAACGCATTACTGCTTCACGGCAGAAATAGGCAGGGTGGTGGTACCTACCCGCGCGGACTCACAAGAGGTCCTACCTCCAGTAAAAGTGTGCAGAACGCCTATTAATAGAGGCAGATGGCGACGTGCAGAAAGGAGATCGACATCAACCCCTAAAAATACCTTATATCTGCCATGACTATTCTGATAGCTGTGAGCTAATTTAAATAACAAAAAAATATTTTTATTGTTTTGGATAGAATACTCCAAAAGCTCCTTGTCTACCTTGTGTTAAAGGGTTACCAGAGCTCATAGACACCACCATCAGATAGGTAATAGAAAACTCGATTGTTTTGTACAAAGACTGTTCCACCTTTCAAATGCTGTTGTTTTTTTTTTACCTATTCGCTGGTAGCCTATGTAGGCTATGTAGAGTGTACTAGTAGGTGAGTTGACAGGGCCCAACTTAGTAAATGTACTAGCACTGCCACCGGCAAGAGCGGTGCTCGGTAGAATCTACCACAGAATCGGAATCGCCAACCACTGAGAAGATCCGGCGAAAAACTGGGTTGTGTCTATGAGGTTCTTAACCTTGTCACTGAGTACGAAGCCTGGGTTCATTGGTAGGATACCGAAATCAAAAGTTATCTTTATAATGATGTTTCTTTCATAAAAATTGGCAATAAGGGATAGATAGGAGGGAGTGTGAGTTTGAAGATGATTGCCTCAATCTTTGGTCTCTATTTTTCCGTGATTATGCTAGGCATGTCTTTAGAGAGTATACACTAATATTTCTCCTTCTCTTAATTTCTTTTGGACTAAGTTCGAGAGCAACAATGAGCTATAAGGATACAGTAGGTTCGCCAGAAGGCGACACTTGATCGGATGAGTTATTGACGCATATGTCTTAAGGTACTGATGAAATAAAAATAGCTTAGAGGAATCCGATCCAGGAACCGATGGAAATGTTTGGAATGGCTCCGGAACAGATCCACAAGTGAGCCCACTGCTTCTCACTCTTGTTTCATCATATTATATAATAACAATAAGGTTTGTGAACAGAATGATTTGAAAAACGAGTAATAAATTAACAATTTACTGGTGGTAGGACCTCTTGTGAGTCCGCACGGGTAGGTACCACCACCCTGCCTGTCTCTGCCGTGAAGCAGTAATGCGTTTCGGTTTGAAGGGTGGGGCAACCGTTGTAACTATACTGAGACCTTAGAATTTATATCTCAAGGTGTGTGGCGTATTTACGTTGTAGATGTCTATGGGCTTCAGTAACCACTTAACACCAGGTTAGCTCGACCACCCACATCTAGGATATAAAAAAAAAATTGCTGCTTTGTTTATGCTTAATTTACATTCACTTACGGTTAAGAGATCCACTACGTCTTTTCTTTCTTCTGGCTCTATAAATTGCAGAGTCATCATCCAATTGCATCATTAGATCTTCCGTTAGTAACCCTATGTGTTGAGAGTTTTCAATGAACATCTGTTAAAAAACAACATGATAATAAAAATTGCCTCCGTGATTTTTTGTAAAGTGTGATTATTATTAACTAAGGTTCAAGTAAAGTTTTTATTATGTTGTTTTAATAATCAATTTGTTAAAAATATACCTTAACAAGTGCCACATGATGTTCCAATCTCTGTGTGGAAGCAGAAGCTGGTAATGGCATAATACTAGGTGCCATTACTATAGCCAGGTTTGATGTGTCCATTAAATTTTGTTTATGGTTTGATGCAATATAGTTTAATAACTGCAAGATAAAAAAAATGTAAACAGCACAAACAATAGTAATAAGAAAGATAAGTCCAACAGCACTCATTCATTCCGCACTCGTAGCTCAGCAATAGCAGGTATGCCTCTGACGAAACAGGTCACAAACGCAAGAACGCATATGGAATTGGGTTTTTAATCTTTTCGAAAGCCTCATTTAGCCTATAAGCAAACAGGTTCATTGTGACATAATTTAAAGATCTTGGCAGCTACGAAATAATATACTACTAGCACATGTATAAATTAGAATTAATTATGCCAATGTTTTTTTTATTTTTATTTAAATCGCAGTTTTGTTATTTTGTTTTACTTTACCAACCGACAGACATTTTTTCACTTTCCAAGACACATATTGTCAATGCTGTCTATGTATGTTTTTTTTTGTTAAGGTGTTTCTATATCCGTCAACTCTAACACATTGCATGCATTTCTATGTCTTAAATATTTTTATATCAGAAAAATTGCTCACTAGTACTCATGATGGACACCCAGTTAGTATTGTTTAATGAGTAAATTTATATTTTTAGTAGCATAGTAACTCTTGAAAATTTATTTGATTTACAATAGTAAGATTTCCTCATGCACATTAATAAAAAAGTATTTAACTCTTTAACATACCTCCATAACATAGTGAAGGAGATGAACATGTAATACTGGCAGTAATAGTAATGTGTGCAGGATAGGTTTAAGAGCCTCGTCTCCAGCAGTAAGACGACATCGCAATAATAAGTCTTGGACTTCAGCACTGATGAGAGGCTCAGGTAGACATCTTAAGTAAAGTTTCAATACACTTGCCACATCAATTGGATGATGCCCATCAGAGACGCATCCTCCGGCATCTAATAAACGCTAGAATTGTTTTGGAAAAATAATTAATTTATAATGCTTCATGCAGTATTATCATTTTCATATCATTATCATATTTGCAGTATTAACATACAGATTTATTTAAAATCTTAACATATTGTTTATTGACTACCAGCAATAAATATGTATAAAGTTGGACATACAATCCTAATACTATACTTAATAACTAACATAAACCTCTTTTTGTCTAGTTAATGGCAAATTTTTAAGGGCTTTAATTTTATGTCAAGGTGAGCACACATTAAAAATTGCTAATAAGGATCAATTACCTTGATATCCTTTTGACGTGACTGTGATCCCGCTTTTCGGAATAAGCCTTCTATATGTGCATTAGCTCGAAGCACTGAGGACATTTCGGTCACAATCTGGGGTACACTTAGTGTACTGCCACAGCATATAACACTGCATGATGGAACTTTCAGCAATGGTGCTCCAAACACCGTCTTGTTATCCTGAAATTGTATATTGATAGATTAATTTTCATACATTTCCTTCGTATAACACCAATGAACCATAATTATTATTCATTTACTTTAATATTTTTAAGAATTATCTTCTTTAGACGATGCTTAAGACCTGCTTTTTTCAGTTCACCAAGAATTATTGATTGTAATTTCCCGTGGTTTATACCATCTGATATAAGCATTTTGTTTATATATTTTGCATTTGTTGAGTTTTGATCTAATAATTCGAATTGACCATTCGATTCGCAAGTTCGTTATTTTAAATTCCTTTTTACGTAACCTTTTCACTAGAATACGACCTGTCAACTTTAAATTATTTTCGGCGCAAACTGGGATATGTACACGTCTTGAAGTATGGTAGGAATATTACTATAATAAATTTTGCTTTTATGCAATGTTAGTACCGTACTTTGAATGTTATCTTGCACTCGATTCCCCGTAGTTATTATTTAAATTCCAATTTGTTTTTTTTTTTGTGAAGAACGGAATTTTTATTTCACTGGCAAAAGAAACATTGCATTTTCCAACAATAAAATTAATAGGGGTTAAATCATGAAATTGTCGATTTGTTCTAAAAAATTGAAATGCGCTTTTATTTCATTTCACTTATTTATTTAATCAAAATATCTACCATTATTATCTATACATTGCTACCAGAAGTTAATTTATGCCGTTGCGATAGAACTCTGATGATCTAGATTCTACAAGCTGTGTGAAAGCATTTTATACTGCCTCCTGGGAAGAAAACTTTTTATCACGTAGAAAAATGTCTAAATCACGACAAAATGGTAGTCCGTTGAGCAAGGTCTAGCGAATACGGAGAGTGACGAGTGGTTTCTAATTGCAGTTCCTGTAAAGTTAAAATGGTTTCTCGTGCTGTATGAGATCTCGCGTTATCATGGAGCAATAATGGTGAAGATTGATTCATGAGTCGAGGCTGTTTCACTGCAAGTTTTGGTATCATTGTTCGGAGTTTGGCACAATAGACATCTGCCATTATTGGTTGACCAGATCGGAGAAAGCTACAGTGAATAACATCATGCTGAGACCACACGTCATTTCGGATCCTCCCGATCCACTAACGATGCTTCTAGGTACCCCAAGCACGGATCATTGTTCTCGTCGAAAGCGTCGCTTGCGACGAAGGGCTCGGCGAATAAATTTACCCACTGACACAGCCCAATGAGTTTCTCGCCGGATCTTCTCAGTGGGTCGTGTTTTCGATCCGGTGGTAGATTCTGCGAAGCACGGCTCTTGCTAGGGTTCGTGTTAGCAATGTCGTCAGGGTTGAGCTCCGTGAGCTCACCTACTAGTTAAAGTTAAGCTGATATGGTCTCTCAAGACCATCAGCTCAGGTAGGAGAAAAAAAAAAGATGAGACCACCAAACATCATTACCTTGTTATTGGTAAGCTTTGCTTTAGGACACTGCTGCAGCGTTTGACCTGGGGTCAGAGATTGCATCTTTCGTTTACGGTTATCGTGAAGAATCCACTTTTCATCACATGTCACAATTCGGTCCATTAATCCTTCTTTTCTGTACCAATTCCCCAAGGCAAAACAATTTTTAACACGCGTTTCTTTCTGCAGATCAGTTAAATCATGAGGCACCCAATTTCCATATTTTTTTTATTTTATTGATTTGACGCAAATGAGTCAATATTGTTGGTAAGGTAATATTAAACAATGCCGCTAATTCCTAGGTAGTTTGACTCGGATCGGCTTCCATCATCTTTTCAATTCATTATTATTCACATGTGTGGGCGGTCTTCCGCGTGGTTCGTTCTTCCAATCAAATTTCCATCACGAAAGCGTTTAAACCAAAATCGCATTAGCAGTACCCTCTCCAAACGCAACATTGATATTGTTAGCTGTTTCTGCAGCGTTAGTTCCGCGTCGGAACTTGTATTAAAAAATCACTGGATTTTATCCATCTTTTTTGTCTAAGCTGAATTAAAAAAAATAACTGAAAGTCGATATATAATAGGTACCATTTGAAAAAAGTTTCACTCAAAAATCTCTTTCACTCAAATATATTTTATGCTAAATTTGCATTTTTACAACGTGATATTATTTCTTTACCGTGGAAATTGCTGAAGTGACTTATCCTTTTGAAAAGTAGGTACTTAATAAAATTTAGAGATTTCAGATGCGTTCCCTTTGCCTTCCCAATTAATAAATTAAATAAAAAAGAACTGACAGCTCACCAATGTAGGAATTGCGATAAATATCATAGATTAAACACTTAATATATGATAAATATTTTGAATTGATTATTTCGTAAAGATTCTGATTTACTAACATAAAGAAACCATTTTTTACAAGATGATCGAACTATCCGCTAAATTGACTACAGGAACTGTATATTTAGCTGGTGAAGCAATAGAATGTTGTATTTCTTTCTGTTATACAGCTCAACCTGAACACAGGAACTCGCAAAGCCACAGGTACCTGCTGTATTACTAGTTTTCAGTTTAATAAAACAATACGTACACAACTGTTGAACTGATAGAGAAAGAAATATGCGAATTATTAAATCGAATTCTATAATCTAAAAGCTTTAATTAATTTCTTAAAAGTTTTAAAAAGAATCTATGCAGTTTTTGTATATTATATCACAAGTACTATGTACAAAATATTCTATTTTAAACAAATATTGGACTCAATTCCGAATATCTTTAATGGAGTTGTTTAGGCAGGCTCTTAATTAAACATGTCAAAAAAATAGTAATTGTGTTTTGAAACTTACAACCATACCTTAATCTCTTTTCGTAAATATCTTTGAAATAGCTTGTAGGTATAGAATAAATACGGCTCTTGAATATTCATGTCATATAGAATTAAGTAACATCATTAAGTAAGTACAACATTTTTTTATATAAAAGAAATTTGCCAAACTATAAATAATGATCATTGTATAAACATGAAAACAAATAGTATTGATAGTATGCGCTAAGTACTTATATCACATTGATTATTTTCAGTGACACATTAGAAAATCTAGCTTGGGCTTCAGCACAGTTCCATTGCTTCTATTCAACGTCAGGGGCTCAAGGTGACAAAACTCCAATATTGGGGAAAACAACTTCTTTGGAAGTAGCAGCCTGTGATGTTGGAGACGCAGTGTTCCACAGTAAACCTAAAATATTGTTCTGTGACTTGACTATACCACTAGGTGAAACGAAAACATGTAAGTAGGAATATTGAGCTGTTGAAAAAACATAAATTTTACACTCATTCTTCATTGTACACACAGTTAATACAATATAATAATTGTGAAAAGTTATAAAATGGCGAGCTTAACTCAACAATTGAGGTATCTACCAGCTAACCGTTCTTAAAGAGGGTGAGCTTTACATTTATTGGATTATTATTATTATTAGTATTTATTTACATTGTACATTTTTATTATTGTAAATTGTGTTCAAGTTAGGTTAACTAATTTAACTTAGTGTTAAAAAAAAAAAAAAAAATTTAATTTTTTAATAATGCTTGCTTTTGTATGTAAATTGAATATATTAAAATTTATAGTCTGGTACAGAGAATCTCTCCCCATAGAAGCACCGCCATCATACAGAGGTACTTCAGTGAAATACTCATATAAAATAACAATAGCAACACAAAAAGTGGGGTCTCACATTAAAATGGTCAGAATTCCGTTTAGAGTGTTGCCAATAAGCCCAATAATAAATATGCAAGATCTTGCTGCTTTGTGTGGTAATGAAACTACTGAGGAACTTCACCCGACTAATCCATTTTCTGAGGAGAGGAAAGTGGAGACACCATTGACTATGGCATTGCAGGTTTTACAGGTTGGTAAATTAATACAAATATTTCCTTTTCACTTTTATAAATGGATAAAATAAAATAAAGAATCTAATTTATTATGAAAAGAAATATAGTAAAACATATTAAAGTTACAAACAAACAAAAAATTTAGTTTGGTCCCCTCTCAGGTTTCACTTTTTTAAGAAACAATTATCCACCCATTAAGTACACAATGGTAAAAAGGTTATTAGAGAATAGTGGCATTTGTTCTGCACTTTACATTGAAGAGCTGAAGTTCTTTCTCTCTGACTAAATGCTGTATGATCTTGATCTAAGATATGTTCCATAGTTTGAAAACCTTTATCGAAGTATAAACTGTGTATCTTTAATTACAGAATTTGACAGCAAGAAGAAGTCCAAATTCATACATGATAACCAACACCCGAGGAAAAGTAGGCAGGTTCTGCATGTTTAAATCAGCATATAAACTCGGAGAAGATATTGTTGGTACATTTGATTTCTCTGTTGGAACAGTTACTTGTATGCAGGTAATTAAATTTTTAATATAGTATGACATAAAGTAATAGATTTGTATTGCAAATAAAATTAACGTTAAACTGATATTTGTATATAAAATTATGTATCTGTCAGAAAATCTCTTGATGACGACAATGACTTCAATACCCTATTTATTTTGGCACTACCAATTAGTCCGGCATTCGTTATATTTTCATTCATTCAACAGGCAATAAAATGGACATTATGTTATTTTGTTGTATGTTGTTTGTCTGTAATAAATAGAAAATATAACAAGTGGCCTATAGGCTAGTATGGTATATTTTCCTTCTTGTCAGAGAATGACCACGATCACTCTTGTCAGAGCGGTCGTGGTCATCTTTGGGTAGATGTGATGAGTCTCACAAGCAATCGCCATTTCCGGTTTGTGGTGAGCATGGTATACTCATGCAAACAACTATATATAGCAGATAAATTACATTGTATCAACTTACTCTTCAGTCACTGTCACTAATTATATGTGTGCTGTAGCATGGTGCTGGTGGCAGTTTCAGTAATGTTTCGTTTCACTCCTGAAAGTTGCTGCGATTTACAAACTATGAATTTGTATTAAAAAATTAAGCAGTGTTATACATATAACGTAAGGCCATAGAAAATGAAAAGTTGCTGGCTAGGGTGACTAGGCCAGCCTAGGCCATTTTATAGTAGCCATTAATTTCTGCTATTTTAGTGTCACTGGTGTAAAAATGTAAAAAGTGATGCGGTTCAGTTCTGTTCTCACTGTTGAAAGAGCAGAGATTGCATAGATTGGTCGCTCAAAGCCTAGACCTAGTAGGTCCAAGACAACTCAGCCAAGTCGTCGTGGCCTAAAGGATAAGACGTCCGGCGCATTAGTGTTGAGCGATGCACCGGTGTTCTAAATCCAGGCTGGTACGAATTTTTCTAATGAAATACGTACTCAACAAATGTTCACGATTGATTTCCACGGTGAAGGAATAACATCGTGTAATAAAATCAAAACCCGCAAAATTATAATTTGCGTAATTACTGGTGGTAGGACCTCTTGTCAGTCCGCGTACCTACCCGTACCACCACCCTGTCTATTTCTGCCGTGAAGCAGTAATCCGTTTCGGTCTGAAGGGTGGGGCAGCCGTTGTAACTATACTGAGATCTTAGAACTTATATCTCAAGGTGGGTGGCGCATTTACGTTGTAGATGTCTATGAGCTCCAGTAACCACTTAACACCAGGTGGGCTGTGAGCTCGTCCACTCATCTTTTTTTTTTGCATCTAAGCAATAAATAAAAAAAATTAGAATCTAAATTTGTCTTTGCAGGTATCTGTATCATTACAACCCGAAGAAGTATTGAAAACGAAATCACCCCCCAAGAATGTGAACAAAGAGACAAATAGTAGATCCATGACAGTAGCAAGATATCATGAAGTGACATTGGGCTTGACTCAGTCTCAACTAATACTACCAATACCCCTGCACATAACTCCTGCTTTTGAAGTGGATGATGGTAACTAGTTCATACTATTTTCAATGAAATTTATTGTTAATTTGGTCTATTATTCAACATGTTCATTGCCTATACAGATCCTCTAGCTGTTTAGGAGTTACCACTTACAATCATATTGTTTGTTTCCAACCATTACAGCCAAAGCTATAGTTCTCAAAGATGTTTTTCTTACAACTCTTATAACCTAGATCGCTCCATTAAAACAACACTTTCAATTTAAATCTGGTTTAAATATATGTCCATAGAACCTATATTATTATCAACTAGCGACCCGCCCTCGCTTCGCTTCGGAAACATTAAATTTTATTATTTATAGCGATGTTACCCGCGGTTATTGTCGTACCGCGGAGCGAAGCTAATCTAAAAAAAGTAACCTAAGTTATTCCTTATATCATCGGCTACATATTACTGAAAGTCCAGTCAAAATCGGTCCAGCCGTTCCAGAGATTAACCGGAACAGATGGACAAAAATTGTAAAAAATGTTATTTTGGTGTATGTACCGTATATAGTATATATATGCATGTAGTAAAAAGCGGTTATTTCAATATTACAAACAGACACTCCTATTTATATGTAAAGATAGATGATATTCAGTAAGAACTCTTAAAAATTATTAATATTTTTTTTTCAGTTTCATTGCAATGGCGTCTGTATTTCGAATTTGTTACCACTAATGAAAAACTAGTACCAAATCCCGAAGATAAAGACTGGAATGCTCCATTGAATGTTCCCATCGAAACAATGGTGTGGAATTTGCCCGTTAAAATATATTCGACTTTACCAAAAGAAATTATGCATCATACTGTAGGTACAGATGCATATACATTAAATATTAAATGAGTCTGTAGTAACAAAAAGGACTTTAAAACACTGTTGTGATGTTATCCGTACTTATCTATTTGTATTGGATGTAATAATTAATATCACAATAACCAATTAGATAGCAGTTATTGTAAATAAATGGTTTGATAAAAAATAATAAGATTACTTATATTTATATAATATATGTACTTAATATTAACGTTTTTGCTTTTCTATATATAGGCATAAAAGTTAAGAAAATAATTAAGATTATGTCAACAAAAACATTTTTTTTTGGATTTGGTATTAGTCAGCACATTAAAATGTCGACAATTAAGAGCTTTATTCGTCCGCGATCACGAAAATCAAAAGTATTCAAAACGTCAGAATAATAAAGGTGATATTAAACTGTAAAAATCGTTTTCATTATAAAACTTGTTTTGTTTCTCTTGAAAACGTTAGGTACATATAAAATGGATAGAAATAATGAAATACCGAATGACTTTATTTAATCCTGTTTTAGAATTAAATATCCGTAATTAATAATAAAAAAATCAAATAATAGTAAAGTATCTGCAATTCTTGGAAGGAGGACCTACAGTCGTCGTCGTCATCGTCTTTCTAGCGAATTGTTCGTTTCCGACTTCTGATTGACTGACTTCTAATCCAACTAGCCGACATAAGAAGAAAACATATTGTCCCTGGAATTAGTTATGAACAAGCTTAATACCAAATCACCGACTGATATCAGAATTTTTATTATCAGAAATTGGACGGAGAATATATCACCGACTGATATCATAGTTTTTATTATCATTATGCTTAGTGCGAGTTTTTTAACGTTCTCGTTAGCGTAAAAGTTAGCCCAATTTTGTATGCAGTTGGAACAGCGCCCCTAGTGGCAAACGTAGGCAAAGGATCCCATTCCATACAAATATGAGCTAACTAAACTTGCACTAAGCACACAGAAATTAGTTGGGGAATATAACAACAGGAAAGCTACATTAAAAGGTGATAGCACATTAAATAAATGATTACATATTTGTATTTATGGAAATGCATAGGATATTAAGAGAGTGAGAGAGATACGAGCGAAAATTTATTTAAAAATAGCCACTGCAATGTCTCCGAATATGACGAATATAACGTACAGGGAACTGGATCGAGGTATTTTATAGTTTTTCCATCCTTTTTTTTCCTATACGTTTTGATAATGAATGAGAATTTAAATTTTCGTAGATTAATAAAGATACGCATTTAATATAGCTATAAGCTAAGTATACATTACGTAAAATACAAAAAGTAAAATTTCCAGTGTTGAAATTAGACTTAGGGCCGAGTCACACCGGAATGGCAGCGGCCGACAGCGTCGCGGCGAGCTCTTTCAGTGTGAAATAATTTTAAACTTTATCTATATACTTAAAAGATCAGTATCGCTTGAAAAGGTCGCGACACAGCCGCCGCCCGCCCACGGTGAAGCGAACACCCGCGCGCCGCTTGTGTCTTGTCGGTGGTTCCGCCAGCGGCGACATAAGGCCGCTCGCGGCACCGCGGATATATATAATAACCAATTCCATCATGTTCACTCCAAACATACGAGTATCTTTGCCGAATGAAGAAACTAAACTAGTCAAGAGGAGACTAGGCGCGTGCAGTCTGGAGGCCGCGCGAGGCCGCTGGCATCGCTGCCGGCTGCTGCCATTCCGGTGTGACTCGGCCCTTAGGAGACGATGGAATTCTACATAATTTTTTTTTCTCTACCTAATCGTTGTAGCCTAAAGGGCTATTCCACCCACGCACGGTTTGGTTGGTGAGCTGACGGGTTTCAACTTGGAAGGACTTGCTTACACTAAGCAAGCCTACCACGCCTAGCAAGAGCAGTGTTTTGCTGTATCAATCACCGAATCGGAACGCGACGAACAGAAAATCCGACGAGAAACTCTGTGAATGAATGAAATAGAAAGGTGCGTTTTTGTGTTTCCTGTAAATTTATTATTTTAGGAATATGTAATAATGTCTAATTTAAATTTTGTAATTTGGATTTCTTGTACAATTACAAAGAATTACTTAACATTTAAAAATGAAAATGCATTACTAAAAATATTTTGGTAGAAACTTTATTTCATTCATCGACTGATTCTTTGTCCCAATCTTTCATTTTGGCTCCCATCATAAAGTCATCTCTGAAAAGTAAAACAGTAGAATTGTAACATTTTAAATCAAAATAAGTTTTAGTGTGGTCTAGTGCTTTTCACATATTATTAAAAACTGTTTCTTTGTGAACGTTTTTGTGTTCATCAGAAATAGAAAGATATAAAGTAGGTATGAGATATAGGTCTTACTACAAAACCTTGAAATTTTATTTTAAGCCTTCTCTCAGGGCCTCTATGAAGCAGACAGGACAGACTCCAGTTGCTACACTAGCGCCCAGAAGCGATCCCTTCCCTTCGTAACCATTATTACCAAGGTGACTCCTTGAGAGTGAGTAACTTGAGGTGCCTTGGTATTTTTTAAAGGAGGAATGGTCAACGTCAACACAACTTTCACTTCAGGAAGGGCTTCATATATTAAAAACCATATATTAAGACTGTTACTTTATACATAAAGATTACCAAGGAGTCAAGTGTGTTCTAAGTTAATTAAAGCAGATTTTTTTCTGGGATGCTTTGAAGAAGAGTTAGTGAGTTTCAATTGAAAGGGAATGGTGTTTATTCTGGTGTCTTATGGGATGATGATAAACTGGCTACAAATAACAGTAATCATACGAACATGTCTACATGGAGTAGAATTCTGTTTTCCTTACCTTAAAGCATTCCATTTGGGTCTGTCAGTTTCATCTTTAACTTCATCTTTTAAGCTTTTTACATGTTCATCAACAACTATTGATTTACTCTGTCCCATAAGGGTATCCAAGAAAGTTCTCTTATCAAATTTTTTCAAAATCTTTTCTTTCTTTCCTTCAGACAAGTCATTCCGATCCATTTCTTTCTCTATAGATTTTTGTTGATTTCTTACTGCATTGAATAATTGCACTACACCTTTAGTGGCTATTTTATTCAATAATCTTTCTCTGTCCTTTTCTAAGACGTTTGGCTTAATTCTTATTGATGGTTTTTCATGTTTCTGCAAATTATTTTTAGTCTGTTAAATTTATATAAGAAGGCATCTCTAAAGTTCATCTAAAAACATAATAATGACTAACCTTAAAATTAGTCTATAAATGCAATATTATGCTATGAGGCATGTTTTACTAGTGTAAGAGATAAAATGGTCTTCATTGAAACATTAGGACTTAAGATATTAAGGTGCCAGTAAAAATATTTATTTTTGTTTAATTATGTATAGATTTCTCATGACGTCAATCAGCTTCAGTAACAACTTAATATCAGATAAAGTGGCATATGTCACCATCTTTGGTAGTAAAAATAAAATCTTGCATTAAAAGCCAACACAGGTAGGTATAGTTTGGTATTCTGCCTATTTTTAGCATAAAGCAGTGATATATGCAGTTTTGATGTATGTGACAGTTATACAATAAAGACTTGAAATTCATGTCTCATTCACATTAACCAGTCTATGGGCTCCAGTATCACTTAAAACCAGATTGGTATGTGAGCTAGTCTACCTTAAAACTAGTGCAATAACAAAAAGAACACTATTAATTTAATATTCAGAAAACAAACCACTTTCTTAGCTGGTGGTTCTACATTAATCTCTTCCTTCTTGACTTTTGATTCAATTTCATTCACTTCACCTATAACTTCAAAACTTGGTTTCTCTTCTTTTTCTTTTTTTACTATTTCTGAATGCTTTTTGGCTCTAGATAAGACTAATGTTTTTTTATTCTTAGGTTTGCTGGAACCTAAAATTTTTGAGATTGAATCCGCCCACCCTTCGTTTGCTAAAAGGCGATTCTCTTCCTCTGAATCTGATTTAGAGCTTTTGAAATCTGCTTCCGGGTTTTCATCGACTTCATTATTAGTAACAGACTCATTCTCACTATCACTAGATTCTTCAACACTTGATTCTGTATCTGAAACTACATTTAAATTTTACGTATATCCTTTTATTAACTAAATTCATTCACATTTACTTCTGTATAGAGTATGTACCTGAAACTTTTAAAACTGACTTCATTTTTTCTGCTACTACCATTTTAACATCAGTAATTTTTATTTAACTCCGAACAGTTCACAACAGTTTCTTATTTATGAATAATATGTTATAAATTTTAGCTTAAAAAATCTCGTGTAGGTTATGTACCTACCTAACGTACCTCCTGTTTATTTCCTAATTGATTAATTTTTTTGATAATGCAAAGGGAACATGGCCCATTAATACAAATTGTTTGGATCATAAGCCAAAACCTTTTCTGTTTTATGAAAAATTAAATGAAATCTAATACATCATTATATAAATATTATACATAGATTGATTGTGGAAAAAACCTACAACAACATAAAAAAATTGACATGTAGTGTTCCCGCAAATTTTTTCTTAGTCCGTTTGCGCTCTTGTGTTGTAATTGGAAAACGGCCGGCGGCCTTGGCTTGCAGTGGTCGTGGTCACCGGTTCGGATGGTGGTGCGCTTTATAAGCGAGAATATGACCCTGAACGATGGAGGATTGACAGTGCTTAATACAGAGTTCCTGTAGAATTGACTGATTGGTTCTGAACTCCGGCCACGATATTTTCAATATTCTTCTATAACATTTCGATAGCATATATCCTCTTTTTCTCACTTTCTCTTAACTTTTCTCTATCCCGCTGAACAGTTCGTACCGAAACTCTCTAGTTTTGAACGCGCATTGTCAAATCACGAAAACGTTCTTTTTATGTAAAATGTTTTATTCTTTGGTTTGAATTAAGAGCTTATATTCTCTCTCTCTCTCGCCAGTTTTGCATTTCGCATTCATTTTACCATATTTTTTTAACATTTTAATTTGTTACGGGTCGATTCAATTACGACAGGGGAATCTTTTTTTTTTTTTTTCCTACCTAAGCTGAGAGCCTTGAGAGGCTATTTCAGCGTAACCCTACCTTTTGTAGGTGAGCTCACGGGGCTCAAACCTGATGACGTTGCTAACACGAACTCTAGCAAGAGCCGTGCTTCGCAGAATCTACCACCGGATCGGAAGCGCGACCCACTGAGAAGATCCGGCGAGAAACTCAGTGGGCTGTGTCTGAGAGTTAATTTACTCGTCGAGCCCTTCGTCGCAAGCGACGGGTTCGACGAGAACGGTGATCGGTGCTTGAAGTACCTAGAAGCACCGTTAGTGGATCGGGAGGATCTGAGATGACGTGTTTTGGGCGACGTCGACTGCTTTCCATTCTGTCCGCAGGATCGGGAATGTAGTTACCGGCGGCCACGATGAGAGGGTTCTCGTGTCGTGCCGCTTTATCGAAGTGGCGCATTGACGCCGACTGTAGATACTTACTGATGGACTCTAAGTCCAGGTCGTCATGGAGGTCGACGTTCCTGACGAACCACGGGGCTCCGACGGCTATCCTGCAAAAACGGGATTGAATAATTTGGAATGATTTTAAGTGAGTGCGGGCCGCGTGAGCGAACACTACACTTGCATAGGTCATGACGGGACGTATGCAAGTTTTGTAGAGTGTCACCTTATTTCTAAGGGACATTTTACTTCGCCTACATATCATCGGGTAGACAGGGGAATCTCTATTAAGCCTCTCTATTTATTACAAAAGGAATCCGCTATAATTTTATAATTTATGGTCTAAGTTTTTATCTATTGCTCAATCCCTCTATCTGATGCCTGTTTTAAAATGCACATCTATCTTAATCCTCTTCACCTCTTCACTGGTGGTAGGACTTCTTGTGAGTCCGCACGGGTAGGTACTACCACCCCGCCTATTTCTGCCGTGAAGCAGTAATGCGTTTCGGTTTGAAGGGTGGGGCAGCCGTTGTAACTATACTTGAGACCTTAGAACTTGTATCTCAAGGTGGGTGGCGCATTTACGTTGTAGATGTCTACGGGCTCCAGTAACCACTTACCACCAGGTGGGCTGTGAGCTCGTCCACCAATCTAGGCTATAAAAAAAAAAGGTGCGTGTACTTATGTACGCGCGTAAGAAGTTGTACTTTATTTTTATTAAATTTATTTATTTTTAATTTATTTAAATTTTAATCAATTTAAAAAAAAAACGATTAAACAACATCCTCAAACACGCATAATGGACATCCCTTTTCTTGACATGGTATAAATTCGGTAATTCTCGGTACGATTCGGAAAGTTCACCTGCGGCTATATTCAGACTCGCCAAGCTACGTCGGTCGTATCGTAATGAGCGATTTAGTGGGCAACTTCATGCTGTTAAATTTGTGTCATGGTGCGCGCGCATCGTAAAATTTCACTCTCATCAATTTTTCATAACGCGCCTAAAGAAGTATAACTTCAATAAATTTTTTTTTACATATTCTCCACATATTATCAGTTGCTTTGCTCTCTACATTTTTTTCCTACCTCCTTAAATAGAACGCAGCCTCGAGCTCACAGCTGATACAACAAAATCCCACAACGCTGTTTGACAGTTTGCAGCTATGGTTTTATAGATGTCAACTTGTATTGTCAACAATTTTCATATCTAGCTATTGTAGCCCTTTATAATATTTACAGAAGATGGTGATGTTTCTTTAAACATGGCGAATATTGCTAACCCTGCACCATATACATATAAACGAGAAAGTGCAGTCATACCTACCATAAAATCAGAATTATTTAGTAATCGTTTAAAAGCCGCAAAGAATTTATATCGAAAAGATCTTTTGTGCCATTTCGGGTGTGTAAATGCTATAGAGTTTTCAAGCAATGGCGAAATTCTCGTATCAGGTAATTATTGCTCACCATATCTTTGTATTAGAATTTGAATATATTTTATGATATCTAAATTCGTAAGTTTCTTGCCAAAATTGTTCAATAGACTTTTTAGTCGACGTAATAAAACACTGACGAAGTCTCTTATAGTTTAGTGTTTATGATGCCGTAAGGAATAAAAGTAAAGGTCTAAGTTTGAGATGATTTCGTCGTCTTTTTACCATCTTATCAACGGCCATAGGAGCATAGTCCATCCATACTGTCTGGAATCACAATGGTTATCAACACTCTAGAACAAACCCTTTCTCTGTGTACCTTCCTGACATGTCCTTTGTCAAATGAGGTTTGAAAGGAATTGAGAGCATTAGACAATGGTATTGTTGATGCTCATTAATGACAATGTCTACTCACCGACAGATGAGTAGTATGCTATATTAGAAAATATTTTTCACTTGTTTTTAGGTGGAGATGACAGGCGTGTTATGGTTTGGAAATTTGGGCATGCAATATTAGATCATGGTAAACCACACTCATTAAAAGCAGTTCACCAATCAAATATTTTTTGTATTGGAATTACTAATGACAACAAAAAGATTTATTCAGGAGGGAATGATGATATTGTAAGTTAAATAAAAGACAATGAAATATCAGTCACACATAATTACTTAGGTTTGTAAGTGGTTTTTGTAAGTAATTATTTATATTTTGATTATGAGACATGGTTTTCTATGATTTTATTAGTTTTATAATCATATATAAAACGAATATCATGTAAATAATATTTTTTATGATAACTATAACAGATTTAACAAAATGAGCATTATAGAGCATAAAATTATTATGTATTGTGAGCGATAGTTTAATCAGATCTCATTACTTTTATTTATTTAACATTTAGGTAATTGTTCATGATGTGGAAAGCAAAAGTCCACTTGAAGTACTCCAACACCAGAGAGCTGTATGCTGTCTTAGCATTGATCCGTTTAGTGAACGTGTAGTTTCAACCGCCGGTAATGATGGAAGACTGCTGCTGTTTGACACCAGGAGATCTGTTCATGGTAAGATTTGTTTTTGTTGTTGATTTTGTGATCGTATAAGAATACAAATGCATGTCTCTTAGGCGATACTGTTAAATTTTGTACATATGTTATCAGAACTTCATGGAAGTATTAGTACCTTAAGGATATAAAAGCTAATGTAATTTTAACAAACCACTGATTTACTAAATGGGTCGGGATTCCGATCCGATTTACTGCTCTTGCTAGTCAGTGTTAGCAAATTTCTGAGGCTGAGCCTGTAAGCTCAACTACCGGTCTGCGTGTATTTGAACAGCCCCGTAGGATAGCAGCGATTAGGTAGAGGAAAATATTCAAGCACAATAGGTTTAATTAATAACAGTCACAGACAAGGAGGTCACTTGTAAAAGATTATAACTATTATAATCAACTAGTATATGTATATATTTGTTAATTATAATAGGATTACAGCTCTCACAATCAATCTAGATATTGACAAAGAATTCTGGGGAACTGCCAGCATTAGCATTGGTCCTTGAATACTTTGAAAACAAAACAATGAATATTATGCTAAATATATTGCATTATAATAAGCAATACAAACTGAATAAAATATTCCCACAGTGAAGAAGAAAATAATAGTGTTGTGTATTAAACCTTATTTGTTGTACTAAGGTTTGCTCATAGTATATTTTTGCATCCAATGATGACATACAATGAAGTAGTTAGTAGATGTTTACTTGTGCTCTGTAACACTCATGAGAATATTGAAAAATAAAATAAAACTAATGCATGTAATGCATTACATGTAAAACTATATAGTTACACAGTGAAATATATTATAGAACATTGCCATCCCACATTTTCTATAGCATAACATGTGACATTAAATTTCCAGCATATTTACATTTGTAAGTGTCCAACAGAGTCCTTGGTTATATCACGGAGTCGAAAAGCTTTCCACGGGGTAATGTACCACCCGCAACAAGCTGGAATGCTTGTGTCTGCAAATGCAAGGGACGGAATTAGTCTGTGGGACTTGCGTTCACCTAAACAGTAAGTTTTTTTATTCCTACTATTTGTAGATCTTTCCTTTGTTATGCAAGTGTACTCTGCTGCTGTTTGTTCTAATTGTTTAATATTTTTTTTGTAGGCCAGTTGTACGTTATAGTGGAAAGAAGGGTCCCTATCAGAACAGCATGAGCGTTTGTTTTAATTCAACTGGCACTCACGTATTAGCCTTAAGGCGACGACTTCCACCAGTACTATATGCTGTCCAATCGCCAGAACCAGTTGCTGAATTCTATCATCAAGATTATTATAATTCGTGTACAATGAAGAGTTGTTCCTTTGCGGGTCAGAATGATGAATATGTGCTGTCCGGTTCGGATGACTTTAACATCTATGCATGGAAAATCCCAGATGGTGGAGGGGGATCTGGTAAGTTGCTATAATAATATATTCTTCATGATATTTGACTATGCAATTGGGTTATTGCTTCATCAAAGCTATAGAGAAACCGGTGCATAAATACATAGAATCATCATCGAACCGTTTCAATCGGAATTTCAAATATATTGATTTAAAATTGTAATGTTTTTGTGTTATTCTATTTCAGAATTGGCTGTCGAGCCGCCGCATTTAATTCTTTACGGACACAGATCAATAGTTAACCAAGTGAGGTACAATCGACATTACTGTACGATTGCGTCGTCGGGCGTTGAAAAAATTATAAAAGTATGTTGAAAAAAGCGTGAGCCGTATATTTTCTTTAAAATACGAATCTTTGAATATCATGTTATTCTTTCTTGTACACACAGTTAATACAGTAATTGCGAAAAGTTATATAATGGCGAGCTTAACTCAACAATTGAGCTATCTACCAGCTAACCGTTCTTAAAGAGGGAGAGCTTTACATAAGTGGGTAGAAGAGTACAATCTAATCAATTTACAAGCTTTATCATATAAGTGTTGGTGGTTAGGGATGCTCCAGTATCGGACGTCCGACAGTGTTTCCATTGCGTTTCCACGCGTTCATTAACTGACGAATTTTGATTTGTAATAGGCTGCGCGTCCACAGAATGTGGAACTATCGAAATATTTAATTATTTTTTTTTGGAACAAACAAATCCATTTAATTCCAAATTGATGATAAATCGTTTGTTTGATGAAACTTTGTATTCGGAAATTGCCAGAGTTAAACCATGAAACGAATCTGTAAGAAATTCAGGCTTGTTCTTTCCCATATAAATATAAGATCATCCCATATAAGATCATCATCATCATACACAATGAATATACGGAAATAAATACAAATGAGTATCGTTTTGTACTCATTTATAATTCGTTCAAATGGATTGCATGTATTGACAATGTCAAAAATTCCTTTTCGCCTCTACGAAAGCCATGCAAAAATTTACAAAAAGAAGTTGCACGATTGGTGAATCAATTAATTGGTTATAATTTCAGGTTTGGTCGACCATTGAGTACCCGAAAATGCGCGGAACTCTTTTAGAAGAAGCTCAGGGATCGGACAATCCCCGGGAGATATACAGCCACGAGGACTACGTCTCGCTTGTTCATCACAGCGGACAGGTAAGACGGAGTAATTTGAATGTTATCTATATATTAATACGTGAAGCAAAAACTATGTACCCCTTTTTACGAAAGTTCCGCGGATGGAGGAGTATGAAGTTTCCCACATTTGTAGAAAATTTAGAGAAGGTCTATGTCTGTCTCGGGTCTAACTCAACCGAACAAAAGCATTTGCGAGTACCGTCGAATATTCTAGATGATCCAGCGCAAGGACTTACTCAGCGCAGGGCTCTTTGAAAACATTGTATAAAATTAAACGATTCTTAAATATGGATGTAAAACTATTTGTGCAATAGCCTGCCATCTAGGTAGCTAGCGGTGAAGCGTAATCGACCGGGAGTTAGCACCACGCTTTGGATACTGACAGTAATTATTAACTAACAAACTCCAAAGGTGGCGCCATCCCAATAATTCACTACGCATATACCATTACTACTCCCGCGCGCAACCAAACATTCGTTTCGTTTTCAGTACATATCGCACAACTACGCGGAGCAGTCGACCAACGAGGACCCGCGGATGATGGCGTTTTTCGATTCTCTGGTGCAACGCGAACTAGAGTGCCTCGCCTACGACACGGACTCCTTGGACGGCTCCTCGTCGGCTGCTTCCATGCTCGATCAGGACTCGGAGTCGTCAGACACCGACCAGATTGTTGCCGACTTCTTACCGCTGCCGCCGAAAAGAGGTTTGTTGTATAATGTGGTTTAGTTCTTTATTGCTTTATTGATATCATAATATGAACATCAGCTAGTAGTGTACGAATCACTAACCTACTGTTGAAACCGGAATGAATGAATTTTTCGTGGTGATATGATTCCAGCTTACAATTTCTTTTAATTCATTTGTAATTTAAGTAATGTTACGCGCTAGGGTTCGGGATCAATAAAATTCTACCGATTCACAAGTTAACACTGTATTCAACACTTTCAAACACTTTAAAACTCTCAATAAGGGATAAATAAAATTCTACCGAATCAAAAGTTAACACTTTAAACACTTTAAAATTCTCAATTCGCTTCTTCCGCTTCGCTTCAGGTGATCCTTTCGCTGTTTCGCTTCGAGTAGTTCCATTTACTAACTGACTGCGTGCCATCTCTGCAACGCTTTTATAGTCGTGACGAAATCCCTAGAATCGTCGAGAATATTCCACACATGTCTAGTATTGTGTTTCCGCTATCTGACGATAAATGGCGTTGTACTTCTCGCGCGTTCTAGATGTTACTAGATCCTTCGGTATTCGTTCGTAACATCGTGTAATAAAAATGAAACCCGCAAAATTATAATTTGCGTAATTACCGGTGGTAGGACCTCTTGTGAGTTCGCGCGGGTGGGTAACACCACCCTGCGTATTCCTGGGGTGAAGCAGTAATGCGTTTCGGTTTGAAGAGTGGGGCAGCCGCTGTAACTATACTTGAGACCTTAGAACTTGTATCTCAAGGTGGGTGGCGCATTTACGTTGTGGATGTCTATGGGCTCCAGTAACCACTTAATACCAGGTGGGCTGTGAGCTCGTCCACCCATCTAAGCAATAAAAAAAAATAACAAAAATCGGCGATAAGTTAGTCTTACCGGCGTAACAGTAATACTAATTTTAAATAAAAATAATGCTCATCTACTCGAATGACGATACTGTTGCGAATGACGATATGCACGTACATGTACACAATAGGAGAGGGAGAAAGAGAGAGAATGCAATTTGTATAACGCTTTTAGTTACGTGATGATTTTTATGAGTCAACGCTATTACTTAGCGTCATTAGGAAGGCGGCTTGAAGCGTTTCGTTTGAAATCACTAACCTTAGTTATTGTTCTCGGCGACGGGTTACCTTGCAATCGGTATACTTATTATGAATAAATTGACAATTTTTTAACAATTGTTTCTCTTGTCAGAAAATCAAAATGGAGCACGCAGTCAACGATGCCCCAATCGCATGGCTCGCCTGGTGACGTCTCGTTACAATAAGAACGTACGACCGCAGAAAAGAGACGCCCTCAGGTGAGCAAAGCATGGAGAATGTGTTAGTTAGCGTCAAAGTTTCAGCATGCACCTCAATAATTATTCAAACTACCGAATTCAGTTTGGACACAAACAAACCTCAATATAGTCTTTGTGCCAATGTTTTTATATTATGTATTTTTTGTTTGTCACTGTCTTATTTGAAAGCTTGTCTCTCTGTTGTAAATAATTTTCGAAGCAATAATCATGATAACATTTTAGAACCGGTGTTTAGAGAATTCGATTTATCGATCATACGTTACGTTTTTAAATGAGTTAGAGTTTTTATGATAAAATAAAAACTCAAAATCAAATTTTTTGGTCTTATTTTTGTTAACTAACTTATAACATATGGCCTAGAGATTATTATTACGTTACGGAGATAACTGAGGAATATGGGTTTGATTAATTTACAGGCGCAGCAAGCAGCCTCGCAGCGCGGGCAAGTCGAGTGGCAAGGGCAAGGGCGTGCGCACCCGCGCCATGCGGCGCCCGGCGCCCCGCCCCGCGCCCCCCGCCGACCGGACCGACTCCGACGAGCCCGCACGAGCGCTCTACAGGAACTCCGCCCGGGTGAGACAACCTCGTCGTTAACACAAGCTTCCGGAACCTGACACCGAAACTGCTGCCGGAGGTTTTTATTTATTTATTTTATCGCTTAGATGGGCGAGCGAAGTCAGCCCACCTGGTGTTAAGTGGTTACTGGAGCCCATAGACATTTTTTTTTGGTACAATTTTTCCTTATTAGGAAAGGCAAGGGGATCTAAGCCCTATTGCCCTAAGGAAAACAAAAAATCCCTAATCCCGATTATCCTAGTAAGGATAACGGATCAAACTGTTAAAAATATTGAATTGTCATCGGTCCTTAATAAGTATGCCAAATTTCGAGTTAATCCGACGTTTTGAAGGGGGTCAAAATCATGTTCAAAGATTCCGTTACATACTAACATGATATGTATGAAGCTAATAAAAGCGTATTAAAATACACAGCCCTGGCCATTTTTTGTTTTTTTTTTATTGCTTAGATGGGTAGACGAGCTCACAGCCCACTTGGTGTTAAGTGGTTACTGAAGCCCATGGACATCTTAAACGTAAATGCGCCACCCACCTTGAGATATAAGTTCTAAGATCTCAGTATAGTTACAACGGCTGCCCCACCCTTCAAACCGAAACGCATTACAGTATCGCGGCAGAAATAGGCAGGGTGGTGGTACCTACCCGCGCGGACTCACAAGAGGAAAGTGCGAAATTAACCCCGGTAATTAACAAATTAAATAGCGGACGGTTAGCATGGTATGGACATGTGATGCGTAGAGAGAAGATGTATGGAAATGGTAGTGCAAGGTAGAAGGGGTGAGGCCGACCGAAGAAGACATGGATGGAGTGTGTGAATGTCGATATGAGAGAGAGAGGAGTGAGTGTTGAGATGACGGCTGATAGAAGAGAATCGAAGAGAAAAACTCGCTGTGCCCCACCTAGTGGGATAAGTGGAGAAAGAGAAGAAGAAGAAGAAGGAGGGATCGCAGTGCAAAAATCGAAATCCATTTGATTAAGCTATTAGATCATAGTTTAAAGGCCTAACAAGTAAAGGCATGTAACATACCTCATAGAGACTAACGTATCACACTGATTATAAAATATCAGTAACATATCAACATTGAAACTTTATTGTAACATCATTTTAATTTACTACAACAAAATGATTAACTTGTAGTCGTGATTTATTTTCAATGTGACTATTGTTTGATTTTAGATGATCAGACCGGTTAGAAGACGACAGAACTCCAGTAGGTCCGTTAAAAGAAAAGCCAAAACAAATTGTTACAGAAGAGTCTCGAATTTAAGGAACAACGGTAAGAGAACGGCGCTTTTCGGCCTTGGCTTGTCTCATAAATACTCCTTTTTTTATTGCGTTGATGAGTGAAGGAACTTATGGGAGGCTCATTTGGTGTTCAGGAGTTACCGGTATATATCTACGTAAACGGTATATATCTGTCTATTGTATGTATATATTTTCTATAATAATGTATTGTCTATGGTACACCGCAACATACCTGCTATATTTTTATATTTTCCAGAATTTCTGTAAATTAAACGGTTGTCTGGAAGAGATCGCTTTTAGCGATAAGACCACCTATTGCACAAATGTATCTGCTTTTTGGCTGTTTTTTGAATGTTAAATTGTGTTTTGGTGTGCGATAAAGTGTATTCTTTCTCTCTTTGTCTCCCTCCCTCTCCCCTCTCTTTCTCTCTCTCTCTCCTCTATCTCTCTCTCTCTCTCTCTCTCTCTCCTCTCTCCTCTCTCTCTACCTGAGCCCCTAGGCACGAATAACGTTAATGCCGCCACCCATTTTGAGACATGAATTCTATGTTTGAGTTCTACAGTACAACGGCTTCCCCACCCTTGGAATTGGAAGAGATTTCTGTTGCATGGTAGAAGTAGACAGAATTCTGATTAGTAATTACGCTAATGATTTTAAGACGATGTTATTAGTACATCGTGAAAGTCATTCGTGAACATTTGTCAAATACACACATGTTTCCTTAGAAAAATTGGTACCTCCCTGCAGGATTCGCATCGCTACGATACGAATGCACCGGACGTCTTATCCTTTAGGCCGCGACGAAGACGGACTCCATGATCTTATTGTTGTTTATTATAGGTGGCACCACACCCCAAGATAGTAGCGATAACAACAACTNGTACATCGTGAAAGTCATTCGTGAACATTTGTCAAATACACACATGTTTCCTTAGAAAAATTGGTACCTCCCTGCAGGATTCGCATCGCTACGATACGAATGCACCGGACGTCTTATCCTTTAGGCCGCGACGAAGACGGACTCCATGATCTTATTGTTGTTTATTATAGGTGGCACCACACCCCAAGATAGTAGCGATAACAACAACTGTACGAACTACGACAATTACGAAGACAACATGGCGTTACCCAGTACAAGCTCAGGTAAGTTTGGTCACTTATATATCTATATCGCCTGTGAGTTTTTTTTTATTGCCCTTGGACGGTTTTATTGGCGGACGAGTTGATGGTGAGTGGTTACCGTTAAGCCGCTGCCTACCGTTAAGCACTCTCCATAAACCTCGTTTGAAGAAGGACATATCATAGCGCTCGGGAAACATCATGGAGGGGAGCTCATTCCAAAGCCAGATAGTACGTGGCAAAAAAGATCTTTGGAAACGCACTGTGGATGACCGCAGTGGCACCAGGTAGTATGGATGAACTCTACTCCAGTGGCGGGCGGTGCGATGGTAAAAACGAGATGGTGGAATCATTTCAAACAATTCCTCAGGTCACTCATTTTAGTGCCTTTTAGAGTAGTTTTCTGCCGTGAAGCAGTAATGCGTTTCGGCTTGAAAGGCGGGGCAGCCGTTGTAACTATACTGAGACCTTAGAACTTATGTTTCAAGGTTGGTGGCGTATTTACTTTGTAGATGTTTATGGGCTCCAGTAACCACTTAACACCAGGTGGGTTGTGAGCTCGTCCACCCATCTAAGCAATAAAAAAAATTGTGTACAGGTTACAGAGGTCAAAACGCACCGGCGCTGTTCCGGATAGCCGAGGTGGATTCCGACGACGACCATTCGGCCAGCAGCAGGCCCCTGTCGCCGGGCAATCAGAACGCGAACTACGGCGTCCCCCCGAACCTGATCAGCATAGTCCCGACTCCGGTCAACGGCTCGCGTGACTCGTTGGGCGAGTCGCTGCGGCTCGAGCCCCACGAGCACGAGGGCCACGCCCCCCCGCTCCCCTCCGAGAGCCGCCCCCGGCTGAACCTGCGCCGCGTCAGGAGAAACGGCCGCGCCGCTCTGCACCGGTCCGACTCCAGCGAGTCGCCGCCCTTGAAGGACGAGACCGAACGCGCCACTACCTCGCTCGAAGGTCGACTCTCGCCTAAAATCGGCTACAATCAGACAGTAGCGCGGCTCATGAATGAAACGAACGAGAGTGAGCTAGAGAGTAGTTGTAGCACGGAGAGCGGCGCGTGGCCCGTCCCGGTGGCGGGGAGTGCGGGGGGCGGGGGCGCCGGTCCGAGCGCCAAACCGCCCGAGGACGTTTCCGACGACTCTGACTTCCACGCGGTCAAGTTTCGTCAGCGCGTCAAAAAATCACGTCGTAGTTATAAGAGCCACATGGAATCAGATTCGAACTGAGATGACTGTAGATAAATTATTAAAATCGTCTCTTATTAGTTGTTCCACTGTAAGTGGACACTATTACACTGCTATGGTATTAATTTAAAAAGGATTTTTTTCCGATGCACGGATTAAGTTTCCTACAAAAGACAGATGATCTTGAACATCTTTTATTGATTTTCCTAATGTGCTGTGAAACTTGTATTTTTTTTTGTAAGTAAANACTGAGATGACTGTAGATAAATTATTAAAATCGTCTCTTATTAGTTGTTCCACTGTAAGTGGACACTATTACACTGCTATGGTATTAATTTAAAAAGGATTTTTTTCCGATGCACGGATTAAGTTTCCTACAAAAGACAGATGATCTTGAACATCTTTTATTGATTTTCCTAATGTGCTGTGAAACTTGTATTTTTTTTGTAAGTAAAAATTAATATATTTCTGATTTTACCTAATTTAACATACACAGTAGTTATAAATATATGTAAACTTCATGGCCCATATATTATGTGGCTACTAACAATATAAAAAGTTAACTGTAGTCATGAGAAATAACGGGCATGTACCACTTTTTTATAGTTAGAATTATTATCTATAAATTGTGCACAAATTGATATGTATAATGAAGATGTTACTGCAATTTTCACTGGATTCGATTGGATTCGACTCTATTGTCGTATTCTTGACTATAAATTTATTCCTGCTTATAATATTGGGTAGAATTGACAATGATCAAGAATTTCCCTTGACACTTATGTCCAAATCACAGGCATCTCTGTCCAATAGAGATAGAGAGCAGCGTATTGATTTTAGTTTATTTCATAAGTTATACAATAAATGCTTAATTCATACATTTTGTATCTTGTTTGCTCTAGCGTAACGATGTGCGTGTAAATAGTGTTGAAATTGTATAAAAATGTGAATGTGATCCTATACTTGTTAATAGGTATTAAATCGAAATGAAAAATCAATGTTTTCCAAAAAGGTCTCGGATTAATAATGCCATTAAAGAAATATTTAAAATGTTTTGTTTTATTATGTAATTACAGAGACTAAGCTCTATTGCGGTATGTATGTAAATCCTCACTGGACAAATTTTCCCGAAGCTTTATGTGGAAAGTTGATCACAGTGAGTCCACCTTTCCCAAAGAACTAATGAACTGTAGAAAATGTTACCTACGACAATGTGATTGGCATCACTGCGTTTATTCATACTGTTTATCCTGTCTTTTAATGCCCTAAGCGCTATGACACGTCTATTTACAAACGTAGTTTAAGGAGAGCCATAGTAATAGACAGCGGCCTGAATGTGCTCCAGGCTTTCCCGATGTCTATGAGCGAGGGTGACCACTGACCATCAGGTGGCATTCACGTCTGCCTAGTCAATATTTTTTTAAGAAGTCACAAAAGGTAAGTTGTCGTAAATCACATTTACCGGTCAAACTGGAAAACATAATTGTTAGGCGGCCTAAATGCATAGGAAAGAGGAAACAATCTGAGAAGGCACAAGAAACAATCATTAATACTGGAGTACTCAATGAATCTTTTTTAAAGTTATTGACTTTTTTGTTGGTTATAATTGTATTAATTGCTAATTAATTCGTTTTGTGTTCATCAATTAATTCAAAGAGTATAATTCGAGAACTCCTGCCCGTACCGTGTACTATAGTCCATTTGCGCCATTTTCATTCCATGGGCAAACTAATCACGTATGTAATAGCTTTTTCACTTTTTTAGTTAATTATATTGTTTAATAATTATTTTCGTTACATTTTTGTTATTTTATTATCGTTAAAATCGATTTTATTTAAATTAGTTCGATAGATTTTCAATCGCTTTACCATCTCTAGAAACTTCAGTTGCTAAACTGTCACCTCAGTTCACCGCTTTGAAAAGCGGTCCACTTTTTAACCTGAATATTTTCATTTTATTCTTTTTCTTCACTGAAGAGCTCGAAGATGGACGGGATTTCGACTTATAACAATTTTATAGCCTTACATAAACCGCAACTTCTTTTGTCCGGTGTTCCCGAGTACTTCTGGCAAACATTGTGTAAGAAAATTAGTGATCAGATCTTCGACTCTGGTTTGGCATTTCAACTTGTTCAAATTGACTATGAAGATATTCAAAAAGCTCCTTACGATCCTTTGTGGAGCGTTATAGCTATCAAATACATTAATCGATCGGATCCAAGCCACATATATTTAATAGATCATGCATGGACGTTTAAAGCAAATAGTATTAAAAATAACCTTCGAAACGTTCCTGGGCTTGCCGACAGAATGTGTAGCCTAATGCAAATAACAGCGGATTCGATTGAAGGCAAGATAGATGAAATTTCTCAGCAAGTTTGGAAGTATGCCAACACTTATGCCATAGGAGGTAATGATTTTTCCATTGAAGACAGAGTTCCAGTCTGGTATGTTTTAGATGAATTAGGTTCTGGAATCACTCATTCAGATAATCCTAATTTTCGAACTGTACCCTTTATAAATGTCCCCGATCAAATGACTTATACTTTATTATTTCCTGTAGAAAATGTAGAGGAAGGTGATGTCATCACTAGAAATTTTGTAGAGGGTCAGTTTTCTGATCCACTTCAAAGAGAAGCTATGCTTATTCCCTGGAAACAGTATGAACATTTTGATGAAGATTTTACTCAAAAAGAACCAGATGTGAATTATTTTCTTGAAGGACATATTAGTGAAACTTTACCAGATTTAGAATTACTGCAGAATAGGGAAACACCAACAAAATTGAAAGTATATGCAGAATATAGATATATTAATGAGTTTCTAACTGCACCAGAATTCCAAATTGTCCATAATGAAAATAATGCTGATATCTTGTGGTATATAAATCACTTCAAAAATTTCAAAGAATTAAGTATGACTCCTCATAAATTTGTCAATCAATTTCCTTATGAATATGTTATAACTATAAAAGATTTATTGCCTATTGTATCTAGAAGGTGTGCACAAAAGTATTCCACCTTACAATTGGATACCTATCCCTTATGGTTGCCAACTACTTTCAACATGAAGACTGAATTATCAAAATTTGTTTCATATTATATGCAGAGAAAGAAGATTGGGTTAGACAACCACTGGATTTGCAAGCCTTATAATCTGGCAAGAGGATTAGATACTTATATAACTGATAATTTAAACTTTATGTGTAGACTTCCCTTAAGTGGGCCTAAAATTGTTCAAAAATACATTGAGAATCCAGTACTTTTTGAAAGACCTGATGTTGGACTGGTTAAGTTTGATATACGTTATGTAATAATTATAAAATCGGTTGATCCAACTGAAGTATATGTGTATAATAACTTTTTCCTTAGATTTGCCAATAAACCATTTTCATTGGACAATTTTGAAGATTATGAGAAGCATTTTACAGTCATGAACTATGAACAAGAAGCACATCTGTTTAAAATGCTATGTAAGGATTTTAAGGATGCCTGGGCAATCCAATATGCCAATTACGATTGGGTTGAAATTGAGCAATCAATCTTTAAAATATTAGCTGACCTTTTTACAGCTGCTACATCTAAGGAACCTCCGTGTGGTATTGCCAAAAGTCCACAATCCCGAGCCCTTTATGCTGCAGACTTGATGTTATCCTGGCATCAATCAAATGGTGAGACAGTAGTACGACCTAAAATACTAGAGATAAACTGGATGCCAGACTGTGCTCGAGCATGTGAATATTATCCTGAATTCTACAATGATATATTCTCTTTAATGTTTTTGGATAAAAATGGAGAAACTCTTACCAAAGTTTTGTAAATTTGTTAAATTTTAAAATCGAAACCTAGTCGTGACCATACAGGGTGAGGCAACCATTTCTGAAAATGGACTTGTGATTATTTGGAATAAAAAAATAGTGAATGTTGAATTATAAACCTTTGTATTGTAACTAAGAAAAAAAAAGCATCCACAATATTTTATGGTGAAGATGTCTCTCAGCTGCCTTCTGTTTCAATTGTGGTGTGATGTTTAATATTTACTGTATCAACGAGTATTTACACTAGAAAATTACTGTTGTTTTTCGGTTATGTTTGATATGGTGACATGATTATTTTTTTTAAGAATGGTTAGCATTCACCCTGTTTTTTCAAACTGAGTGAACCAAAGTATTATGAAACTGTTTTCATATTGAAAGAAGTTTGTGAAATTCTGCACTGTGATAAAAGCTTAAGTTTATATTTTGATACTTATGACAAATATGTATATTATGTCTGTTATTGTGCAAATGGAAAACGAAATGCCTGATTGTTATCTCTTAACTATGCCTTATGGAAAATGCCTTTAATGTAATGGGATAAGCTTTGAAATTTGTATAGTTATTTATTTAAAACATTGTTCAAATGAAACTCAATATTTGTAGTTTTTAGTGATTTATGGAATTAAGAGCATAAATTTGATATACACATTATATTATTATCACTGATATATTTTGCTTTAATACATTATTACAATAAAATAAATTAGTTTTTCTGAAGTATCCTTCGGTCTTCGTCTTGAATGAAACCAAATGGGTTCTGATCATCAACATCCCGGTGGCTGAGTAACAGCAGAACAACAAGAACAACAATGATGATGAAAAGCAGTATCCAATAACGCTTGTAGATACCTCCGGCTCTTCGCACTCGAGAAGATGGGAGAGAGTTTCTGTTAAATAAATCGGTTCATTTTTTATTTAATTGTTACAAATAAATGTCCAGTCGACGCCACTCCAGGGAGCCCAAATTAACCACCATAAGCAAAATAAAAATTTTGAAAAGATAAAAAAAACTTACTATGCCATCCAAATTTTGTTATGCAATCTATTTATATTCACTTGAAAAGTTTTTTAAAAGCAAATTTGATATGTTACATGTTGAAACAAAAGTGGCTGAATATTCAGAGACAATTAGATATAGATGATAGAGGTACATCCAGAGTTACAAAGCATAAGTTTGTAGTTATTGATTGAATAATTATCACTGATGAGATTTTCAGTGAATTTAAATTTTAGGCCTCCAAATCCCAGCCATCTCGAGGTACTAATATTATTACCTCAATATCTTTATCTTTGTACCTTCCTACAACTATTGTAACATCTATTTCAGCAGAAATAATAGGCTGCCTATTCTAAAGAGTCAGATAACCTCTATTCGACGGCTATTAATTGTTTCTTAATTTAAGGGTACTTGTATTGTGGATTCATTGATGAATCACGTGTTTAATCACTAAAAAGTACCGCTTAAAGTAAGTGTATAAACATTGAACTAAGAATCTTAATTGTGAAGTACATGAAAAGTACACAAAATAACCAATAGTAGTCTTGTAATGTATGTGTATGACGGAAAAGATGAAATAAAATAAAATGATTTTGTAATAATTTTGAGAATGACGTACATCCACCATCTGCTAATCCATGCGAACGTTGATTTTTGTTTATATTTATTTTCGTCATGGTCGTAGTTCGGCGTCTGTTTCGAAATCTCGACTGCTTTGAAACTTTTCCTTGGAGCTTGACTACCTGAAACGAAATTTGAATATAAAATTAGAAATAATTCAAATTAATTTAAAACCAACAGAACTCACAGAATTAGCCAAAATTAGTTTTGTATTAATATTAGTATAAAACAATTTTTTTTGTAGCTTAGATGGGTGAACGAGCTCGCAGCCCACATGGTGTTAAGTGGTTACTGGAGCCCATAGACATCTACAACGTAAACGCGACACCCACCTTGACATACAAGTTCTAAGGTCTCAGTATAGTTACAACGGCTGCCCTTCAACCCTAAACGCATTACTGCTTCACGGCAGAAATACGCGGGGTGGTGGTACCCACCCATGCGGACTCACAAGTGGTCCTACCATCAGTAATTACGCAAATTATAATTTTGCGGGTTTGATTTTATTACACGATGTTATTCCTTCACCGTGGAAGTCAATTGTGAACATTTGTTGAGTACATATTTCATTAGAAAAATTGGTACCCGCCTGGGATTCGAACACCGGTGCATCGCTTCAACACGAATGCACCGGACGTCTTATCCTTTAGGCCACGACGACTTCCAAAGCTGATAATATAGCCACATATCACTAGGTGAATCCCTCCATTCACATTGAAAAATGAGGTGTTAATATTTTAACACGACGGCGTCATTTCTGTACGCACATAGACGCTCTAAAAATTTGGGCCTGTACTGTTGCACATTATGTGCACACTCCATCCTGTAATAAATGGTTCTCATGTCGCTGCACCTTTCGGCAGATAACTGGAGCGGATTGTTTGCGTGCAATCAGACAATGTGGAGCCAGAACCTGTTTATGGTAATAGTATTTTGTATTTGTTATATTTATTGGCATAAATCTTTTTTTTAAAGGATAAAGTAACCTATCCCTCTAACAATCAACAACTCAAGGATTTTTTGGCGGGAACGGGCGTAATGTCTAATACACAAAATGTAGGTAGGTGATAAAAAAAATCTGAAAAATATTGTGAATGTCAACCTTAATAACAGGACACCATTTCATGTAGCTTGTATAAAAAATGCATAATAAAAATGATAAAGAAAGAGGTGAGAATCAAAATTAGTTTATTGAATATTAATTATTATGTAATTTAGTATCTAAAATCTCAATAATAAACTAAAATACTCAAACGAAATTATTTGTCATTCGTTACATTATTAAATTTTTATTATACCTTGTAATCCGTCAGTCCTTTTTATTGAAGTATTTTCGTACATATTGGCAGGTTCGTCAGGCATTTGTACTATGGAATGTGGTGTGGCAGTAGCGGACCTGCTATTTGATTCATCATCACTTGCTCCAACTGGTGTACCACGATGATCCAGGCCATAATAAGCGGTATCTAATGGAGACTGACTGCGCCGGCTTGCTGCACCCTTTAGATCTTGATCCTCTGATAGCTGAAAAACAATTTTGTTTGTCCGAATATTACAGAATTTATCTATGAGTTATCGTTAATTCGAAATTCTTTTTTCAAAGATTTCTTCATTGATTAGTTTTTTGTTTGTTATCTTTTTTATCAATATAAACACATTAAAAATACGAGTAATTTAGGAATACGAGTTCTGTTGCGGTAGCAATACCGCATAAATGGCTCACAACATTACTGACGTGTACGGAGTGAACACTACAAACGAGCGCAAGACTCGCTATTGGTTGAACGCTTCCAACATCGAAATATTGATGTTATAAATTAACCCAATTGCACAGCTTTTACCGCGGGCTTTGAGCGCGGCGACCGAATCCTGAAATTCCGTAACGAAAATAAAACCTATCACCCCGCACTCCACCTACCATGTAGGTCGCGTTCAACAGATTCACACATTGCGCTTGTGTAGTGTTTGTGAATAAGCGCACGGCGTGACGTCGCACTGCATGCGCATCATGAAAAGTCTGCCCATCTCTCTCTCTCTCGCGGTCTAGCTTATGAGTGTGAAGGGGACAGTTAATGTTTTGCTTTTGTTAATGTTTATAAATACATATTTTATTATTGTTGTTATATTAAATTATTATTGTCTATTTAAGAAGAAGAAGTTGATAAAAAATGCTATGCAATAGTTTGACCGTGGCAGTCCCTGAGTACCACACGTGTTTTTTTTTAAATATATTTTTACACGACAAAATGACAATAATAAAACGAGAGAAACTATAATATAAAAAAGAAATTAAATCTATATATTTCAGTGTTAAAGTCCCATTTCAACTATTTATTATGGTTTCACAAAATTGATTTTTTTTCCTACCTAAGCATAAGCTGATAGCCTTGAGAGGCTATATCAGCGGAACCTTAACTAGTAGGTGAGCTCACGGGGCTCAAACCTGACGATGTTGCTAACACGAACCCTAGCAAGAGCTGTGCTTCGCAGTATCTACCACCGGATCGGAAACGCGACCCACTGAGAAGATCCGGCGAGAAACTCAGTGGGCTGTGTCTGAGGGTTAATTTACTCGTCGAGCCCTTCATCGCAAGCGACGGGTTCGACGAGAACGGTGACCTAAAAGCACCGTTAGTGCATCGGGAGGATCCGAAATGACGTGTTTGGGGCGACGTCGACTGCTTTCCATTCTTTCCGCAGGATCGGGAATGTAGTTACTGGCGGCCACGATGAGAAGCCGCCGGTAACTACAGTTAGTAGAGGTTTGAGGTATTCAAAAGCCTTAAATATTAGTAATTACGATCTATTATGTTCTTTGACTTCCTAAAGGGGGACTTCTTTTGAGTGCATGAAGTGAAAATTTTTACGTTCATGAATCATAGGGCCATGATTAGAGTTCAATAACTCGATTAAGAATTTGTTTTGCTTCTGTAAAAGGGGTAGTGTCTTCTTTGATCAATAGATCAATATGAGCCAAATTCACAGAGGTCACAAATAGATAAACAGTACAAAAGTAAACCCAATGGAACTACAAAATTGGTATATGTAATTTTCAAGGCAATGTGTATTTGTATTTGTTACAGACAAGAATATTATTTCCCAAGAATATTATTTCCACAGGGGACTATTTTTTTATATTTATAGTATATTATATAGCCGTCATCATATATTTAAGTCGTCGCGGCTTAAAGAATAAGACGTCCGGTGCATTCGTATCGAGCGATGCACCGGTGTTCGAATCCCACAGGCGAGTACAAATTTTTCTAATGAAATATGTACTCGACAAATGTTCACGATTGACTTCCACGGTGAAGGAATAACATCGTGCAATAAAAATCAAACCCGCAAAATTATAATTTGCGTAATTACTGGTAGTAGGACCTCTTGTGAGTCCGCACGGGTAGGTACCACCGCCCCGCCTATTTCTGCCGTGAAGCAGTAATGCGTTTCGGTTTGAAGGGTGGGGCAGCCGTTGTGACTATACTGAGACCTTAGCACTATATCTCAAGGTGTGTGGCGCATTTACGTTGTAGATGTCTATGGGCTCCAGTACCCATTAACGCCAGGTGGGCTGTGAGCTCGTCCACACATCTAAGCAATAAATAATAAAAAAACCAGACAGTTTTTTATCAGCAGCCTTTACACACAACTGGTGGAAATTGCTGAAGTTATCAGTAGATTATAAAAAAAAAACTACAAACCAATGGTAAGCCCAAGCCTGCTCTAGCCCAATTGACTCCAGCCAGCTTTTCCTTCAGTACATCTGCTACAGGTGATACTAAGTTAGGAGGAGGGAATACTAATGTTGCACATGATGGACACTGATAGCCAGCTGGTGCTGTGGTCCTCGGTAATGCTCGGTATTTAGACTCTGCGCAGGACCAATGAAAAACATCTGAAAAGTATAATTAAATTTTAAATATCTATGAATATTTTTTTTTTATAAACGTAATGTTTCATCTGGAGTTACCGCATGCACATCGTTCAAACAAGGTCATAAATGCAGTAAATTCATTCTGTGCACAGTAGATTTTGTACACTTGATGCGCTGTTACTGAGAATGTATAAGAGTTGTTACTAAGTTTTATGTGATGAAAATCCAAAAACGAATAGTTTTAGGAGTTGGTGACAGGAATTTGACATTATTTTTGTACTAGCTTTTTCCCGCGAGGAATAGTTACTTTGGCATAACGCTAAATTTTACCCGCCTCTTACGTTTTTTTTTACGTAGAAAGTAAAAATATTTTTGAATAATAGAATGGAATTTATATCATCTTCATAAAAACACCTTCACAAATAATGTTTTATTTTACAACAAATTTGGTTAGCATAAAAAAAGGTTATAGTGAGACAACCTTAAAATATAGGCATATTTAAGCTGTTGCAGACTTTTTTAGGACTTTCAAAGGGGAATAATTTTCTCATACATTATTAAAGCGAAACTTTAACAATTTCCGCAACGCACGCAGTGGAAGCTTTCAAAAGGGAAAAATACTCCAATTTTGAAACATTCTTTATTGGTGCTCTGCTTGTCTTAGTGGTAGTCTTGGTCTTAGTGTGATGTTATATATAGCCTTCCTCAATAAATGAACTATTTCACACTGAAAAAAATTTTCAAAACGGACCAGTAGTTTCTGAGATTAGTGCATTCAAACAAACAAGCTCTTCAGCTCTATAATATTAGTATAGATTTAGTAAAGATGTGATTGTAGATTATCAATTACTTTAGCAGCCCATTTCTAACAACTGAACATTCTATTTAAAGTTTGTTTAACAATGAAATCAATTAATTTTAGAAAGTTACATTATCCAAAACTCTTCATTTTAAAAAATAGACAGTTTTATTCAGTAACAATGTGGTATCAACTGCTTCTCTAAAGATTTTAGGTCAGCTCCTTTGCAATACATCTAATAGAACTGATTTGAGACCCCCTCAGAAGATCAAGTGGAAATCTCAGCAACTTGATGTTATTAGCTAAGTGTCATGTTTTGACAAGTACCTATGAACTATGCTTTGGTAGTTGCTAGTATTTGAGCAAGGACCGTGAATCAAAGTGGATTAGGTGCATTGGACATGTCATGGGTTTCGATGGCAGTTGATATTGATTAGATATTGTGTTAAGGTTATTGTTGTGTTACATTGCTGTTCTGAAGTAGCATTCTGATGCAAACTTTATATATTTACAGGTGAGACCTGATATAAACATAAATTATAATGGTTTCTATTTATGTATTAATAAATTCATAGTATCCAAAGCGAATTTAAATGGTAACTGGATTTATTATTTACTTTCCTTAGTCATTAAACATTTTAAAGTAAAAGGGTATTTATCATCAATGGTGTAATTGATGTAGATACTTACGGTAACAAGTAAGTCGTATGCATTCTCCTTCATTTAATGGTTTTGTACAAATCTCACATATGGGATTGTAGTCACTGTCTTGCAGCCATTGAAGATATGACTGAATTATACACTGCAAACGCACATTTAAAATACAATGTAGATAGAAATATGACAGTTATATTACAGTTATTTTAATTTTTAAAGTTACCTTTGGATGATTTGTAACCATACAATTTTCGCAAACATTCACTCGATGTTCGAAACAAAATTGATTTGTCACTCGTCTCTTGGGACACTTACACAAGCCCATTTTGGTTTTATTTTTTGGTATCTGGCATTTACTTTAAAACGAAATTATTTAAATAGTAAGCACAAAATTGTAACAGAATCATCTATCAACAAAACTTAAATTCAATAGGTACAGCAGTACAGTCACCAGTTGCCGTCAGCCACGTAAAGTTGTCAATTTGCTACATATGTCAAGTGTACGTTTAAATGTCATTTGTGTAAATTGTCATAGCATAGACCTATGATCATAGACCTATATGCCACTGAAGTATTAAAGGTCTATGACTGAAGTAAAGTCTATGCTACATGTATATGCATAAACTTCAGTGAAATTGATTGAGTAGATTTTTTTAATTCACAAATTATACTTATAGACCTAGGTTTCATACTTCAGTGATTATACTACCGTTCATCAGGGTAACTTAAGCTTTCCGTTTAACATTAGCCCACTTACTCACTTTTCACCATGGAGTTATAAGTAAAATACTAACTCTATGCTTTTAACATATTTATTTTTTTATTTCCAAACGGGATACATTTTACCATAGACTTTGAAATTTTTGATTAAGTAGGTATTATTGCCCAAAGTTATTATAAAGGTTTATGCCAAAAGACAATTGAATGGAAATGGAAATTAGTAAATCCATGGAGTTATTAAGTACATACAAATACTGGTAGTTTTCCAATTACAGCACAAGAGCGCATTATGCGGCATAATGCTCAACTAAGCTTCAGCATAATTCGGCATTGTTCGTCACTGAGTCGCATTATGCTCTGTAATTGGAAAACTACCACTAACTATGAGTAAATCATAGACCTTTACTGTATTAAATCGATCAAAGCATAGATCAAATATGAAGTGTATAATTTATGGCATAGACTATACAATTATCAAAGGAAAAGAATGAATGAATGTTAACTCTCAAATATATTAAGTGTATAATCTATGATGTTAACAGTGTTAACACTTGAATCGGGACTTTTTGGCGGGAACGCGAGGAGTGAAGTTGTGTGATTTGTTTTATTTTGTCTATTTAGTGTTTCTTCAGGTTTAAATGTGTAATAACGGTGGTTTATTAACTGTTTAATATCTGTGAAAGTGCACAAATGTGGGAAAATGAAACAAAGCTGCTGGACATAACTTCTCGGGTTCCTCCAAAAAGTCCACTGAAAAAATCTCAGTAAATGACCACCATTTTACTGCGATTATATTTCATCCCATATCATCTCATTTCATTAAATTTCATCCCAGTTGATTAATGTCTCAAATTAATCATCTTCATTTCATTTCACTCCATATTATCATTTTTCATAAAATTAAGAATATAAAGTAAAATAAGACATGACTTAAAGGTCTTAGTTACCAGGTCATAAAATCTCTTAAAAAAATTATTGGTCAGACTTTTTGGCGGGAACGCGAGGAGTGAAGTTGTGTGATTTGTTTTATTTTGTCTATTTAGTGTTTCTTCAGGTTTAAATGTGTAATAACGGTGGTTTATTAACTGTTTAATATCTGTGAAAGTGCACAAATGTGGGAAAATGAAACAAAGCTGCTGGACATAACTTCTCGGGTTCCTCCAAAAAGTCCACTGAAAAAATCTCAGTAAATGACCACCATTTTACTGCGATTATATTTCATCCCATATCATCTCATTTCATTAAATTTCATCCCAGTTGATTAATGTTGCAAATTAATCATCTTCATTTCATTTCACTCCATATTATCATTTTTCATAAAATTAAGAATATAAAGTAAAATAAGACATGACTTAAAGGTCTCAGTTACCAGGTCATAAAATCTCTTAAAAAAAAAAAAACACTTGAATAGTAATGAATACAGTGATATTAGATTGTTTACTTTAAAGCAGAGCTCTGATTCTGTTTCAATTTTATTATGTGTTCAAAAATTTTAACACTTAGTAATGTTTTGAGTAGACCTATGCAGTTATTTTTTAAGCCAAATGTTACTTCTAACCTAAAACCAAATATCAATGTAACCTCAGTGGCTTGCGTGAGTTTCTTTAATAAATGTAAGTATTCATAATTTATTATCAACTAATTTATTAGCGATAATTATCACTAATAATGACCATCATCATCATCAATAGGTCGGAGCAGCTGTGCTGCCCGTTGCTGAACATAGATTTCCCTCACATATTAATAATGATTGCAAAAAAATAGCAATATTATTATTTTGTGAGCTAAACTAAAATTTAATTGCTAATAGTACAGTATTAATAAAAAAGATAATAAAAAAAATAGATTTGTTTGTCAAAAATTAGTTTACTTAGCAAAGATAGTAAATTGAAAGTAATTATCCCCATCGTTCCTTACACAGTACCAGCTGAAAAACTTTGGAAGTCTGTAACATCTGTAAGTAATGCGGGTGCCAAGAAGGGTCGTGGTAAGGGAGCAGGTAGGATCCGAATTCGAGACTTGAATAGAGGCCAGGTAATTGGCACAGGAAAAGTTAATATGTTGTGGCCTGGTCTATCAGCCCCTGTGATTAGAGGCAGAGAATTATTGAAACAGCAAAAGCTACCTGATGATCCTGAAAGGTATGTGAATTTTTGTATTTAAATTTTTATTTTTATTTATTTTATTTTATACTTAATGTACACAAAAAGAAAAAACAATAAAAACAGATTTAAATACTATGTACAAAATGTAAAATTCCTATTGGTGTTAAAATAATGTTTGAGCATAACTTAATATTTGGATGCTGATTATTTTAATATTGCCACTCCCATCTACTGGTTTGTAATTTCAAGCCAGTTATTCACCAAAGAAAAATTAAAGTTTATTTGGTATTAGTTACTGTTTTAACATATAACATTTACAGTGTGCACTCAGATGATAATGAATACATCCGATAATTGATTTTCAGAATGGAAAAGCTAATAAAAATACGAGATTCAATGACAAAGTTCCGTCGTCTGAAACTGAGCTCCATCGAAAGGGGCTGGTCTGGCTCCCGTATGCCAGGACGTAGTATTGGGCCTCCAGATCCCATAGGGGAAGGTGATGGATATTTTTTGTTACTTAATATAAAAGAAATCAAGTAGTTTAATGAAATCAAGTTGTTTAATATAAAAGAAATCAAGTAGAACAATATACTAGCACATTAAAAGTAAATAATAACATAGCCTAATAGCCTATCTCTTTTATGTCAGATGAATTCATTGGCTTCGACACTAAAGTTCTCCAGCTAAGATCTTTGTTGATCATGAAAGGAAATTTAGGACGAACACGAAACTATCAAGCCATGGTAAGGAATGTTTATGACTAATGTCTATTTTAACAGAGTATTTGAAATTTAGTATTTTATTCTGTTATAAGAACTGTGTTGTTACATCTTTACTGGGTGTATTATGAACTTTCATGTTGTTACCACACATTTTTTCACTATGCAAGTTGATGGCTTACTCTACTAAAGAAAACATTTTTTGATTGTTACTTTTTCTATTGCTTAGATGGGTGGACGAGCTCACAGCCCACCTTGTGTTAAGTGGTTACTAGAGCCCATAGACATCTACAACGTAAATGCGCCACCCATCTTGAGATATAAGTTCTAAGATCTCAGTATAGTTACAACGGCTGCCCCACCCTTCAAACTGAAATGCATTACTGCTTCACGGCAGAAATATGCAGGGCTGTGGTACCTACCCGCGCGAACTCACAAGAGGCCCTACCACCAGTGAGTCAGAATGTATTTGACGTACATTTCTTAAAAATTGTAATGACTTCAACAAGCTGTTAATTTATAATATATTTTCGTGAATCTTAGCGTGCATATCGGTCAGGGTTGAGAATCGAACAACATCTATTTTTCATTCCCCTAAATGTTAAGGGTGGTCCACCCCTAAATTTTATTTGTTATTTTTTAGACAAAAAATTTTTGTTTTTATTTTTTTATGATACAGCATACAAAAATACATACAACCCTAAATTTTCACCCCTCTACGATCAACCCTTATTTTTTATTTGTTAATTAAAAACTTTAAAATTTTTTGCAAGAATTTTGTTTTTATTTTGTCATGACGTAGAATAAAAAAAATAATATTACTCAGAAATTTTCACCCCTCTACGATCAACCCCTATTTTTTATTTGTTAATTATAAACTTTAATTTTTTTGCCAAGATTTTCATTTTTATTTATAGGGTACTGTTAATTTGGAGATAAAGGCTATTTTATATGTGTACTGGTAGATTGTAGACTAATTTCTTATTTTGTGAATAGTTTTTTTGTACATGTATGGATGTGAATTTTTCTTTTTATTTGTAGGTGGTGACAGGAAATGGTCAAGGTCTTGCTGGTTTTGGGCTTGGTAAAGCCAAGGAAGCTCCTGCAGCCTTGAGAAAGGCTAAGAACAGGGCGGGACAGAAATTAATGCATTTTGAAATTTACAATGGACACACAAGTAATATTAAATACTTCTTATTTTCGCATATTATGTATTGTGAAAAACATATAGATAGCCTCTTTTGTTATTGTTCTTATCCCATATTATGTCGGATTATCATGATGCTCGGAGATTCAGCATGAGCTCTACAACTGCCAGCCCGCCTAATGTATCTTAGGTTATTTCTCTAGTAGTATTGAAACATGTCACAGGAAGGGACTTTCTTGGTTCCTTCTTTTGGCGTTTCCTTTACTGCATCCATTTTTGGTTCTATGACTTGCACCTTGTTTAATATAAACATTTACATTAAAATTTAAATTTTCATATACCAAAACGTATGAATTTGATAAAACTGAAAAAGAATAAGAGCATTGTGAATATAAAGATTTAACCCAGATTTTTGTGATATTCTAGAATTTTCTCAAGTTATCTATACAATTATGCGTTTTTAATTATAATGAAAACACAGTTTATATAATTGAAAAATGCATTCTAGAATTTTGAAAGGTGTTTTAAAAAAAGTGTGTGTGTCCGCTCCGACGCACGACTGGAGTTTACTGGATATAAAAAATTAAACGAAACAATACGAGAAATAGTTCTATATTACGACAACACGATACACTACAGATTATTAACAAATTAACGAGACACAAAACAAACGACTAACAAATATATGAAAATACAATAATGAGAGAAACGCGCGATCAGTACGAGGCTTTGTGGCGGACTGCCGGCGCAGCAGCCCGGCGTCACCTGCGATAACGCGGCCGCGCGTTGGCTCCTGATTGGCGCGCGCACGCATCACGCAATCAGGAGCCAATCAGGCGCATAACGCATTTCGTGTGACATGCTAGTACGATTTTGGTCCCCATAATTTTCATACCCCGGGCCTATATATGTAAATCGATTCTAAAGGAGTAAACTCCAATAATTCTCTAATGATACGACCTGGACATGGCGGAGTATACGCTCGCAGTCTGCCCCACTTGGGAGGTGCCGTGTTCTGGTCGCAATGATGGAACGGACTAGTCTCTGCCTGGGGTCGTGGCGCCGATGCTTGGCGGCGACGCGTCCTGGAAGGCAATTCTCGACTTCTCCGAGTGCACCATCTTGCGGAAGGAGGCGGCGGGGCGAGTGAGGCAAAGCTCTCCTCACTCTCAGAAGTCCACCGCCGCCGAGCAGGGGCCCGTGACCCGGCCCCTAAGAGATTCGGGCTCCACCCGCTTTATGCGGGGAGGGACCTAGGCATGGGGTGGCGTGCTCATAGGAAGCCGGGTGATGGTAGGCCGCGTTCCCTCCGCTCCAAGGGGAGGTTGAGCGGGGTCAAGGCGAGCTCCTGGCTCGTCGACCGAGAGAAACGGTGGTCGTATCGTCGGCGGCCGCCGGTCCGCGCCTGGGGGACAGCGGGATGGATGTAATATGCTCTGCATCGACCATGTCTTGCTGTCTTAATGGACCCGAATGGACTCCAGCCCGGTCAAGGGTCGGGCGCCCGCTGCCAGTTTTTGATATTATACTGGTGGTAGGACCTCTTGTGAGTCCGCACGGGTAGGTACCACCGCCCCGCCTATTTCTGCCGTGAAGCAGTAACAGCCTGGCCACGGGACATTCGCCGATACGAATATTCGCGCGGTGCGAACGGCGAAACGTCTAGCGACTAAAATAAGAGCATAGAAACGTACCTAACAAGCCACGCGCACCGGCGACCGGCGAAGCGACCGGCGAAATGTACCGAGCGAATCGCGCGGGCGACTTACGATGCGGCGGGCGAGCAAAACAAATGCATGAATAAGGACGGCGCAAGCCACGGAGTCGAGCGGTAGTCGCGGCGAATAGTGCAGTGATTAAATGAGTTTAGTTGTTTTCGCCGCGAAAAATTAACGCCGAAATTTTTATATTTTTTATTTATTTTTTATTTTATATTTTTAAAGTCGTCGTGGCCTAACGGACGTCCGGTGCAATCGTGTTGAGCGATGCACCGGTGTTCGAATATCAGGCGGGTACCAATTTTTGTAATGAAATACGTACTCAACAACACTCAACGTTCACGATTGATTTCCACGGTGAAGGAATAACATCGTGTGATAAAAATGAAATCTTCAAAATAATAATTTGCGTAATTACTGGTGGTAGGACCTCTTGTGAGTCTACACGGGTGGGTACTACCACCCTGCCTATTTCTGCCGTGAAGTAGTAATGCGTTTCGGTTTGAAGGGTGAGGCAGCCATTATAACTATACTTGAGACCTTAGAACTTATATCTCAAGGTGGGTGGCGCATTTACGTTGTGGATGTCTATGGGCTCCAGTAACCACTTAACACAAGGTGGGCTGTGAGCTCGTCCACCCATCTAAGCAATAAAAAAATAAAATAGCTGAAATACTAGCTAGACCAGCTATTTGGAAGTCTAGCCACCCAAAGTATTTCTCGTACTTCTTGTGGAATTCTCCATCTATAGGTATACTCCGATTCTTATTCAAATCATGTACTTCACAATCTTTTCCAAATAATAGGTCCTGAACCAAAAAACTATTAATTTGTAAGCAATATCGAGATAATTTCGATATAGACATTTCGCTGTCGGACTTCCTTACTAGTCGCGGCGGCGAACGTGAGTACCCGTGGCCTGCAAACGGTGCTGCGCGAATGGTCGCCTCGTCCACCGCTTCGCTGTTCGCACCGCCGATCCCCGTGGCCAGGCCGTAATGCGTTTCGGTTTGAAGGGTGGGGCAGCCGTTGTAACTATACTGAGACCTTGAACTTATATCTCGAGGTGTGTGGCGCATTTCCGTTGTAGATGTCTTACGGGTTCCAGTAACCACTTAACACCAGGTGGGCTGTGAGCTCGTCCACATACCTAGGCAATAAAAAAAAAAAAGATTCAACTTCCATATACTGGTAGTTTTCTCCTATAAGAAAAGTATAATACATTATTATTTTATTTCATGATAATATAATTTCTATTCTAGTTTTCCACGACTTTTTCACGGCTTTCGGCAAGACTAAAATCTTTGTTCAAAAGAAAAATGAAGGTTACGGCTTGAAATGTCATCGAGCTATAAGGGAGATTTGTCAAGCCATCGGCATCAAGGATATAAGAGCTAAATTAGAGGGCTCTAACAATTTGCAACACATTGTGAAGGCATTCTTTATTGGACTATTGCAACAGGTTAGTTTTCTAATATTTAAATGTTTGTGTAGGTAACACTGGTTTGTAGATCTGTATTTTTAATCATCATCCGTTTCTGCCGTTAATATGATTGTTTTACTAAGTTGAGTTAGTTACTAATGAAGTTTTTTATGTGTTGCAATACAACTTTCACATCGATTTAGAGTATCCAGGCGTCGTCTGAGACCTAAGCGTCTGTTATTGCTATTTCTGCTAAACATAAACTAATAAATAAAATGTTTCGCTAAGTCGTCGTCCGGTGCATTCGTATGTAGCGATGCACCGGTGTTCGAATCCCGCAGGCGGGTACCAATTATTCTAATTAATTACGTACTTAACAAATGTTCACGATTGACTTCCACAATGAAGGAATAACATCTTGTAATAAAAATCAATCCACAAAATTTCACTAAAAGTCAATAAAAAAAAAGAAATAAGGAGCTGTTTTATTGTAAAAACTGAGGCCTTAGAACTAATGTCTCAAGATGTGTGGCCGCATTTACTTTGTTGATGTTTATGGGCTACGGCTGACTACATAACACCAGGTGTGTCGTGAGCTTTAGCAATGAAAAAAATGTTGACTATTAAAATTTCATTTGAAATTTGCAGAGAACACACAAACAATTAGCCGAAGAGAAGAAACTCCACCTTGTAGAGTACAGAGCTGAGAACGAATATTATCCAAAAGTAGTGGCCAGCCCAACAGAGGTTCGGACCAAAGATCAAATACCTCGCGACGAGACTCTTCATTTTGTCCAATACGTTATGAACGACAAGGTGATACTGCGGAAGAAAAAATTCCCACCCTTTTATGAGAAAATGCCACATTACAAAATTTACTTAAAGAAATACGAGAAGTATAGGAATCACGAGAAGATTAGGCAAATGTTAAAAGTTGAATATGGCGACGTGAAGAGCTTCCTAAATGAACGGTTTCCCGAAGAGAATGTGGAACAGAGTGAATCATAATACGTGTAGATTACAATTTTAGAAATTAAAATGTATTTAAAATTGTTGTTTTTTACTTTAACATATTTCTGTTTGCTTAGTGCGAGTTTTTTAACGTTCTCGATAGCGTAAAAGTTAGCTCATATTTGTATGGAATGGGATCGTTTGCGTACGTTTGCCGCTAGGGGCGCTGTTCCAACTGCATACAAAATTGGGTTAACTTTTACGCTATCAAGGACGTTAAGAAACTCGCACTAAGCACACTGTTCATTTAACTAATAATATTATATATACAATGCGTATTCGTCTGTATTATAGGTATGCATGTGGGGCCTTCTGTCAAGGCTTGAGATAGTCTTCCGAAAGTGCCTAAGGGCCGAGTTACACCGGAATGGCAGCGGACGGCAGCGTCGCGGCGAGCACTTTTACTGTGAAATAATTTTAAACTTTATCTATATGCTTAAAAGATCAGTATTGCTTGAAAAGCTAGAAAAGGTCGCGACACAGCCGCCGCCTTCCCGCGGTGAAGCGAGCAGCCGCGCGCCACGTGCGTCTTGTCTTGGTGGTTCTTCCCGAGGCTGCCAGCGGCGACACGAGGCCGCTTGCGGCGCCGCGGTCATATATAATAACCAATTCCATCATGTTCACTCCAAACATAAGTTTTTTTTTTTTTTTTTTATTGCTTAGATGGGTGGTCGAGCTCTTTTTTTTTATAGCTTAGATGGGTGGACGAGTTCACAGCCCACCTGGTGCTAAGTGGTTACTGGAGCCCATAGACATCCACAACGTAAATGCTCATCTCAAGGTGGTTGAGATATAAGTTCTAAGGTCTCAAGTATAGTTACAACGGCTGCCCCACCCTTCAAACCGAAACGCATTACTGCTTTACGGCAGAAATAGGCAGGGCGGTGGTACCTACCCGCTCGGACTCACAAGAGGTCCTACCATCAGTAATTACACAAATTATAATTTTGCGGGTTTCATTTTTATTACACGATCATTGCCGAATGAATAGACTAAACTAGTCTAAAGGAGACTAGGCGCGTGCAGTCTGGAGGCGCGAGGCCGCCAGCGGCGACGCCGGGTGCCGCTGGCATCGCTGCCGGACGCTGCCGGCCGCTGCCATTCCGGTGTGACTCGGCCCTAATAACATACCCATATACAGGTGCTCAAGGTGGGTCAATGTAGCGAACTTTGGGATAGGCCTGTGTTCAGCAGTGGACGTCTTTGTGATGATGTAATCATCCGTAGTTTAATGAGTAAGACATCCAGTATAATCCTACGAAGTATTGTAAGTCGGGGTAAGTATTAACACGGTTATTTCTGCCGTGAATGAGATACGGTTTGAAGAATAGAACAGTAGTTTGATGTTCGAAAGAAGAGTATAGAAAAGCATGATGAGGGTAGAAAGAAAGGAGGATAGAAAAGGTTGAAGTTTTAATAGTGACATACCGAAATGGTTGGTGACGTTTATGTTGATTTGTCCGAGGACTCCTTGGCGGGAACGCGCGCAGCCATGTTTCGTGACCTGTTTTTTATTTATTTTATATATCTTTAGGCTTAATGGTGACTGTTTACAGAAGGAAGGCAGTAGCGGTTTTCGAACTGCATTAATTTTGAATTACTTCAAAATAAAATTTGAAGTTCTTTTATTGCATTATCAGAGAGCTTAGTCAAGATTCAATATCTCAGACTTTAAAAGAAGAAGCAGACCTCATAAGATTAGGACGTGGTGGTGGTGGACGGTTAGGAGCGTGAATCCAGAGACATCAGAGTTGCGGTCAAAAGATTGCTGAGAGATCTTGTTCGGCTGCTATTTGGCATTTCTGCCATGCCAATGCCTCTTTGAACTTTTACATTATCAATTGTTTATACACAGAACTTGTTTGTTGTACATCTGACGAATGTTTGTGAAAAAGTAATAAGAAATTACACGGTATTTAAACGACAAAATGTTTTTTTTATTAACTCAACGTTGGAAACGTTTGTTAACTTAAAATTGATATAGGTATATGACATTACAACTTGACCAAGCTAAGTTTGCACCTCGTTGGAATGCGGCGGTCCGCCCGCTTCCCCGCTCACCTTCCCGCGATCGCCCTGTTGCGTCAGTACGGTATATTAAGTGTATAATCTATGGTTAGCATCTTTGTCGCCGACACGTGTCATACGAGTTTTCGTCTCTCTATACGTTGAATTTTAAATTTTAAGTTTTTGTTGAACTGTTGTTACTGAACGCTTAACGTTAATTTTTTTTTACTTCGAGAGGATTGTTGGGCAACAAAATAAAAGGAAAGGTCATAGATACACAGTGAAGGGAAAAACATAATCCTGAAAAAGAAACATAAAGGAAAATTATTACTGAGCAATTGGGATACAAATTTAAAAAGTGCAAGAACGCCCGGGTGTTCTGAATACAAAAACCCGATATCGCTATATGCTAATGGACCTTCGATCAACAATAGTAACTAGATTTCGGGTCGGTGCATAAAATCCGTCTCGACAAATAACAGCGCACTTGAAATGTGAGCTCTTATTTTGTTTAGTTCACTTCAAACACAGCCAATGTCAACCCGTCTCACAATACCGCAGTGTGTATTCGAAAGTTGCAAAAATAAGGCCCGAAAAAGCAATTTAACGGCCGGAGTATCTTACTTTCTTACTTACGGTAAGTACATGAAGTATAAACTATATTGTAAGCTTTAAACTTATAAATAATATTAAATTTTGAACAAAATTACCGATTTTTAACCACCGCTACAAATGTTGGCCAAGGCTCGGCCAACACATGGACAAACTTTTGCTTAACAGAACAGTAAATGCATGGAGTAGATTTGTGTTGTAATAATTTTTTAAAATTTGTTAGCAGCACTTCAAAATTAGTTGGTTAAAATTGGTTAATGCTGCTTTTGTGTCTGTTTGTTGGACTCTCATTAGATACTTAGCTTTCCATTTTTATTTTAGCTTTCCTAGCAATCACGTGTGCAGAATGGATCTCGATTGTCGCCAGAGAAACAAGAGATGACTTTTATAAGCCAGCTAAGAACTCCGCTTATTGACACTGGACATCTTTGCCTTCCGTGCTCACGGCTACTGAAATGTGGCCGAAACATTGTAATAAAAATACCACGCTTGAAACCGTTTAAACGTTGTTTTATTATGTGCACTGGTCGCGAAAACTTAAAAATATATATTACACAAAAACGTAACGCTAATAAAATAATAAGTAATGTATAGATACTAACAAACATACATTTCCAAAACATAAAAAGTAAACAACTAAACTTTTACTTTAATTCATTAATAAATTATTTTAGTGTTAAGCGCGACTCCCTTACCTCCTGTAGTAAATAGAAATCGGCATTTCAAGAAGCAAAAATAAATAAAGCAAAACGATGTTAGTTCTCAGAGCAATTAAGGGAAAAGTTACTTTATTTGTTGCACCTTAAGATTGATTTAACATTAAAAGTTGTTTAAAATATGTCTTTTTATTGGTAAGTGACAGGAGTAATTTATTGCTTTGCTCGTTTTATGTGACGAATGATCGTAAGTATTAGATAATGTTTTGGAGATTTGTGACTTTATTACTAGGTGCCATAGTTGTTATTAGTTTGAAAGTAAAAGTGTTTCAAAACTTTTTTCTCCGTTTGTTAGTAAACGAATGTAGCTATATAAGTATATATTCACGCGGACAGTTTTTGCTTTAATTTTGTACGTATCCCTTTATCTAGTTACTATTGTTGATCGAAGTAATGGACCTATGTAAAATATATTGTTAAAAACAATAAATGCAAAGTAAAATCTAACAAACATTTGTTTACATTTTTAAAGTCATAGCGAATCCTTTTTTCAGACCATACCCAAGCGGCAGTGTGACGTAATCGATGCGAGGTGCAAACTTAGCTTGGTCGAGTTGTACACCTGTAATAACATTTTTAATGCGACGTACACACGTTCTTGTAAACAAGTCACTATTAAATTATTATTTTTTATTGATTCTTTTTATGGTAGTCTGAAATTAAATAAAGCAATATTAAATGAACAAACTACTTGTATATTTTTCCAAAACGCAATAGTCACAATAATGAAAAATTTACAATTACTGAACATGGTTTAAAAAAAAAAATTTGTTTCGCCGATGTAATTTTTTAAGTAGGTAAGAAAGAGGTTTGTCTCCTCTTGGTTTGATAAAACAAATGATCCTTTTGTTCATGAATTCTATCAACTCTTTAATGGTAGATTGGGGTTTCTTATTGCTCCAATAAATGTATCCAATCCAGTGTGAAGTGAATCGATCAAGGGGTCAACATGGTACCTGGAGACCGGTGGTTACATCAGAAGACTGGATAAGGTGAAAGAAGAAATACATCTAAATAAGATGATCGATTTGTAGTGTCATGTTATTCCTTCATAGTGGAAGTCATTCGCGACGTATGTTAAGTATATGTGGATTTCATTAGAAAAATTGATACCTTCTTCCGGGAATACTGGCAGTTTATTTTTAATTTAGGTATTTTTTCTATCTATCCGCTGGTAGGGGGGCTAATCCAGCTAAACTATGGCTGGTAGATGTGCTTAAGGGCTCAATCTGAGGGAGTTTGCTCTCCTTCTTTGCATGCATGATTAGTGCTTCGCAGAATTTACCACTGAATCGGAATCGCGTCCCATTAAGAAGATTCGGGAAGAAACTTAGTGGGTTTGGTCTTGTGGGCTTACTTTGCATGTCGAACTCTTCATCCTTATCGAGGACGGTAGCCGGTGCTTGAAGAGCTTAAAAGCACCGAGAGCCGATCAGGGAGATCCGTCAAGACGTATAGAGTGACTTCGGCTTGGTCTTACCTTGTCGCCTGGGTCAGATACGTAATTAACGGCGGCCACGATAAGAGGGTAATCGTGTCGCGCCGCTTTTTCAACTAGTGTTCTGACGCTGTCTTTAGATACTTACGAATCGGTTCTTCTCGCACAGTCGTATTGCTTGATAAGAATGCACCGGCCATCTTAAACTTCGCACTACGACGACTTCACAATTATTTATTCCTGATCCTG